CTCAAGGCGAATCTCATTGGAATATTGACGCGCGGCAAACTTGGTAATGATGGGTATTCCTCCGACGAAGCACAGATTCTCTTGGATTTCAACATCATCGAGAATGATCTATAACGAGCGATTCACATTAGTAAATGTAGATCCATCCAAGGAGTTGTTTGCATCTTGCTAAGACGTACCGCATTGACGACTTTAAGCAGCTGGAGGATCATATGGTGTCTACTCTTTACCGTACAGGGCTCCAGAATTTCTAACAGAGGCAGCAGCCCATGAGCACTGATGATGAGGTTTTTTGCTTCTGGGGTTTCCCATAGCAATCCCAGCTGAGCCACATGTTAGTTCAAAAGCCCTCATCCGACCTTTTCTTTCGGCACAACTTACTAAATGTTCAGAGAGATCTGCCAATATGTCTTCGCCTTCGGTCATCTTCAGAGAGCCAACCAGCTCTTCTATTTTTTCAGCAAGCCGTGCATGTCTGTCTCGCGCAATCTTCGCGTCCATGTCCATTTCGTCCCACCCTGGGTCCATGGACGCGAACGGGTCATCCTCGTCGTCATCGTCCCCTAACCAAGAGCTTCCTGACATTCTTGACAGGAGCATGAGGCCGGCTTCTTCTGAACCTCGCTCGCTTTCTTCTCTTTCAGGGATGGATTCCTCGGGCCCGAAAACGTCGGAGAAATCCTCATCATCGTCTTCGGCGAACTTTTGAATCTCGATAGAAGAGCGAGTACGTCTCATGGGACGATCGGGAAGGACTGATGGCCTTGACACTGCCTTTTTCCTCATCACGCTGCCATCGGGGGCCTGCATTGATCGAGGCAAGCTGGTTAAGTCAGAAGGGTGGAAGAGCTGAGGCGCTTCGGGTTGACGCAGGCCGCCCTTGATGAAGATATCCCCGTTAGCCGTCTGGGTATTTTTTTCTAACGGATGGCAGAAAGAGAGAGGGAAAACTTACCTTTCGGACGGCTTGATGAACCTTTTGGTCAAACACACTATCGTCATCAGAAAAGAGATCGGAGTAGTCCTCAGAGCTCTGTTCCCGGTAAATAGCGCCAGGGCGAGGAGGCAACTCGAACTTGTTCCCAAAGTGCGGCTTTGGAGGCGATTTCGTCCGAGACAGGTTGGGTGAAGTAACTGCTTGATTAAGGGCCGGCCGGTGTGCTTGGTGCATTACTTTTGGCGGTGATGCAGGTTTTGATGCCGTCATCCTCCTGGAGACGGGTCGTATTGTCTGCTCCTGAGACTCCTGGTAGAGCTCATTGTTGGGCCCCTTGATGGTCATCATCTCGCCTTCAAAATCGTTATCGTAGCTGTCCACACCGGCCCTGAGATCATTCACCGACGCAAAAGCCTTTAGTTTGTCAGCGGAGAGAAGCCCTCCAAAGTTATCTTGCGGTCTTAGATGCGGAAGCTGCAGGGCACTGGGAGAAATTGCCGTCGCAAAGTCGTCGTCCCAATTATCATCATCTGTGTTACAAACGTTAGCCTCCAACTATTGCAAACAGAGCGTCAGTGAGTAGATTGCAGACATACCTAGCTCAGCCAGTCTGAAGGCACCAACTCCCGCACCTGCACCAGCGCTGAGCCTTGGTTTGGCAAGGCCTAACCGGCCCTTAGACGGTGATCCGCTAGAGATTCGAGAGACGGCGTCGGAGCCGAGGGACGTGCGGAGAGAAGTCCCTGAGGAATTGAGGGCCTTGTTCCATTGTTTGACCTCCTCAACCGCATCGTCAAAGTTGGCCGGCGTCCTTGAGACAGGCGCGTCTGTGCGGCGGCACCCCACAATCCAGGCATGCCTGAGTAGTTTTCGAGCCGAAACTCTGAGATTGGGGTCTTTCTGAAAGCATTGCATGAGGAAATCCCGGGCAGCCTATACTTGCATGTTAATATCTGTACCAGTTTGTGGTCATCTTTGTTTAGATCAAGGTTGGGAGTGGCGGAGACGTACAGCTGAGATGCCCTCGGGCAGTGGAGGGTGGTCATCGTTGACAATGGCGAATAACGCCGGCATGGCGGCCAGGTTGTGATATGGCGGCTTGCCCTGGAGAAGCTCGATAACGGTACATCCGACACTCCAGATGTCGGAGGCGGAGCTGGCGCCGGACAGCTGGATGATCTCAGGGGCCATCCAGTAAGGAGTGCCAACGACTTGCGCCTCCTTGTCTTGTCCACCAGCAAGCGTGCTGGTCGAGACGCCAAAGTCGGCAAGCTTGACTGTCCCGTCCTTGGTGGTGAGAATGTTGGCGCCCTTGATGTCGCGATGGATGACACCTTGGTCGTGAAGGTAATGAAGGCCTTGGAGAACTTGTGTCGTATAGACGCCGACAAGATTTTCCGGAAACTTGCCGTATTCTCTACATATTGAATGGAGCGAGCCATTCTCACAGTATCTACGGTTTCCTTCATATTAGCTTACAAACTTCATACTCGACCAGAAGTAACGTGGGATTGCCTACTCGAGGATGATGTTGAGGCATTCGGTTGACCTGACGGAACCGATATACCTGACGATGTTCTCATGCTTCTTGTTGTTAGCCCCGACGTTGTGTGCTTTCCGGGGAATTTCTGGTTCGTTCTTACAAAAAGATTTTTGAGCAGGTCAATTTCGCTCTAGTAATCATGTTCAATCTTGGTCAGCGTCATCCAAGGCTACACAGTAAAGGACCGTAGAAGAGAAAATGTTCAGCAACGCCGCCTTGAGCTTACCTCTATCATCCGCTGCTCACTCTTTGGCAGATCCGTTAGCTTGATTTGCTTGATGGCGACGGCCTCTCCGGTTCCCCAGTTGAAGGCCTTGTACACCGATCCAAAGGCTCCCTTTCCGAGGCATTCGCCCAAGCGCTAGAATCCAATCAGCACGCCGTCTCATCTCACCAGGGGGGGCACATTTCCCAGCCAGTCTCGCCCCAGCAGCATTGCCGATTGGAAATTGCGTTCTAGTGTGCAAGACATACATAGTCCTTGAGCCCAGGGTCCTGCATGGCCGCGCTCTCCCTTTGGCGGTCCTTGCGAGAGGGCGTGGACGGGGCAGCAGACCTCTCGTGCGGAGGAGCGGCGAACCGCCCATTGCTAGCGGGATAAATGTTTTCGGCCGGCATCTCTGCGTCGTCGTCGTCGTCGTCGTCGTCGTCGTCGTGATGTTGGGTTGAGGCTTCAGCTTCAGCTTCAACCGGAGCTTGAGCTTGAGCTTGAAGGGCTGTGTTTCTGTTTCCCCTCCTCTTGGGACTGCGCAGCCGGCAGACTCTCTACCTCGGCGGCAGGCAGGACAGCAGGGACTGGCGAGGCGGAAGGGAAGTGGTTCGTTGAGGAATCGATGGCATGCCCGCCGATGGGTCTGTGGCTTCGTGTGTCGCTCGCATTCGCCCGATGTTTTTTTTTTTTTTCAGCGGCGAGCGGTGTTCATCGAAAAGGCGGCGGGGGAAGATCGCTGCAACAAGGACGAGGGTCACGCATGGAGGTCGAAGATGGGGGCGGAGGAGAGAGAAGACGCAGACCGCACAGAGGCGGGAGAGGAGAGGGAGGGTGCCGAGTGAAACAAGGAAGAAAGAAGAGAGAGGGAATAGAAGAAGAAGAAGAAGAAGAAGAAGGGAAAAGGAAAATCAAGATCGAGCAGGCAGGCGAACGCGGATTGGTTTTGCCCAAGGCGCGTGCCGATGGAGTAATTCGTAGTGCCGTCTGGGTGCCAATTCCGGCGCTGTGGTTGCGAGGGTGGGTGGAGTTGGATTTTGGCTATGTTCGATTGATGTTGTTTGGGAGGTACCTACAGTGGTGGTGTACGCTCTGGAGGGTGGATTAGAAGGGATTGATTGATTGAGCAGTTGGAGGGAGGGAGGGAGAGTTGTGAGACTGTTTGGCTGCATGTTCCATCCATCAATATTATCCATCCAATATTGCATTACCTACTATTAACTTAGTAACTAATCCATTACCCATCTCATGTTACATTGCCTCAATATTGTCTTGACCCCTTGCCAAACCATTGAACAGCAACAACAACCACAACAGCGTTGATGGATATACCCTGGAGAGGGCACTCCGGGCCTCTTACTTTTGTGCTTATTAGCGATGACGCCGGGCTGCTAATGAGCTCCATCCCACAGCTGGAGGTGGACTTTGAAACTACCTGTATGTCCACCACCCCCACCAGTCTCTCCAGCTCCTTGTCCAAGTATGTCCATACTTGCGAGAGCAAACCACCGCTAACAAAAGCCTCATCCGCAACCTCCATCCTCTTTTCAGCACATGCACACGATAGAGTTTGCACTTGTACCTCCTGTTTGGCACCCCTGAGAATCTGATATATTATCAATAATATTATCATGTTCCATGTATCCCATTAATGTGTCCAATTCCCCCGTTGCCACCTACTACCTAATAGTTGCCAATCGCCACTCCCCCCTCTATCTAGACTTCACTCCATGTACTTATCTCGACTCTCGTGTATCAACTTGCTGCGGATTTTCCGTGCGCAAAGTATAACCGAGCTTGTTAGGTTTCTTCTGCCTGCTAGGTATAAACTAAACAAGACTGATGTGCACAAGTGCTGCTGCCAACATCAATCACAAGATGGATTTATGCAACTTGCCCATGTCAGGTAGTTGATGCTGATTCACTGTTTGGTGCCAGATACTGCGAGTTACGGCTCATGTGAATTCATTCGGCAAACTTTTCATCAATAATATGTTGGATATATAGTCCATGCTGGGGGCTTTTTCAACCCTTCAACCCTTCAATCCACAAAAACATCATGCGTTTAAATCGCTGCCCATCCCGCTGTCTTCAAGTTCCATTACCAATAACCATAATCATACAGTGCGTTTTCTCATCCTTGACATCAATCTGGTGGTGCTGGCCTCTCTTCCCGAGGGCTCTCTGCAACGAGTAAAAAAGCGAAAAAGTAAATCAATAAGAAAAAATTATGCCGAAATTCTCGGCCTTGACACAAGAACAGCGCTAATCTTGCGTCAGAGTCGGTGCCTGCTCAATACGAGGCTCCTTTTTCAGTTGGACTCGTCATGGGGAAGAGTCCGATTGAGACCGGCCTCAGCCCACCACTCGTCCGGAATATCTTCTCTCGCCGCGAGGCTCTGGACGATCCGTCGCATGCCTAGCCACTCTTCATCTCCTGTCTGGGCGCCAGGCCCGCTCCCTGTCGATCCTTCTCGGTTTGGTCGAAGCCGGTCAGCCCTCCGTTCGTCTTCTGACCCTACCTGGGTGAGGAAGCTGTTGGTTAACAATAGGGCGTAGCCGTCTGTCTGCGAATCGTGCAGACTGTAGCCAGGCCTTTCGGATTGAGACTGGTCGCCCAAGGGTCCATCTGATGGTCCATCCAGATTATACCCTGGCACTGCTGGGCGTCTTTGGTATTCAAAGCGGCGGCGAAAGCTGGTAACGCTACGCATTGTAGCAGGGAGCTGAGAGTACCACTCGTCTTCTTCATCGTCAGAACCTTCGTGTCCCGATTCGCAAGCGCCGTCCACAAGTTCGTCAGGCACGCCTGGAGCAGATGGAGGCGGAGGCGCATTGGACGGGCCCGCGTTCTGAGGCGCTGCCGCAGATGCAAATGAAGAGCTAGCGCTAGGTGGTTGTGGATCGGGAGTCAGTGTCGTGAGCAAAGTGTCCCAAACCTCCGGGCTGAGGCTTCTGTCACGGTCTCCCAAACCATCGGCAGCATTGCTTCGCTGACGAATCCGCCCGGCTGAATCCTCAGCCACCAAAGTTCGAATTGTTCGTGATGGGTTTCGGCGCAGAGATCTGAATGGTGGCAAGGCGTGCTGCTGTACGGCATCATCGTTTGATGTCGCCGACTCGCTCTGCAACCTCTCAGACCCGGCCCGCGCCGGCCGGTAGGGAGGTGTGCCGACGTGGTATGAGCGACGGCTTTGGGGGCTGTGATGGCGCCTGGGATAGTCTGGTGCAACCTTTGCGCGTGATGGTCAGCAATCTATCAAACATTCGAGTTCCGCAAGGAAGCAACTTACGATGCGCGCACGCCGCGGTCGAGGGTCAACCGGGTCAACCGGGTCGATCCTCCCTTCAACCCTCCCCCAAAAATCTCCATCCGGAGGAGGATCATCATTCCTCTGTGAAGATGGAGTGCCGATGTTATGCCACGTACCGCCGAAGAGGGAGCTCATCCGGTCTTCTAGATGACGGTCACTCCGAGGTGGCCTAGAGGTGACATCTCTCAGCACCTCACGTGCAGACCCTGAAGGCGCATCGTCGTACGAGGGCGGGACTAGACTCCTAGTGCCATCGTCGATAGCCCATGGAGCATACCGTCGCGAGGGACGAAGATGTGGTTGAAGGGCTACGATGCGAACGCTGGAGCGTCTGTTGGAATTCCGTCGCTCGCGTGCTTCTGTCTGGGCTGAGCGCCTGATGGCAGAACGAGACGGGGAGAGGACGTCGCGCTTTGGCGCATCCTTGTGGGGGAGGTCGGTCTCAACAGGTGCAACAAAGAGTCTGGTGTAGCGACGAATGATTAGCTGGGGCGGCTGCGACGCGAAGAGATAGCGCGAGGGGCATTAATCGAAAACGACCAAAAAAAATGACGAGAGAAGCAGAAAAGAGGGATGGAATATCAGCAGCAGTGAATGCGATGCCTCAGTTGTGCGGCCGATGGTCTGGTCTCGAAGCTGAGCCAGAGGCAACAGGCGCGCCGCGATGCCCAGTGACGGTGCACAAGACGCGCGAGCAAACATTGATTGCAGTGTGATTGCAGTGGAGAGGGGACTCGAGGCAGAAGCAGAGATGAAAGCAGAAGCGGCGAGGGCATGCATGGGGCCACCAATGGTCCAAGCAGCAGCAGAAATTGAAACTCACGGTCGACCCATAGCGCATATGGATGATTTGCGGATGATGTGCAAAGGAGCGATATCCGAGATGCGAACGATAAGAAGCAAATGGGCAAAAGTCGGACGGACGGCGCTTGGCAACTAGCAGCGGCACCCTGGCGATCTTTCTTTGCGGCGGCAGTGGGATTTTTTTTTTTTGCTGAAGAGAAGGAGAGCTGATCGACTTCAGCCTGCAGATGCGATGGAGTCAAGAGACGAAAGAAGAGCGAGCGGCGGCGGGTTGATGGATCAGACAAGGCGAAAGGCGAAAGTGAAGGAGAAAGGAATGCAAGAGGAGGCTGAAGATGGAAGAGGCTGCGGAAGCGGGAGATGCGACTGGGCTGGACCTGGACTCGGTAGATGTGTGGCGCGAGAGCGAATTGAACTTGGGGGCGGTTTACAGGCTGTCCAGGCACTAACGCCGCTGCTGTTGGCGGATCCTCAGAGGCTCGAGGCTAAAGTCAACTGAGCCACAGTTTGAGTTGGAGGCATGATGCGATGTGCGTGTGTGGCTGATGCGTACGGACTAGTAGTACTCTAGTATAGTAGTGGAGATGGCGAGATTTTGCCCGTGATAGTGACTGATGATAGAAAATGCCCAGCACTTCTGCCATCTGCCGTCACGGACGCCCAAGCACCAATCAACTCGCGTCTCCTCGGGCGAGGCTCATCTCTCCCTCTATGGCTCCCTCCCCCTGATTGCTGATGCTGCCATGCCGTCTGCCAAGGAGGTCAATCGAGCGCTGGCTCGCATCAGAGCCGCCATGCCCGCCGAGAAAAAGGTGGCATCCGCAAACCGCAACATCCGCCTGGGCCTGGAGCGCATCAGCCATGTCGTGCCGCAGGAGCAGGGCTGGCTAGGCGTCCATGTTGGCGGCACCAACGGCAAGGGATCCGTCTGCAACCTGCTGTCGGGGCTCTTGAGGCTGTCCGGCATCAGCCATGGCATGTACACGTCGCCGGCCATGCCCGAGAGGCACAACGGCGTCACCATCAACGGCCTCTACGTCAACCGCCGCATGTACGAGATGGAGGTCAAGCACATTGAGGAAAAGTTCAAGCGCGTTGCCTCTGGCTGGCGCTTTGCCGCCGGAGAGGACCCGGGAAACCTGACGCCGTTTGAGCTCGAGACTGCCGCTGCCTTTCGCGTCTTTGACAAGATGCACGTCAACTATGGCGTTGTCGAGGTGGGAATGGGCGGTGCTACTGATGCAACAAACATCATGAAGCAAAAGTCAGTCACCGTCATCACCAAGATCGATCTCGACCACCAGGAGTACCTCGGCAACACCATCGAGGAGATTGCCAAGGTCAAGGCCGGCATCATGAGACCCGGCGTGCCCTGCATTGTCGATCATTCCAATCCCAGCTCCGTCATCAAGGTACTTCGGCGCCATGCGAACAGCATTGGCACTCAAATCAGCCCGTCGTGGAAAGGACAATCTCTGCTGGCCAATCTTGATACCGAGCGGTTCAAGCTGGAGGACTACGAGAAGCAGAATCTTCTCTGTGCAACTCTAGCCTTCCGTCACCTGTTCCCAAATCTTGAAATCGACGTTAATAAGCTGCTGGCCATGGAGCCTTTCCCATCTGGACGAAAAGAGCAAGTCAAGGTGCTTGGTCTCACCGGCGGAGCTCGTGAAAAGCCTGTCCTTGTAGATGGCGCTCACAACCTGCTTGGTGCCGAAGCGCTGGCTTCTTATGTACAGCACCAAGTTCGCCAAGGGGATCAACCAGTTTCATGGGTCATGGGACTATCAGCCAGCAAGTCCAAGCCCTTTGCGAAAGTCATATCTGCCCTGGTACAGCCCCAAGACAATTTCGCCTTTGTTGAATATCTGCCTGCTCCTAATGAGCCACCCCCAGCTCCTGCTGAGCTCGGCCGTGAGATTGGAAGATCCATTGTCAGCAGCGAATTTCAGCTGTACGATGGCGATCCCCGGATCGCCGCTGGCGTGCAATGGGCTTGCGAAAAGGCAGGAGAAGGCCCCGTTATAGTAACGGGCAGTCTCTATATGATTAGAAACTTTTACAACATTGAAGGCGTTGAGCCCAAGAGAAAGACCAAAACGAGGCGGCCGGGTGCTGCACAGCTATGGCATTACATACAACTATCGCAGGAAAGACCGCTGACCTCCGAGGAAGCCAGAGAGTTCAAGCGAGCGCGGAGACATTGGCATCTGTCGCCTGTACGGAATTCTACGTTTAGGGGGGTGAAATACGGCGGCCTACCCAAGTCCGGCCGCGTCCCCGAGAGGATACGTGCCTTGCAACGACAGTCGGAATTTCACAGAAAGCAGGCTGAGGGATACCGTAGTGCCATTGACAGCATGGAAAAGGACTTGGCAACGCAACCAGCCGATGTGGCCGCCGCTACCGAGTCTTCTGATTTCCAAATCAGCCTGGAAACCCTCAAGCAGCGACACCAGGAACATCTCGGCGCCTACAACAGCGCCATGTTCAAGCTCCGGGGACATGTTGCTTCGCCTGAGAAGAAGTTTATGAGCTATGAGGAAGTGTTTGGACGGCTGCCGAAGCCCAAGGTCAAAAACTTTCCCTTTCCTGAGGATGATGCGAGCGTTACTTCTGCGAAACCACATGAAGGCGTAGCTGCTTCGCCCGAGGTTAGCACCGGTTCTCAATCTGGCAAAATCCCCGAGGAGGAGAAGAGGGCAGAGCCGCAAAGTTCACGGTTTGGAAAAACGCCCCGTCGTAATGACAAGCAGAAGGACAAGACTGTGACAGAGGCGCATGACCTCGTCGACAAGCTGACAAGAGAGCGTGTCAGCACTGAAGCTGGATCGAGCAATAAGCCCTGAATATGGGAGACTGACCTGAGAAAAGAGGTCGGCGTGTATTATATATAGATGAGGAGAGGGAAAAGCAATCAGCTCAAAAAGGGATATTGTGGGAAATACATAGAATTGGATTCCATGTTGTTTATACACTTTGACTACCAAACATGTTTGACCGTTGCGATTCTTTGGCTGTTGGTCCAACTGTTCTGCGAGTTTATACATCTACTAGATACACCTATATCTACTACAGATAGATATGTCTACTAGAGACAGATATATCTCTATATCTACTATTCAAAGCCATCTTCTTCCATGTCCTCTTGTCCCTCGACTTCTTCTCCCTCGACTTCTTCTCCCCCGACTTCTTCTCCCCAATGACGCAGTAGAGCATAGTTCTCGTCACAGTACATGTCCGGCTGCGATTCCATTCCATCATTATCATAGCCGCCATCAACCTGACCATTATAACATCCATCATCGCGACAATCCTCGTCGTAGTGGTCATCACCATCATCATAACATCCATCATCGCGCCAACCATTGTCGTAGTGGTCATCACCATCATCATAACCACCATAATGATCATGATAATCGCCGTTGACTTCATCCGCCAAACAGGTTGGTTTGGTTGCTCCGCAGATCGCAGCAACGCGAAGCAAGTCCGACGAGAGCTGTAGAATATCAAATTTCGGCGGCCCAATCTCGAAACGTTCGCAAAGTCGATGGACATGACCGGTGTCCATGCCCAAACCACTGTAGCTGTCACAATGCGGCCTTCCCCATCGGATAATGCCTCTGCGGAAGTCCTCGTTATTTGCAATATCGGCTGTCTCCATCACGTCCCAAATGCTCATATCATATTTAAAGAGCTGTGATGGCTCCAGTTTGCTCCTTTTCAGCCAGTAGAACTGGATTGTAAGCGAGTCGGTATCCGTCTTACGCAACGGTTTGAATGCAATCCTCCCGCTCTGATACCACCAACTTAGCTGTCGATTAAGAGACAGCATATTTTGGGGGGATTTCAAGAAACTTGGATCTCGAATTAGTTCAGAGAGACGATCAGCCGTCTCAGTACCCCAAAACGTGTCCATCATGGATAAAAGATTGGGAGAATGAATCGCGTTGGGGAAGATGGTGACGGCTTCGGGGTTCTCCATGCGGGAGATGCTGCATATCCTCACGTCTCGTTTCTTGCACTAACAGAGGTTAGAGAGATACTCATTGGATGGTTTTCAATGTAGGCACTTACAAGATCCATTGATTGCAAAAGGTGCACGTTGTCTTCGCTGAAACCTCCGACTTGTCGCGCTTCTGCGCTCACAACTAGAACGGAAAGGCATCAGCACAAAAGTTCTCCTGTAACATGCTTCTCGTGGGCATTGCGACTTGATGACATACATTCAAGTATTACAGTGACAGCGGTGCGGCACTGTTCAATAAATTCCTGGACCTCAGCCATGTTCTTCTCTCGAGCGTTTCTCTCCAGATTATCAAGTCGGGATCGTAGCACGTCGACTGGGGCAACCATGAACAATGCGAAAACCTTCATGCTTGGTACAAAGGATAGCTCATGCCGTCTGAGACTATCTTGTAGCCGACCGAAGAGAAAAATTCTAGTGTAAATATCCGGAACGTAGTCTAAAACGGGTTCTTCGGCTGCACGACTATAATTTTCAACGAGTCCTAAAATGAGCGACGGCCTTTCCTTGGCTAAGTTGAGGAGCGGGCCAAGTTGAGAGTATTCGTTCAAATGTAGCAATGACTTCATCTGTTGCTCATTCAATGTCGAGGCCAAGGCCTTTCCAAGCTGATCTTCCATGATGTGAAGCGAGATTGCGATGGGTTCGAAGAGAGAAAGGAGAGGTGGTTGAAGCAGCACTTGGTTTTGCGAAAGAAATTCACTGCCGTTTATATGTCCCGCCTTGAATAACCTACCTTATATATTCACTTCTTAAACTTTAATATGAATAGTGGAAAATATGTTGAAGGCTTTTGGCACCAAGGACAGAACCTAGCTTTTTGTCCACGTAGAGCATTGGAAGTATATAGTAGCCGCTTACATCTCTTACTACATTTACTTTCTTCTGATTTCTTCTACTATACGGTATAGAGCACCTAGCAGGTAAGAATCGAGCTATGGAAGTGATTCTAATCACTGCTATTACTTGGGTTACTGACCAGCCAATGTCTCATTAACACCTGGATGATATCATAAGAGGATAATAGATATAAAACTTTACAGCCGAAATACGTATTCTCTGAGGTATCTTGAATGGCATTCACTACCACGGCCGTGGTGCATCTTCAACCAACGTCTCCTTCTCGCCAGCACCCTCAGTCACCAATTTCCCTATAGCAGAGTCATCCCTTCCAATCTTCTCCTCAAAAACACCCTGCCATACTCCCCACGGATTCCTCCTCGCCCTCTTCCACGCCAACTTCTCTCCTCTACCATGTGGATCGGCTATCCAGTCATCCACCGCCTGTCCCACGCCCTTCATCGCAGTTTCATTCTCGCCGCTCGCCATTCCAGGCGGATCAATACCAACAAATGCAGTCTTTTTAAGAGGAAATCCAATAGCAGCGCAATGACCGTCGATGAGTCGGACCTTCTTGAAAGCGTGGGATACAATTGTTAAAGAAGCAGGCCAAGCATGGAAGCGAGCGTAGAATAGAGTAAGGCTAAAGAGTACATTGTGGTAAGAGTCCAATGCGCGATCTTCTATTATCATTTTGGACGAATTAACCAAGTCTTGCGAGGAGTTGATGAGGTTGAAGTAGCCGTGGGCGGAGGCGATATTGGCATAGCTTTGGGCCTCACTCAAAGTTGTTTCTTTTCGTGTTGGGCCGCTACAGAGGCATCAGACTGGAGTTTTGGCCTTGATTTCATTTCTATTATATGGACTACTCACCCCGAAACTGCGAGCACGGCATTGTCGTAGTCCTGGGCAAGGCATCGGACGCCTGCTTTAATGTGCTCAATAAACGTGTCCGTTTCGCCGCGCTGAAAATCGGCGATTAGCCATTCGTCTTCATTGGCGCCATTTGATGGGCCGCCGGTCCAGATGCCGTGGCAACAGACGATGATTAAGTGTTTTGGTGGTGCCATTGTGAATGGCGAATTGATTGGGTTTGAATTGGTGGATTGGGGGGAGAAAGTAGCGTTGATAAGACGGTTCTAGAAGCTGAATCGATTCGGCGATTATGCACAAGAAGCTGGGCTTGTTCCACCTCATTCTGCATAGAGAAAAAGACATGCTGGGGGATTATCTACATCAGAATGATAAGACCGAATCACAAAAAATTGTTTTGAAAACTCGTCTTTTAATTATCGTTTTTATTAATTCGTTTTAATACCAAGGTAGCGATAGAGCATCGGATACTAGGCGTATGTAGCGATGGTAGAGCTAGGCAAAGATAATAGTGATACATACCTAGCTGCAGGTCTAGAAGTATCAGACGTCTGTTGTTTCCCGTAATGTTTAGATTTAAACTCGTCATTCTAGGAACCTTTGGTATAAGATAGTATACCTAACAAAGTACACTCCTCATCGGCCAAGGTGAATGTCCTAGTGCAGCTACTAATGGCAGCGGACAAGAGGAGTGAAGATAACATTTGTTGATTCTGACTGACCGTCCCCAGCTGAGTGCCATGCTGTCGTCATTATGAGGCGCGTCTTCAAGAGGTCGAAGAGCTCGGTCCAGAAATCGCTGATCCACCGCCTGTCACGGTCCGATATAATCACAGTTGGAACTTGGCAGCCCCCAATCCGCGATGAGCCAGAACGACACAACAACTCTTGCCCACACCTCCACCGGGTATGTTGAGTGCCCTGGAAGGATACCGCGTTTCTTGGATGATTTGCAGGTGATATTGAGGATAACATCGAATTCTTCAAAACCCGGTTGCTTGAACATCGAGGATGCTGACGACACCACTGGCAGAGCTGAAATAAAGTCAAGGCATTGTGTCTTGTAGGGAACAATTGGTGGTGTAATAGGATGTAGGTTGAATCCAGGATCAAGTACGGCGGCTATTGACACTACAAGAAACTTGGCAGCTCGACAAGTTCCTCGCTACAGTCAAGGACTGTCCTGAAATTCTCGATCCTGTTCCCACCCGGGTTCCCCCTAAAGAGCCCGTTTCATCCTACCTTGGCGAACTGGGGATTCGACAACAGCTGCTGGACGGAATTACACGGATTGCGCATGAGGTCGATCAAAGCTACGACATTCACACATGGCGCTATTTGCCATCTTGATGGTCGCCCCAGTCGACAACTTACAGTCCAAAGTCGAGACGCTGGAGATGAGCTGTCGCGATAACGATCAAACTGGTGTCAAAGCCATGCTCACCCATTGGCGAGAAATAAGTCTGGTCGGTATTCAAGCATGCATGTCTTCCCAAGTCCTCTTTACAGCGAATGACTCCGTCTCTGAGAGTCTCGTGGATGGTTATAGCAAGGAACGTCGCCTACAAACAATAATCCCCCATGGTTGCGAATAAAGAAGTGCGACAATCAGGGAGCATCAAGCCTCATCTGTTCAACAAGGGCCGGCAAAAAAGCAGCTTCTCTCCCAAGAAAGCCATTCATCCGACGCAAGAGGTGCTCCCGTCTCATCGCTCACCTCAAGACCCCTCAACCTGCCATCTCCGAAACCACAAGCACAAGGCCTGGCTGAGGGAAGAGCAGCATGGGCTGAAAGACATGTAAGTGCTTCAACAGGCTTCCTCAGCCCATCATTCAACAACGTCCTTCTCATGTTCCGACAGTGCAGGTACCGGGATGGCCAAGTTTGTTGCCTTGGCATCATGCCAAATCCTGTAGTAGCTCATATTTTCCCCTTGGTTGGTTCGAAACTATCCAGCATCACGGCCATGGTCGTCATCTTTTGGGTAATGGCTGGGGATCAAAACATCAGCGAGTCCCCTCAGAATCTCATCTCGTTCAATCGTCAACTACACTGGTGGTCCAACAATGGCCGCATGGCGCTCAAACCATTGCGGGTGATGAAAGGTGGAACAGTTCAAGTGCAGCTTCACTGGGTCGAGCCAGGCCGGTCGACGCCAGATATGAGCATACGTGGTGTCTGTTATGACGATTTAATAACGCGAGTTGGTAGTTTCCCCAGTTGGATGACCGGTGTTTATTGGTCTTCGGGTGTTCCGCTTAGCACAGGACATACTCACACTTTTTTGGAATTGGGTAGACCAAAGCCATCTCCCAAACTTCCATCTTCTCCAACTGTCATGGGAGCTTCGTCGTGTTGCTGCGGTTTGTGGCGCATATCCAGGGCCTGAGGATGAGTTGGACGATGACGAGGAAGAGTATTCTGGTGATGATGAAGGACATGATGATGACGAGGATTGCGATGACAATGATGGTGTCGATGTCGATGCTCATCTCGGTAACTGGCAGGAAAACCAGAACGCCCAAATACATCAATGGATGGGGGAGGTTGAGGCGGAAAACGGCACCAAAGCCAAGAAGGCTTCCAACGGCACCGAATACAATGACTCGGGAATTTGATGTGGATTTTCGGTGATACAACTTTTGCGGAAAAGATTTACGGTCAGCTATATTGTTTCTGTAGATGTCTCTATTCTGCCAGGGGTGAACGCATCAGTCACTCGGGGGGGTGTCCATCTTCAGCACATGCAGATGGCATATACTAATGTCTAGTGGATGTAGATAGATCTACCTATTCATAGATAGATCTACTAGAGATGAATAGATCTACTTGGGAGTATAAAAGTACATCCATCTCTGGTTCCTTCGAATCTCTAGGCCAGAACAACAACATTCCACCTGCATCTACATTCTCCAAGTCACTCAACTCCAGTCCATCCAAACATAACCATAACCTCAAGCACCAAATAGCAACTCACATTCCGCATCTACATCTTCGCTCTACTCTCACTCTTCTGCCTCGGCCCCTCCGCAACAACCCTCACGAAAAACGAAACCGCATCATTCACCATATCCGCCGCAAACTTGTGTCCCACGCCCTCATATACCCGATTATCCACCTCGACGCTCCCATCGGCATACCACCCGTCCACCGCACCCTTCAACACCCGAATAAACGGCTCCCCCTGCGCATACGGCACCAAGTCGTCAGCACCTCCAGAGCACAAAAGCAACTTCTTCCCCCGAACACGGCCGTCCAAGATCTTGCGCAGCCGGTCCTGCTCAGCTGACGATAGGGGAAGTGAGGGAATGGGGTTCGTCCCGAAGAGGATGCCCTTGGGATCGCTCTTCCGAATAGTAGCAATGGTGTCCGGTGGAAAATACTTGCTACCCAAGAAACCTCCCTCGCCATGCTCCAGCTTAGATGCCGCAGCACGACTTCCCAGCAAGCCTGTTTCCCTTGAATCAGCATCTCGAAGCTTGTACATCTCTTCCACTCCGTTCCACACAGAGACTTGACTCACCCGCAAGATCAGGACATCCAACAATCACCACAGCAGCATCCATCCTCTCCTCCCCAAACCACGCCTGCCACGCCGCATGCCCTCCCAAACTCCAACCCAAACACACATGGGCATCCGTCTCCCTCCCCAAATACCCCGCCACCTGATCCATCAACCCACTCGCATCCCCCGCGCCCGCCTTCACCAAGCCCAGCATATCAATCGCATGCTGCTCATTGCCCTCATCCCACGCCTTGTTCGCCAACTCGCTCACCATCCTCGTCCCGTGATTGGGCATGTCAAACACCAGCGCCACGAGCCCCCGCTGCTTCTGCTTCGGGCTCTGGTTCCAAGAATGCACGGCTCGCCGCGCAATGTCGTTCATGACGTCCTTGGACCGCGTCCGGGGATGGAGAAGCCACAGGCATGTTACTGGTGCGGGAGCGGGGGGGAGCTCTTGTAAGCCGTAGATGTCGACCAGGAGGCCGGCCATGGGCTTGGTGATGACGGAGACGTTGGGAGGGGGAGGGAGGCCCTTTGTTGCGTATCGGCGTTCATTTGAAGCCATTCTGAGTGTGAGTAAAAGGAAAACTGAGGAGGTAAAATGGATGTTGGAGAGAGAAAAGGAATAAGAGAGGTGAAGAGTGAGAAATGGGGTGTAAGTTGCGTCTTGTAAGAAGAGGAGCAGATGGATGGATGAATCTTGATCAATTGATTAACCGATGGCTTTAGCCTGTTCTGGGGCTAGTCAAGTCAATCCCCCATCTCAAAACAGTGCCCAACTTGGCAACTACATCTCCATGCCGTCTAGCTTAGCCCAGATAAAATACATTAATCGCGATCCCTCGCAATCCCGGTGAACCTCGGCAGACCAAATCAGGACGACAACAGTCACTTAGAACGTCCAAGATACAGTACAAAGCGCAGATCCTGTGACAAACTAGCAGCTTCAAATAAGGTATTCATGTAGTGCTGTCTAACAAGATAACAAGAGCATCGTAAAAGGATTTGCTCGCTCTATACGCTCCCCCCTTGCATGCAACAAAGGTAGTAGCTCAACTGACAAACTGCAGAAGTCAAGGTGCAACATCTCGTTTCTCGTGGTGAAGCAGACATTTCGCATGTTTCCGTTTCCGTACATGCAGTAATCCGCTCCTGGTTCGCTCTTTGTAGGTAGTGTCCTCCTTCCATGGCGATTAGCAGTAGTCCCCTTCTTTTTCCCATCGGTCAAACGGCCAACTGTGGCTCAAGCCGCGTTCCTTCTCCTGTTTTGATTTCTCCATATTTTTTTCTCCCGTGCCACTTCAATCCACCTTCCAGTGATCCTGGTCGTCCGTGCTGAGCGTAAGTTCTATACCGTATAGGATCATCGTCAGTCCTACGTTGATCCATCGCCAAGTGCTTCCACCCACGTCTCCGCCCCTGAGCGTCCATCCATCTGGCCCCTCGCTGGTCGAAAAGTGTTGTAACAGCAGGCTGGTGTAGACAGCTATCAAAATTGTCGGCGAAAAGTAGCTGAGGATACTGAGGAACATTGACGCCGCTTCTGACTCGTCCCAGTCAGGCTCGTGCAGCATGGCTCGGGCACCCAGGTCCCGTACTGAGGGAATGATGCGAGTGGCGCAGTAGAAGACGAAGAGACGGTATGCGAGGGAGATGATGACGGACGGCGTAATCGTCTGGAAAGCGGCGTACAATAGGGCGAGCGACGAGTGAAGAGCGCCAGGGAGAGTGCTAACTATGTGAAGCAAGGTTGAGTACGAGGCCATGATGATGGGCGGCAGCGGGGGGATTTCTGGCTGAGACGATGCCTGGTCCTCGGCCGAATAGGTGCCGTCGGAAGGGAGGTAGTCGGTAAAGATTTGGTAGACGCAGAGCACGACGTAAGCAAAGAGAAGCGATGACTCGACAGGGCTGCCGCGACCGCTGCCAATGCCGTAGGCGCATAGAAACACGGCTGTAGTCATGGTGGCACCAATGAGCGTGGCATCAATGTTGCTGATTTGGGGGAACTGAGCAACACGCCACAGGAAATAGACGGCGCTGGCAATGATGGAGCCGGAAAACGCAAGCAAGAAGATCTGCCAGATGCGACAAGTTAGCTATCGAGATGAGATCGTCATCGGTTTCTTTTTCACGGGATCGCACTCACCACCCAGGTATCGCTCCTCCCTCTGTTAACCAGCCATCGAGTAATCTGTCCCGCCGCCTGGATTACGAGCAGCGTGCAGAAGCCCTCGAGCAGCTGGAAGACAGGGCCCGAATAGCGCAGCACGTTGTCCCACGAGCCCAGCATGACCGTCTCCAGCACGCCCTCCTTGCCAAACATCCACTCGGTCCAGCTCGTGCTCTTGGAGTGGAAGACGCCGTCAAAGGTCCTCTCCACCCAGCCCGCCTCGTCGACGTCGACGGCGAACTTGCCCAGCGCCCAGATGAGCAGCGACGGGATGACGAACCATTGCGCCAGCCTCAGCAGCGACACAATGGTCCAGCGGATGCGCGACGTCTCGGGCGTGGCCAGTCGGATGGCCGAGTAGAAGATGTAGAAGATGGACAGGCTCAGGCTGTAGGCCAGGCCGCTGTCTCGCCCGCCCACATCGAAGGCGACGGGGATGGACAGGACGATGGCGAAGAGGAAGATGCTGCTGAAGAAGATGCTGAATGGCCACCACATGAGTGCGGCGGGGGCGACAGTTCTCGCCGCGGGGGGGAACGAAGCGCGATGATGTTGATGTTGCTGTTTCTGTTGCTGCTGTATCGTGTCTATCTGTCTTGTCGTTGCGGAAATCGAAATCCAAATCCAAAAGCCAGCAAACGCAACAACCGCTCGCTTCCCCGGTTTTCGGTGCCGCCGCGATGCGAAGATGACAATCCCCGAGATGCAGTCGCCCGGAATCGCTCCCTCACCAACGGCTACTCATCTGTCTTGCCCGGCTTGCCTTTTTGCACTGTCGTCCTTTTTGTCCGAGGGGATGGGAGATGCAAAAAATGCAAAAAAGAGCGCAAGGCGTCCCCCTTTTTTTTGGTTCTTCTTCTTCTTCTTCTTCTCCCCGAGTCGTTTGTTCGTCTGCAAAAAGCGCGAGCCAGAGCAGCTCCGATTTGCCTTGCCCACTACCCCGATATGATTTTTTAGCTCGTATGACAAACCAAAAGCTTGTGAAGTGTCCAGACTTGGGAGCGGCTGCTTATCCTTATCTGCACGTGAGCGACGTCGCAATGTCGCAGCCACATGTGATGTCAAGATACAATAGCCTGTGATAATGGTTGAATGAATTCAAGGGGCGCGGTCAAACGAGGGTGAAGCAGTCAGTTGTCGGGCTGTATTATATCGACGACGCAAAAAGTTCAGTTATGTGCTGGAGGCTTGGAAGAAACGAGGGCCCAAGGCTGCGATAGCATTTAATAGGTCACGTCACATGCTTGGGGATCAGCTCTGCGGATGACGACTGTGGCGCGTTTGGGTGACCAGACACTAGCCACAGGGCAAGGAAAAAGTTGGATTCGAGATGCGCATCTGCATCAATGATTTGGAGATGTAATTAGACTAGGTCTTGGCTTTTTGATTTGATATGGTATCGAACGATCCAGTTTTGCTATCTAGATTTTATTCGGTCGTGAATGGCCCGAATACGATGCCGTCGTGAGAGTTTAGCCACCGTCTTTATTAGCGGGCTGAGAGACACTATAAACTCTATATAACAAGATGATAGCAACTTGAGCCGATACACATCTATTTAATCTCTGGCTATAGAGATAAGAGGTAGCATTGACTAATTTGAGTTTTCTTCTATCAAAATTAAATTAAAAAGTGCTATGTTATCGCTGATACGTGTTCAAACTGAAGCCTTATCTAGATCATTCTATCCATCATCAAATGCACCAACACCAACAATATCAATCTGAAAGGTGACAAAATTGATCGAAATCTCGCTTTTGCTGTCGAATCAACCATCATCAACCATTCATTGTCAACCCGATGATACTTCTTCCGAAGCATATTACGCATGAGGCTGCTCTTCATCTTCGTCCCAGCCCTCACGCTCATCCTTGGGAATCCGAATCATCACACACACCAGCGTCGCTACACCAGCCAGTGCAACAGAGAACCACAAAGCATGTCTTATGCCACCGATTGGGTCGCCTCCATTCTTGTTCGTGTATCGCTCAATAGTCCCAGCAAATCCCAGACCCGTGCTCAAGCCGTACAGCTGGACCGTTCCAACGAGCGATCCAGCCACGCCCTGGAGCCTTCGTTTGACGCTGTTACTGGTGATGATTTGGGCAGCAGTAAAGATGAAGTCCGGGCTGAATCCCAAGATGAACAATGCTGGGAATTCCTGCGGCCAGTAAGTCTGATGTGCCGGCATCGTTGCCAGTAGAATACCCCCAACAAGGGCGGCAACCGTCCCAATCGCCATGACAAACTGCGCAGGCAGATACCGGATGCTCAACGCGCTCGCGCCGCATGCTATCGTTGCCATGACGGTAAACGTCACAAATCCGGCAGCGTTGAGGAAGTTGGAGAAATGGCGAATCTCAATGTGCCATCGTGTGATGTAGTATAGGAGAATGCCCGTGCTCATAAACGTGAAGAAGGCCGACAGCAGCATGGGCTTGAACGACGGCGCCGACCAAACCGTAAACGGCAGAATTGGTTCCTTTGCAAACTTGGCCTCCCATAGTAAGAAGAGGGCTATGTGTAGCACGGAAAGGATGAGGAGGACGTAGACATAGCTGACACTCCAGCCTTTGATGGCGGCCTCGCTGTATCAACATTAGCAGATGTTGTCAAGATCGAGTTTGCAGTTTTGACAGATACTAACGTCCAGGAATAGTTGAACAAGATCAAACCACCGACGCCCAAGTAAGAACCCAGATAATCAACCTTGCCGTTCGGATCCATCGTAACCTCTTCGGCCGGTACAATAACGGCAGCGGCTCCGAAAATCACGGCTCCGGCAATGGCACTACACGATCGCCCATCGTTAGCCTTGCTCGTTCGTATTGCCAAACCAGGGTACCATCTCCCTATTTCGTCTCTCACATACAAGAAGAAGAAGAGCCACCACCAAGGTAGCAGTTGGCCAAAGAAGCCAGGGAACACGGATCCTCCGCCAGCGCCAACAGGGGCCATGGCTCCAAACAATCCGACCCATATCAGGCGGCCCATGCCGGGAGGAAACGATGTGGTGAGCAGGGCAATGGCGTTCGGGACGATTATGCCAGCTCCCACGCCGCTAAGAGCCCGCATCACGATGATGGTCTCGACCGTCCGCATGAATCCACAAATCAGGTTGAAGAGGATATAAACGATGCTGCCAATGACGAGAATCTTCTTGTGTCCGTGTACGGCGCCAACCCGCCCACCCATGAGAACAAAAGTCGCCTGAGTTAACCTGTTGCGGAAGAAGACGACCCTCCTCGTCAGTTTACACGCGCACTTGGCCGACGGCAGATACGAATTAAAGGACAGACAGCTCTTACGGGTACGCTGCAGCAATCCAGATGCCCAGATTAGGGTCGGCCCCCAACTCCGCTGGAACCGTAAAGGCGACCAAAAGGCCAGAGCCGAAAGGAAGAGCCTGAGGCGCTTTCGGTTAAGACGAGAGATTCTTCATGCATGTGAAAATTGCTCAATGCCCACATACCACGACAAGCTGGCACAGCACGATGCTCAAGGCGATCAAGTGCTTCCGCATTCCCTCATCCCTCTTGACCACATCCTCCCCGGTCGCTTCTGTCTGGTTCGTCGGTTCGGCATCGATGGTGGTTGTGCTTTCGCCCGATTCTGGAGTTGACTGCTCGTTCGGTCGATCCACTTTCAGCTCTTCATCGGCCGCCATTTGGAAATAAGATCTCGCGGATCAATCTTTTGCTGCTTTTTTTTTTCCCTTCTCTTTCGTTTCCTTCGCATTCACCTAAGAAATGCCGACTACAATCGGTGAGCCACGGCCCAGGTGAGCTAACACCTTTATAAGACATGATTCCAATCAACACAGTTTATGCTTTGAAAGCAATGTATTTGTAAAATAACAGCCAATTTGATAGCACTTGACCAGGGAGCCGACGAGACTTTCCTCCGACTGCTACGAGTTAAAGCCCATGGTGGTGAGATGCTGAGTCGGACGTCTTAGCTAAGTGCTCCGACTTCAACACATCGCCGCCCAATCAGCGACTCCGTGGCGGGACTCGATACAAATCATTCTTCGGTAATGCTCTCCAAGTGTAAGAGCCGTAAACTAATCAACTGCTAAGGCACAGTTGAGAGGTTGTTCGCTCCCTGTTAACAAAGCAGCTCCGAGTTCTTTCGTAATAAGAGCCGCGCGCCCCTAAATTACAACCCAAAACAGACGCCGCCCGTGGGTCGGACAGCGAAAATGCTCGACAATTACATGTATATGGTTTGTCCGCTGTAGTATGGGGCATGTCCAACACGTAACCTGCAGTTTAGAGAGCAGGGGGGTCGGATTGCTTCACGTTGCGCACAGCAAAGAGGGTGGTCGAATGTGCATGCGGCGAAATTTTTCAAAGGGGCCCGAAGTAGCTATATATGTATGTGCAGAGGCGCAACATGAAATGTATTTCTATAAAAAGACGCTTTATTATTAGACTTTTTTTTTTTTCTTTCCCAATCATACAGCTAATGCCTTCAAGTTCAATGGTTGCTTGATTACTTCGTACCTAGCTGGCGGGAATCATGGCTGTAACCACCGCCTCCAAAAGGGCCTGTTCGCAATACGCCGGCCCCTTGTCTATGCAGAAGGATATTCCCGTCAGAACATGTATCAGCCGTGATCTAGACAGGCGAATGTTTTTGGACAATGCTTCAGAGATCGTGTTGTATCCAGTTGGCGTCTGACTATCCAAAATGGAACCCTCTTGTTGTAGGGCCCTGAGGGTTGCCAGGAGGACATCCGGATCATCGGGGGGTTTGGTGTTCAGGAGCAAGCCCGTTGGCTTGAGATCCGTGAGCGCAATGGTATCGAAGTCGATATATCTCAAGCCGCAAGCTAATAGCCACTGCTCGATCTGGTAGGCATTCAGGATCCGACTCTGCGCCGGTGGAGGAGACCCTTTTTCCGGTGGCGTTACGATTTCTCCGCGAAACACCCCCTCGACGGCTCTATACTGCGACGTGACGATTCCGTGATAGTACTGGGCCACCAGGTAGTCGTCAAACTCGGCCGTGGCTAATCGAACAACTTCTGGAGACTGTGGCCTCAAGTACCAGCGCAGTACCATGAGGATTTCCTCGCGCGAACGGAATTTCAGAGGGAAGCCGAATATCCTATCTACCATCGGGGTAGTAGTCTGCGTATCGCTCAGTATGGCATCATAGGCATTCTGCAACGAGGCTCTGGTCACAATCATACTAAGGGAGTCTTCGGCCGGATACATCTGCAGCATGGTATCGGTGTCGGCACAATCGGCAAAGTCGATGGGCGGCAGGCTCATGAAGCCGTTGCCAAATATGTTTCTGATCTGAGGCGAATGCCATCCGGACAACGGGTTGCTGTGTTGAACGCCCGGTTGAGGTGCGTGCCGGGGCTGGTTAAAGGCATTGAAATCAAGAAACATGTTGTCTACGGGAGCTGGCTGAGGAAGCTGCCCGTTTCCGTGGAAGCCTTGCTGGATAGCAGCGTTATCAGGGCTGGGGCTGGGGCTGGGGCCAACAACCTTGATGGTGGGCGGGCTGTTATCAGAGTTGTCGTCCAGGTCATTGTTGCTGCCCTGGCACAGAAACAGAATGCTGTCGGTTGCCGTCCGCAGCTTTGAAATGAGAGCAGGATCCCGGTTGATGAGCGGTGACTGAAGGATCCCGTTGGTGAAGTCGAGAAAGGTAGAAGCCATCTGCTCAAGGGCGCCCTCCATATGGATCAAGTTCTTCTCATAGTTTGCATGCGCGGCTTGACGCCGTAGCCGAAATAGGCGCTGGGCTTTGCGATTCCGCTGCCGCCGTTTCTGCGTTGGGTTTGGCGAGTCAGTCTGCGTTGAACTGAATGTGAGCGTGGACATGCATGAAACAAACAAACCTCGAGGCTTTCGTCATTCTCCGGCGAGTTGTTTTGCGGTTTCGGCTCTACCCGCCGCGCGCTGCGTCGTGGTTTCTCTGAAGACATCTTGTGAGGTTCTCTGTAGTATCTGATCTGGTGGTGAAGATCAGGACTCGGGAGGTTGACGGTTCCAGTTTAATCATCCAGTTGCCGCCGTCATCAACTCCCCCAAACCATGGCCTTAAGTAGTTGAGTTCCTGATGCATCCGCCCAGCGCTTTATGCCAAAATGCACATCCCATCAGACGATTCCGACGGCCAGAGTTGCCATCAAAGCCATGGTCGCTTACAAAATACACTGAGATTTCGCCGAAAGGATTCTGCCAGAACCAAAGGTGATGCTTGTTTCTGACAAATACGGGCCAGCTGGCGGAGACTATCCCCTTCCGGGCCTCGTATAAGCATCTACCGCCAATCTCTTCCTGCGGTGGCATATTTTGCACCTATCGTAGAAGCAACCAGGCCGAGGCTGTACTGCTAGTATAATTGCCTTCTTAAGCTAGAACATGACTCTCGTATCATCCATCATTGTCTCCGTGATGGGATTTCAGGACAGTTTCGCCTCCAACTATAGACTTTATCCGAGGTGTCTCGGATAGTTAGTCAGGTAACCCAAGTAGCTTCGACAACAAACTCTACGAAACCGAGTAAAAATCCTGCAAGTTATTGGGAAAATGTACATTTATTCAATGAGTCAACTACCTAGCAGGATTTGATATGCGGCCAACCCGCAATGCCGCAGCCTACCTATTCATGTAGCCATCCAGCCCAGCGTGTCATTGGGCGGCGGTTGCTCCGTGGTTTAGTAATCATAATTGAGTAAATCGTCCTCATGATTCATGAGGATATCGGGGAGCCTCGCTGGGTTTGAAAGTCTCTCAAAAGCGTCTGCAGCAATGCTAAAATCTTATTTATAACATGTAGGTTGAAAACTAATCAGTTGTATCCCAACTTCTGCCGAGGATCGTCTTTCCGTTGAACCGGCCCCAAACCGGAGCGATGGGAAAATTTGTCTCCCGCCCCGTGTATTAAACACGATAGGAAAGTGTATAGTACCTTTACCATAGGTAGGCAGGCAAACATACGTAACGTGGATTTCATATCTAGGCATCCAGATAGATTCGTGCGTTTTAGAGTCTGCCTGTGATCACAAAGTTGTTCCTTTCATATGCCTACTGGGTAGTAAACACCCATATACTCAAGTATACCGAGTCAAGCACACTTGCTATACACATCAACCTTAGCCATATATATCTAGCTCTGCACAAAAGCCCCAACCTTAGTTCTCACATACCATTCCTACCCAATTGTATCATCACAGGCTAACATTGTCCTCAAACATCATGACAGGATCCGACCCTCCAGGCTTGAAATAGGAATCTCCACACCCCTTCTGCGCCTGTTGAAGTATCCTGACAAATGAGATGATCGTTGATACTTACTCCATATCAGCATCACTGCCACCCAGCGATGGCCTTCAGTTTCAATGATTATCCGACTTCGCCTTTGATACCGCGGAGATCCAACCTCGTCAGGGGCGTCCAAAGTTCTGAATCCTCCGCCAGATTTAGCTCCTCTCGCCGCGTAGTTGACGACCAAGAGACCCCGGTCTGGGGGCTAGTTAGCCCAGCCCAGCTGGGCTTTTGGGTTAATTGTAGATAAACCTGCCCATGGATGACTCGAGCCTGGACCGCTGTCCCACTCACGGGAGCATACTACTGGTGGTAGTCTGCCTGGCCAAGCAAGTCATGCATAGAGGATGTTCCATTGAATGTGTAACATTGTGTTAACTTGAAAACGAGCCAATGAAACCCCTTGATCATCGTCCACCCTCCCCCCAACGTCCCAGTGGCCATTGAAGTGATTGTCGGCGGCGCTAACGCAAACCTCATCGGCGATATCGGTCTCTAGGAAGGGCCCAGGCAACATCAATGTCCTTCCAATAGCGCCAAAATACTTCGAGGTCGGTTCAAGGATGCCCAGCCGCCGGTGGGATACAATCCTACCATAAGTGCTTCTCCTAGCTGCAGATCCGGCTGTTATAGTAGAAGCTTTGAATTCCGGTTGTCGTCTCTCGGGCGTCGGGGAATCGGTCCAACCCTCGGACAAATACGGCTTGCCAATAAGGTTGCCACTCGATCTCGTCTGCAATGTGTGCTGGGTTGTTTGTAGCCCGGTAATTGGCAAGATTGACAAGGATGGCCTGGCTGAAGACCCAGTTGAAGGCTTGAAGCTCGCCTATTCAGCACCCCCTGAGTGCCCACATCGGGCACCCACGAAAGAGGCTGTTACACAAGACATATTAAACATCCGCGGTCTTGATTCCTACAGCTTACATCTCAGTCTTGCATTCATTGCTAGGGTCGATGGTGGGTCAATTTTCTTCTATTCGGCGATCACCTTGAAGAACAGAATCCTTCAGACCCCGAAAGAGTGAGACGTATCGGGCAACTATGCTAGGTTATGTTTTCAAATGTTAATTCCGTATAGATTATGCAGGATTCGGAATAGCTGAAGGACCCTTTTCCACGGAGCGCAAATCTTTGGCCAGTAAAATTTTAACCGTGACATCCATGTCTCCATATACCTCAGTCCCTCACCTTTTCATAAGGTCAATTCGGTAGTTTAACAGTGACAGGAAGAAGGTCATTGAAAAGGAATCACAGTTTTACAGACTCGTGTGGTATTACTTGGAAACTGTTACAAATTGTAACTTAATACATTGTATATAAGGCATAACTACTTACACCAGAATCACATCTTGCAGTAAAGTGGTCAGTAATATAGCCAATATGAATAACCTCGTATAAATACGTGCAAGACTTTCACCCATTGAAATAAGTTGCCATCGTCACCCAGACCCATCCTCGCTGACATGGATCACGGGCACGGTTTTAGAGTGGCTGCACATCCTCCTCTCCTAATGCGAGTAGTACATTAATTTCGACTCTAACCGGAGCTCGTATTCTCTCAGCTAATGCATATCTTCCATCTCAATGATTACTCATCGTTAATATCCTTCGTTAGATACAGTCTAGCTGCAGGTCTCTCCACTATCACATCCTTTCGCTAACTCCATTTCTAGAGCTCCAGCTCTGCAAAAGAATCTTTCACACTCTTCAACGTCGTAATATCTATCCCCAAGTCAGAATACGTGAGAAATCTGTCCTTGCCTGTCCACTCCTTATCCCGAATCATATCCCAAAACTCCATCCCAACCGTAAACTCTTGCACTTCCATAGGCCATGACGAGAAAAGAATTTCACGAGATACCTGGATATATTGACCAGTAGCTGGGACGTAAATAGGTCGAGTTAAGCCCGCAAAGTTTGTCACATAGTAGGCGCACCACACGAAAGTGATCTTTGCCAACACTTATGGCTTGGATTGGATATATCGAGTAACTTGGGCCTTGGACTCGTAATGCGGCGGCTTGATTCTACCACCGCTAACCGTATATGCGTTTGTGAGGGTTGACCAAATGTATTGCTGCAGCGTATCAGTGGTCAATGCCGCATCTACCATGTTGATGCCCATCTGAGTCTCAATAGCTGCAGCCCGGCCAGCCAATAAAGCAACATCCTTTTCTTCAGGAAACTGTTTTTGGGAGTCTGAAAACAAACCCCAGAAGTTTGTTACTGCGAAAATGGCATGTGATCCAGCAAATGCCGCTGTGAGGGCCGCGATATCAGTCAAATCCGCCTGAACCACTTCAACGCCACGGGCGGCAAGTGCTTTTGCTGCTGCGCTCTCCGTAGGTCGAGTTATTGCGCGGATGGCATATTCTTTAGATTTGTTTTTGAGTAGATAGTCAACAACTGAGCCTCCCTGCGCGCCAGTGTCGCCGACAACCGTGACGAGTTTCTTGGCCACCATCTTGATACAAATGTTTCAAACAAATCTATGAGCATTCTTTGAAATCTTACAATAATATGGCATATATATGTAGCTTCTGGATGAATGAGATGCCTGATGGCGGTGTGTCTTCTGAAAGGGCGTAAATCTTTCAGAGAGTGATTATCTCCTCGATAGTTGTTGGAGGGCGATCGGCTAAGATTCATAAGCATCTGATACAACATTAACCTGGGCACAATTAGTTAGCAAAAGAACTTGACACGCATGCAAATTTGGAATCAGAATTGGACAAAGGGAGGCCGGAACACCACGGTTGTAGAAGCCTGCCCTAGAACAGAGATGCTACAGCAAGATCCACCCAGACAGAAGCCTCAACGTCAATATCTGGGTCTGTATGGCGACATCATGCGAAATAACGTAAGTTCACAACAGCTAAGCTTCAATTATGGAAGATGTATCGGCGTTGATCGACAGTTTCGCCAGCTATTGCAGTTGGTAGGATCATCGTCTAGCTCGTTTAAGTCGCTTAGCGTCCACGATCATCAATCGACACCCCGTTACTTCGGCATTGGCGGCGGAAGAGCTAATGATATTAATGCCGAATGTCTATTTACCTGAATGTTTGCTTCATCTTGTTGTTATTCTTTGTTTCAGAATATTACTTATAGCTATTCTTTGCAGTGTTTTTTATCCCGTATATACCATTGAGTAGCTTCCTAGCTGACTACTAGTCCAACAGCTTCAATAGTGCAAACACTTCTTTTCTATAATAACCATTGTACATATACTACAGACCTCTGCAATGACCTTCAAATTGCCTCTTCTTGCCACCAAGGAAGCTCGTTTAGACAACACTCCGTCAGTTCTAGCGTTATTCGGCGTCCAGCATCCAGAGTCCCTCACACCTCTTAACTCGATCGCAGCCCTGAAAGACATATTTACTCTCGAAAATGGCCCCGGCCATGTCCAAATAGCACTCGAATCCCGACAACCAGGAAATCCCTCGTCAAACTGCAACACTACCATCTTCCAGGCATTCTGGTTCTCCAGCACAGACTACGAAGCCGGGTGGCAGAGCACTGCTGTGTCAACTTTCTGGAACTCGCTCGAAGAAGATGCCGGCGTTTGGCGTGAGATTATGCGTATAAGCCCACGGCGCTTTATGCATGCCACCGGGTCGACGAAAAAGCAAGGGCTTGCTCTGGTGCCAGAATTCTCAGACGTCGATTATACCGATATTGCGCCACAGCAGAAATACTGGGGCATTTATCGTGAGCGTATCCCTGATCATGAATCAGACGACTTTGAGTCTGCGTTCATCTCGCAGGCACAGAGAAAAGACATGGAGGAGAAAGAAGTGAAGGCGATGCCTGATAAGAAGACGGTGGGGCTTCGAGATCCTCCATCATCAGCAGACACGTCAATTGATCAGATCCGTCTCGGGAGTGTAGTACTGCCACATGGCATTGACAACATGCTGTACGTGTGGGAATTCCAGGACTATTCGCAAACGACGGAACAAGAAAAGGAGATTTGGGACAAGCACATCAATGACTTTGTGAAAGGCTGGATGAATTCACTGGACAAGGAGCGCAGCAAACATGGCGTCCTATCCTTTCGCAATACTGCCTTGACACAAATAGACGATGGCTTCACTTCAACATTGCCAGAGTCCCGTATCACGAGCCAATTTGTTTTCTATCTGGATCTCGCCGCCTTTGAATACTCTGGCAAGTCCACCCGAGACCACTTCAAGGCTCGTATGGCGTTTGAGAAACATCACAAAGACTCTGGGGCCCTCGGTATGGGCAAAGGACAAACTCAGCTCTCTGTCGAGGCAGGGATATTGAAAAGAAGCGACCTTGAAGCAGAGTACATTGGTTGTTTAGACGGAACGGGATTGATGGGCTATAAGGAGTTGATTGACGCAGTTTGACGGGATTATTCATCATGATCTGTTCTTACGCCCGGCCCAACGGCCAATCACATGGTCACGATGACGGTTCATAGGCGTGATGTAATTATTAGAAGCTTCCAGGTAGAATCATTAGTTGTTGGAGCGGATAAAGACAATAGACGGCGTCCTGGCATTACGTTTTCCAGCGTTCTATTTACCATGTAAAGTCCGCGAGGCAAATCACATGGCGAGGATGATGTGAGAGAACTTCAGCCATGTGGAGACAAGCTAGTGCAAGGAACCGATCGTGCATTAACTCCGCAGGCTGATAGCCACTGTTTCGATCTGGCTTTTCCCAAAGAGGTCATGCAAGATTGGCTTCCTGGACGGACATTTTCTTGTAAAATCCGGAGTGCAAAGTCGTTGAGCGTTCGAATCATGATGAGTTTCTTCGGTGATAATAACTCCGAGAATGATTGGATGTATAAAGGAGTTTGATGGGACAGTCGGAAGATGCGAAGAGCCCATCATAATAACGACTCATAAGTTTAGATCAAAATGACTTCGAATAACAGCTTTGGAGCAGAGACAACTGCCGAAGAAGTGGCAGCGTCTTTTCGCGACCAGATTGCTGGAAAGACGAGTAAGTACATGGCCGTTTTCTGTTGCTTCGAAGGCTCGAATCACAGCAGTTGACGTTTAAAACATGCAGTTCTCATCACTGGCGTCAGTCCCAATGGACTCGGTGCTGCTACCGCTGAAGCTCTCGCCAAGTATGGCCCGGTGAATCTAATCTTCACTGCTCGGACACTCTCCAAGGCCTCTGCCGTATCCGACACTATCCGGACCGAGAATCCAAATCTGAAAACACAGATCCATCTCGTCCATGTCGATTTGTCAGACCTGGACAGTACTCGCCAGGCTGCCGCCAACATCCAAAAGCTGGCACCGCAAATTGACATCATTATCAACAATGCAGCGGTAATGGCCATCCCCGAGAGAGAGATGACAAAGTATGGACTCGAAGCACACCTGGTCACCAATTTCCTCGGCCATTTCGTTCTCACGACGCTTCTTTCTCCGCAGTTGAAAGCCGCGGGATCCAAGGCGCGGGTTGTTAACATTGTCAGTGGCGGGTTCTACGTCCAGCCGTTCCGTTTCAGTGACTACAACTTTGACGGCGGAAAAGACCTCCCAGAGGAGGAGCAGGTCGACGTTGTAAATGCAGAAAAGCTCGGCATGGGCTGGGTTACGGGCTTCGGCACAGGATACGTCCCATTTTTGGCGTACTCCCAAACCAGCACGGCATTGATGCTCCTCTCCAAGGGACTAAGTGAGGGTTTCTCTGGAGAAAAGATCAAGGCCGGTAGTGCCGCTCCTGGAGGTGAGTCAATCATGTCTGAGTAGGTAGTAGAGTCCACGAGGGTTCATGCAAGCTGACGTTATCAGTTGTCTTGACGGAACTTCAACGGCATCTTCCAGGAGAGTTCAGGAACCAAAAAATGGTGTACAAGACTGCAAGCCAGGGAGCTGCAAGCTTTCTCGTCGCTGCTTTGGACCCGAGTCTCGACGGTATGCAATCTTGTCGCGCTGGTTTGAAGCATGAAGCTAACGGTGATGTAGACCATCCAGGAGCATACATTGACGATTGCCAAATCAAGGAGACTCCGAAATATGCTCGTGACGAAGCAGTCGCTCGTAGACTCTGGACATTGGCTGAATCATGGGCAACAAGCGCATGATAGTATTGAAAGCGGGACTGTCGAGAAGAGGGCATTGCTCATGTGATTGGTCGCCCACCATATGTAACTCTGCGACATGAATAGAGTATTGAGGCGTAAATAGGTAATAAACTTAATCGCACTCAATAGCTCAAGAATGATAGCAATCTTGCTTTTTTATCAACTGGAAGCCAAAGATCGATGTTGTACAAGCAACGACGCCTGAGAATCGAGGCAACAACAGATGCATCTATCGGTGCGGCCATCCACAAAGGGCAAGCAACACCCGCGGTTGCCGCTTTGGTGATAGCCTGCCCCAATAAGTGCATTCCGTGTCTCCATTGCGCCACACCAATTTCCAGCACGACAGCCTAATTGTAAACCTGCATTTATTTTTTCTTCTTCCTCTTCCTTCATGCATCCTGACCTGAGCCTTTGTCGATACGCTGCCGGATGGCCATTTGACGTGTGTTCAAACACTGGAATCATGTTTATTCCGCTTGTTGAGTGGTTTTTTACACGCCAGCCGCCATCTTGAATCGGCCCTCTTCTGTCTCTTCCTCCGACAGAGCCGAGCGAGCGTTATACGATCATATGCGAACCGCGCAGCTATTTCGATAGCTATGGCATGGCAGAGACATCTCCCAGCTACGCTGCGGTGTTCATCTGCGCTATTTTCGCCATGCAGAGTCTCTGTTGTGCTGTACATGACGCAGAGTCACCGGCGGTAGTACAGATACCAGACGCTGGAGAAGACTGTTGCTTATACAGATGACTCTTCAGAGACTCGCCGCATACCTTATGCTACGAGCTGCGGATCAAACCATTCTGAGAGATCCGACTTGTCGAATTTCATTCATATGATCTCAGATATCCAGTCGCCGCATCGATCATGTTTGCTCCGATTACATCCCTCACCTTGGGTGGGCGGGATTTTCTGGACACGGCGCTCCATACTGCAATCTGTGCGGCGGGGCCACCGGCGAACGTCATACCGTACCCATGTTGGTGCGCCCCAAGACCACAACACCCCGATCCAACCGACTTGGAATATCGCTGCAAGCCTTTCAGGTGCTCTATGGCTCCATGGCATTCAATATCATCATTGAATGCCTCTTCTATGCTCCCCTCTTCCTCCTGGAGGACGGGAGCCGTCAACGGACAGCACGACAGTTGCGAACACTTTATACCCCCCCGTAAGATCAATAGCTATCGGGGGGTAGAAGGCGCCGTGGTGCAGCGGTCAGGTCAAACTACCCCCCTGAGGATCGAAGGCCAACAACCGAATCGACGACACCCCGAGTTCGAAACCCCGACGAATCGCCAAAAATCGACAACTTCCTGGACTTAACGGAGCTAAGCGGGGACGCCTGCTTTCTCCAATTAATAGATAGACAGAGATGTAGGCGCCTGGTTTATCCCCTATAGGGTGTAACCAGACGCCGAACTCTTTTGTCATCTGTGCCAATTTTTTTTTCTTTTGGGATGTTGATTCGATTGAGATTTTCTTGAGTGGAGGATATCCGTGATCTCTTGGTGATCTTGGCTGCCTCGCTTTTTGCGTGCGAGATCTACAGATGCTGCATTTCTGTGGGTTGGGGAATTGGCGCAAAGAATTGCGTTGCGTAGTAGCACTTGGTGATATCTACGGTAGGTGAAAACTTGGTGTTGAGCGCGTAGAACTGTAGTTTTGTAGAGTCACCGGGAACCTCTTTTGCAGCACCGGTTCGTCATACCTGCTACGCACTATTTTTACACAAAAACTCGAGTCCAGAGAACATTTGCCATCTTCCACTGCTCTGGCAAATGCTCCAAAAAAGAAAAAAGAAACCACCATTTGCCAAAGAAACAGACTCGTCGACTTTGCAAAAAGATCTGCCAGATTGATCAACGTTTTGGACGTTGGGAGTGCCGGCACGTGCAAACGGTGGCTAGCAAAGCTACGTTCTGAAATAAGCTTAAAAATCACTGGATCTGGTCCTTTTGGAACTCGCCTAGACTCTGGCCCTGCAGATTGCGCGATACGCTCCAACGATTGCGTGTGCCGCAACTGGATCGTCTACCTGCGACTACTGGCGACACGAGGATGCTAATCGTTGCTCTTGACCTGAGCTGACAAGAAAATGCGTCTGCCTAGTCGGGGCTAGAAGAGCGCAGCCGCTGGTTGCGCCGCCAATTGCGGTCAGAACGAACGCCATTGAATCTTGTTGTACGCGGGAGTCCAGATCTGGTGGCTAAATCCTCCTTCGCAACGTTTCCGTGGGAGGACAAGAGACTAACCCGCAAGTGTCTGCTTACTCCTCTCTTAGATTCCAAGATCCAAAGCCGACCAATGGCTACAATGGCCACCCGCCGCCGATTCCATTGTGTGAAGCACCGTGGCGAGTAAGAATCAGAGATTTAAAGCCTCGATTCCAGGAACAAGCCACGAGAAAACCTCAAGGGCGAATCTCTGTTGGCCGCTCACGCAAGAGGCTTGGTCGAAACAGCCACGGAAAACTAGTCCCGTTCGCCTTGCCCAATGATTCGTTCTGCGGCTCCAGTCTTTCTTCCCTTGCGAATCCAACTTCACCGAGCACGCAAGCAGGCTATCCCATCTCCGTGGTTGGAATGCGACCGACGAGTCGGCGAAGGGCCGTTTGCGACCACCCGCGAAGATCCATCCCCCCATCCACTTCTCGACCGGAGCAAAAGGCGGATCAATCGGCAAATTATGCGAGTCGTGCGGAGCATTTTGGAGCAAGGCACAAGGCTCGGCCAGGGCTAAGGATGATGCGACTCCACAGGATTCGTCGTGACGGCGCTCCAGGGGCGGGCTAGAGGCCCTCAATCCATGGCCGCTAGATCGTGGAGGCGGAATAACGTCATCATTTGGCCAAGACTGTCCGGAGCCTAGCAGGTCCGTAGGAACATGGAACATGGGAACATGGGGCCCATCTACGGTGTAGATATGGTCGCGGCGGTTGACGTGCTCGCGAGATCCCTGCCGTCTCTGCGCTAAGGGGCTCTTGGTGGTGCAAATCTTGCCTGCTTTTTTCTCCTACGAGGCCGTCTATTGGGCGAGAAACGGTCTACACAAGTACAGACAAGCAGCATGGGAAGGATCGCCGTTTTTATCTCGGGCCCTCGCTGCACCGACGCTCCATCATCCTTCCATCACCACCATCCTCTTCCTTTTCCTCTTCCTCTGCTATCAAAACCACACATAGCCTCCATAGAGTTCGAGTTGATGTGGTTGGTTCATTCCTCGGAGTCCTGGTTCAAGGTTGAAGCGTATTGATCTTGTTCATCATCTTCCCTTTTTTCCCCCCATTTCGGCCACTTCATTGTTCTCTTAGGATCACCCCCCTTTGTCGCAACAATGTCTGAGAAATTCAAGACACGGCCTGAAGACCTCGAGGCGACAACGTCTCACTCGAGTGGCTTCTCGCGGTTCGCCTCATTGTTTGGCGGCTCCAGCGTCTGGGTTGGTCCCCGGATAGCACCGCTGCCCGCCTACCTCAAGAGCGACCTCTCTGAAAGCGAAGAGTCTAGCGAAGCAATCCTCAACCGACAGCTCGCATCGGAAGATGGCACCTCGATCCAATATCGAACTTGCTCGTGGCAAAAGACTGCGGCGCTACTCTTCAGCGAGTACATCTGCTTGGCCATCATGAGCTTCCCTTGGTCCTACAGCGTGCTGGGTCTTGTCCCCGGCTTGATCTTGACTGTGGTTGTTGCGGCCCTGGTGCTCTATACAAGTCTTGTCCTGTGGGAGTTTTGTCTGCGGCATCCAGAGGTGCGCGACGTGTGCGACATTGGCCAGATGCTCTTCTGGGGCAAGGAATGGGCGTGGTGGCTGACTGCCATCATGTTTGTCCTGAACAATACGTTTATCCAGGCTCTTCATGTTCTGGTCGGCGCAGAGTACCTCAACACCATGACTGAAAGCGACAAGATTGGCGGCTGCCGTACCGTGGAGTTTGGCGTCGTGGTCACGGTCATCTGCTTGATTGCATCGCTGCCTCGCACCTTCAGCATGATGTCCAAGCTTGGTACGGCGTCGGCAATCTTTACCTTTATCTCCGTGTTGCTGGCAACCGTCTTTGCTGGTGTTCAGAACAAGCCCGCAGGATACACTGCGGCTCTGGGCTCGCCCATTGTCACGGCTATTCCAGTCAAGGGCACGACTTTTGTCAACGGCATGTCAGCTTTCCTCAACATCAGCTACACCTTTATTGGCCAGATTACTCTCCCCAGTTTCATTGCTGAGATGCGCGATCCTCGGTAAGCTCTCTCGATTCCCCAATTCATTGTTTCCTTGTTGCGGCTATACTGACTGGATCGTTATTCAGGGAGTTCCCCAAGTCGCTGTGGGCCTGCACAATCGCCGAAATCATCGTCTTCTCCATTGTCGGCGGTGTCATCTACGCCTACACTGGCAACCAATATGTCACGGCTCCGGCGTTTGGATCGTTGGATGATCTTTACAAGAAGGTTTCCTTCTCCTTCATGATCCCAACTCTCATCTTCCTCGGATGCCTGTATGCCTCGGTTACGGCCCGCTTCGTCTTCTTCCGCGCGTTTCGCAACTCGGTGCACCTGCATAGCCACACCGTCGTGGGATGGGGAAGCTGGTTCGGCATCCTGCTCGTCACCTGGATTTTTGCCTTTATCATTTCTCAGGTCATTCCATTCTTTTCTTCACGTAAGTTCTGACCGCTCTGAAACTGCCATCTATCCATGCTAACGAATGTTTTTGTTCAGTCTTGTCCGTCATGTCATCCTTGTTCGACAGTTGGTTCGGCTTCATCTTTTGGGGCGTCGCGTACCTGCGCATGCGAAACGCGGACAAGCAAGTTGGGCGGAAACGCAACGGCATTACTGCAGCATTTTCAACGGCTGTGAACATTGCCATCATCATCATGGGCGTGTTCTTCCTGACAGTGGGCACATATGCCAGTGTACAGGGCATCATTGATCAATTCGATGCCGGCACGGTACACGGCGTGTTTTCTTGCAAGAGCAACGGAATATGAAGTCATGAAGTTATATATATCCCCAAAAAGTAATGAGTTGGGAAAAAAAAGAAGAAAAAGAGGGAAGAAGGGAGCCGATTCTGGATAACGACGGCATCGAGATACATACCCTATATTATACACACACACATATACACGATGGGCGGCGGCCAAGGTGTGCAAAATAGATGAGCCGCGTACGGAGGGGATGGTACAAAGGCCGGAGAAGACGAGAATACTTACATCTCTCGCGATGAATACTTTTTTTCTCGGAGAGCATTTTGCAAAGACCTGCAGACATGCACGGCGTTTTCCTGGATTTATGCCGCCCGATTTTCTGCTTTCGGCGGGATCTGACTTACTGACTTGTAGATGTAGCGTACCTAAATCTCGTAGATGCCTCGTAGATGCCCCGTAGATGTATTCGTAGTTGTAGAAAAGATGTGATGATGTAATCAGCGTGTTTAATATTTGAAAGCTACAGATTCAGCAACTGGAGTGAAGTGGTCATGGTTGAGTTGTTGTCAATAAAGTCGAAGCTGGGCTAGGCTAAAAAGTTATCGAGCTACCATGGGTGGCATTTTCGCTTTTCCCTTGCTGATCATGGCCTCAAAAAGCATGGCTTGAAAGAATTTTCCTTTTTGCCACGGGAAAGATGGAGTCAAAGAATTGAACCAATTGATTCATATTGCTGAGTTATGGACTCTATCCCTTTGAATGTAACAAGACTGATTTACTCCCGGGTATTCCTGCAAGTGATCTGCCTACTAAGGTAGTAGTTATGGAGCACTCCATATACTGATGATGCATTGGAACAATGCGCATCGCACCTCATAACTGTCGTCAATAACTTTAATCTAAATATATTACTTCTTTGACTCGTCCCCTCAAAACACCTCCATCGAATTCCCCTCTCTTGATACCCAACTCTTCACATATTATCATCCATCTTGTCGTAACACAACTCGTCCAAATCAGACCACCCCAAGACCCTGATTGGCCCAACGCCTCCCCCCCTAAGCTAAAGCACTCTCCAGCGCCTCTTGCCCCTCCGCAAATAGGCGGTTCTGGGTACCTGATGCACTGTAACCTGCTGGTTCGGTTTACTGCAAGAGGCTAGAGACACCGCTTTTGTGTCCTGGCAGGTGGGGGACAGAAAAACCAAGAAAAAGAAGATTATCAACACCGACGTAGTAAATTATACACCGGCCCGTTCTTTCAGTATCTACAACTATATCTATAGTTCTCTATCAACTACTACTATATCTATATCTCTTTAGTAACTACTACTATATTTATATTTCTCTAGTAATTGCTACTATATATATATTTTTAAAATAACTGCTACTATAGTTGTATAGTTAAATTTAGGTATTAGCTAAATAGGCGTGCTTTTATAAAGGTACAAGATGAACTTAGTAATTAGGTGCTTATATTCCTGCATATATGCACTTATTTTCTTTCCGGTCTCGGTTTTTCTGACCTCCACTTGCCTGGGCAGATCAAATATTACGAAACAGTAACAGCCAGCCCACCTGGTTTTAGTAGCTCGGAATGGCGAAGCTGCGCAGCCGTTTCTAACCTCAACATCCACCTGTCAACCAAAACCCCGGCAGCCTTGAATTGCCACAAAGACAGACGGGCAATCGCTGATTCTGATCCTGATATCGATTCATCATCCAAACATATCGCAACATCAGTCCAATCTCTTCATTCTCACCATCTCCCCAAATGGCTCGGTCAGCCGCCACAACGGCCACCAAAGAGGCCCAGCCTCAACCTGCCGCCGCTGCTCCTCCTCCAGCTCCAGCCGACGGCGATAACAAGCTGCACGAATTCTTCTGGACTTACACCGAAGAGCCGCACCGCACACGCCGCCTGGCCATCATCAAGGCCCATCCCGAGGCAAGCCTGACTGCTCCCCTCATCTCTCATCCCCCCCCCCACCACTCTGCTGCTCGGAAACAAAACATCACCGCTAACGCAAGGCATTGTGATTCCAATTTGCAGGTCCTCAAGCTATGCGGCCCTGAGCCTCTGACCAAATACGTCGTTGCCGGCGTCGTCGGCCTCCAGATCGTCCTGGCCTACCTCCTGCGGTCAACGCCCTTCTGGTCCTGGAAGTTCTGGGCCGTCGCCTACGTCTTTGGCGCCACTGCCAACCAGAACCTGTTTCTGGCCATCCACGAAATCTCGCATAACCTCGCCTTCAGGAGCCCGCTGGCCAACCGCCTCATTGCCATCTTTGCCAACCTGCCCATTGGAATTCCTTATAGTGCTTCGTTCAGGGTACGCCAAGCCCCCAATATCGACAGTCTCTTGTCAAGCTACAAAACGATATACTAACGCTTTTGTATAGCCGTATCACCTCACTCACCACAAGTCCCTCGGCGTGGATGGCCTCGACACCGATCTCCCAACTGCCCTAGAGGCCTTTGTCCTCGACTCCATCTTCGGCAAGGCCTTCTTCTGCACGTTTCAAATCTTCTTCTACGCCATCCGCCCAATGGCCGTCTACCGCATCCCCATGACTTGGGTTCACCTCCTCAACGTCGTCACCCAGCTCGCCTTTGACTTTCTTCTCTTCCACTTTGCTTCCATCAACGCTCTCCTCTACCTGCTGCTCTCCTCCTTCCTCGCCGGCAGCCTGCACCCTCTGGCCGGCCACTTCATCGCCGAGCACTACGTCTACGAGACCGTCACCCCTACTCAGCGGAACCCCGACAACAAGGTCCCCGTTCCAGAGACCTTTTCCTACTACGGCCCCCTCAACATTCTGACCTACAATGTGGGGCTGCACAACGAGCACCACGACTTCCCGGCCATTCCTTGGACAAGACTCCATGCCGTGTATGACATTGCCAAGGAGTTTTACGAGCCTCTTCCCCGCCACGAGAGCTGGGTCTATGCCATCTGGCGGTTCATCTGGGATGAGAACGTGGGCATCAGCTGCCGCGTCAAGAGAAAGAATGGCGGCCGTATCGTCGGCGGCGCTGTCAAATGGAAGCAGTCGGAAGTCGAGGCTTAAGTAGATACATCATCAAAGGGGTGGTTTCATGTCGTTTTGTGGGTACTAATATCTCCCGGCTGTCCTTGATAACTCATTCATTACAAAAGTAAGGTGCAAGGTAGGTGTAGCAAATAAACTTCTTTGCATACATGTATGTATTCACTCCCGCGGCCGCAACTCCCAATCACCTCCCCCGAAGCTTCATTATGATAACGCGGACCCTGTACCGAGCCATCCCCGTTGACAGTATCCCGTATAAAACTCATACAATCCATGATAGGTACCTAGTAGGTATACCGACGAGAAAGCTGACTGTACACTTATTGTGCAATCGTATGCCCAGCAACAGCACCATCCGATTCCTAAAAGGAAGATTTGCCATTGTAGCTCGGGTCCTCTTCTCGACCCTCTTCTTCCTCTTCCTCTTCTTCTTCTCGATCATCTCCTACTTCTTTTCCTAATTCTCTGGCCCAGCGAGACATCTCAGCATAGCTATCGTCAGTGTACATTGCCGTCTGTGTTTCGACTTCATAGCCGTAGTCGTCATCATCGTCGGAATCCGACAAATCGCTTGGTTCGGCTGCTCCGCAGATTGCGACAACCCGGAGAAGATTCCATGACAATTGTAAAAGATCAAAACTCGGAATGTTGTCTCGGTATAGCGCGCTAAGATTAAAAACTTGCCCTGTTTCCAATGGCAAGCCACTTTGACGATGAGCGGTAATGGTCCCCCAAGACTGATTTTCTCTAATTCCAGCTGAATCCTTCGCAAGACTGATATTATTACAATCTTCTGTCGGTTTCAGTGTGCTTTTGTTTAGCCAGTGAAGTTGGACTTGGACTGTGCCGTCGGCGAGTTCGCGCAATGGCTTAAGCGCCATCCTGCCGTTATCAAACCAAACATGGAGCTGGCTATTGAGAGAGATGAAATTCTGGGGAGTCTCGGCGACTTTTTGGTCGAAAAATATCTTAGAAAGCCGCGTGGTTGTGTCTTCACCCCAAAATGTTCGTAGAGTAGAGACAATATTGGGTATTTTTGAGCTGTTCAATCCCGCGAAGGGAAAAATATGTGCAGCTTGCGGGTCTTCCATCTTGGTGATCATGCACCTCATGCCGTCTCGCTTCTTGCACTGCTAGCTATTAGATGGTCTGCGGGTGGTGGGTAGACTAGAATGGCAACTTACACAATTGGCAACTTCACGGCTCCGACTAGTCTTTGGAGTACCTGCAGCTTCTAACTTTGGCGTTTGGGGAGCAGCTGGTGCCGGGCTGAGGGCCAGAGTTTGCGTAATGTCAGTCGGTCGGCTTGGGGTTGTTGGCAGGCCTGCAGTTCGTCGACTTGGAGTTGTTGGTCGGCCTGGAGTTGTTGGTAACTGAGGCAACTTTGAATCAGAAACCGATCTTTCATGGGTTTGGCGTTGCCGTTTCATCGGACTCTCTTGAACTGGCGTAGCTTGGAGGCTGTGGACACTGGCGTTGGCAGAAGAGCCCGATGGTCGCCCTCCTTTATTCGCAACTAGAGGGGGAAGCATCAGTAATGATTTCTAAACAAATGTTTGTCAGGGGTATTAGGATTGAAAACCTACTCGCTTGTATACTGGCCACGCATGTGATTTCACACTGAGAGAAGAACTGGTTGATCTCGCCCTGGTTGTCCTCCCGAATATCCTCCTCCAGCTTCTTGACAGTACATTTTAGTTGCTCGATCGGGGCAACCATAAAAATTGCAAATAGTGTCATGTTTATCTTGCACTTCAATCTGGATTCGCGGATGATCCTCCCAAGGCTTGCGAAAAGCGTCTCTCTGGTGCTAAGGTCTGTGACGTAATCCAAGACTGGCTCTTCCAATACTTGATCTTTAGTCACTCTTACAAGAAACTCTTCTTTTTTTTCAGCCAAGTCTAGAAGCGGTGCAAGGGTTCCAATCTTGTGCAAATGCAGCAGTCGTTGGATCTGGCGAGGATCTAGGCTCAGTGCCGCTTGGCGCAATTGTTGTTCCGTGTCGTCGTCCATGACGAAAAATGATGGTTAACTTGTGTAGTAAAATACACGTCGAGAGGTGAGAGAAAAGCGCGAGGAGTTGGAGAGGAGAGAAGATAGATGGGAGAAGGGAGAAGGGAGAAGGACGAGAAGAGAAGAGAGCAGCCTTTAAGTAATTACGCGGTTGCTAACGATACCGTTAAGCTTTGGGCTCGACGTGAATCATCCGTTTGCTGGCTCACTTTACTCTCAGCCAAGGCCCCACCATGTCTTCAAACCCTCCTGCCCATAAACTATAAGGCTCAGAGGTGGAAACTCTTTCCGCTGTGAAAAACGACCTATACTTCCCTCACGGAACGATCCTATCTGGTCTGGTTGAGTCATTGAACTATAAGTTGCGGGCTTGAAGCTTGCGTTGTGCTTGAACCTTGATTAGCGGTCATACTTTGTGGCCTGAATCTTCGAGGTTTGACTTGGTCGGCTGTGGCCAATCAGGTTGAGCTACGGATTGATTCTGGATTTTGAACCAAAGGCTGGAGCGTAGCCTTCCTCTGACCTAGCTGTTGCAGCTTTACTGAAAATCTTGATAATAAATATAACCTCCATACCTATACTTCAACTCAGTCGTCTGCATCATTTAATACTGCGAAAGTGGGTTTGTCGATTGATGTAACTGGCTTGACGAGAATACCATTATACTTCCCCGGCCACCATCAAAGTTCAATTTTAAGCCAAATATTAATGCTTTGCCCATGAGATACTAAGAAAACTACTGCAAAAAAAAAAAAGTTAAAGTACAGAGAACTGCACCCAAGCCCAGACTCACTCTACGAGAATTCAACGAGACTCGGCGAGCCAAAAAAAAAGAAACATGGGAACAGCCCTGCTTCCATCACGATCCTCTGTGTCTCTGTGTCTCTGTGTCTCTGTCTCTCTGTCTCTGCAAAGGGGGGGTGAATCATAAAATTTGCCAGCACCCTTTTGTCATTCGCTCAAGAGAACAAGCTCACACATCTTTTCTCCCACTTTCTTCGTACACACACAACTCAAAATCAATGCGCCGTCCCCTCCCATCCATCATATATAATAATTGGCCGGCTCTGCCTCTCATGATTGGCGGTTTTTCATTGCCGCCGAGATGTGGGCGAGAACCTCCTCTAATTCAAGGTTGGCCGGTAACCTTGGCAGTAACTTCCCCTCCTCAGTCCTCATTAGCTCGGAAAGTCAACTTGTCGCTCCTCGTCAAGAGGAGAGCTTAGAAGAAGACGTAGGCAAGCAGGAAGCTGACAAGACACAAGATGGCCACAATCTTGACAGGCACACCCTCCACACTCTGCTTGGTTTGCTGAGCGAGAGCTCCACCCGAGCTCTTCTCCGTCTCCGAACTGCCCTTGACATTGCGTTGTCGGAGGCCGCCATTCCTGTAGTTTGCCAATTCAGCCTCCAGCTGGGCAATCTTGGCCTTGTAGTCTTCTGATCCCGCTAGGACCGAGCTGACGGCGGCAGTCTTGGAGGCGGCCGACTTGGCGGTCTGCGGTCTGGAATCATCATCATCCCCATCGTCATTGGCATAGGGGGGAGGCGCGGTGTTTGAGGAGTCGTCAGCAGTTGGAGAGGAGTAGGATCGAGGCGCATCGGGAGTATCGTATGCCTAAGGGGCCGCTGTTAGTTACATGCATCGTCTAGCCAGCGTCAAGATGGATACGCACTCCAATCACCGCGGCCGGCTTGCTAGGCGTCGCGACGGCGGTGGGGCCATGATCAGGGCTGTCACCTGCGGGTAACCAGTTGACTCGGATCTTTCGTTCATAGATGGCAGCCTTTTCTGTCGTCTCGAGCTGTATGTGTAACGCGCGGTCAGATCATGTGTTTGAGGATGTAGGTAGGCGTCAAGGGAACTCACCACTGAAGCAATGCTGGCGAATTCCTTGTCTGGAGTAATGGGGGCCGACTGGACGAGAAACTTGTCCCTGCACTTTGCATCGAGCGGGGGATCGGCCTTCATCGCCTGCAGAAGGACTATGCTAGTGTCAGCGGCATTGCACAAACCGTTGCTGCCTTGTCGCAACCCAACGCACCCGTGACATCGAAATCCTGGCCAGGCTCAATACGGCCCGCATTTGGTCGAACGCAGTACCTGTTGAGAGAAGAAGAAGAGGTTAAAATTCCATCTTGGCAAATCGAATGTAGAATCGCAACGGGAGGGTCAATCATACTGCTTGGGAGCCGTCGTTTTCACCTGGAGAAAAAAGGTTAGCAGGGATCTTGTTGAAACAGGAGGTATCCACAAACAGATGCAGTCGTGGGAAACTGCAGAAGCTATAGGTGGCACATGCGGATCACGACATAGACATACCTTGAATGCCAAAGGCGATGAGCTTGGGTTCTTGATCTTGAGGATCTGCGCGACCTCGACGGTGAAGGGCCCTATGCATTGCCAGTCCGTCAATGGATGCTCTCGCTCGGGGATGGCGTCACGGCCACGTATAGGGCGGAAAAGACAACATACGCCGAAAGGACAGCTCAACAGGCTCAATCTCGACCGACATGGCGAATGAAGCTGCGTACAAGATGCTGGAGTTGAGCTAGGGGCAAGGTCGGGAGCTGAGCACGAGCCGGAAAGCAAATGGAGAAGATGTCGTCGTGTTTGAATCGATGGCGCTGCAGCGGCGGGGAAACGCGGCGGACCTGGAAAATCGACAGATGGGATTGTGAAAAGAAGAAAAAAGGGAGGCAAGAATAACGAGTATCGAGAAGAAGAGACAAGAGGCTGTGCCAAAAGTATAATGGAAACAAGAGCGGGAGAGCAAGCGGTGGTTGAGAGGACGGGCAGCTGTTGTTTGATTACAAAGAAGAGATTCGGAGACGTGATTGATGGATGGCATGTCGCTTCGGCCCCTGTATCGAAATTGGCTGGCGAGGCTGAGCTGGCCAAATGAGATGCGGCATGACTAAGCCGTCTTCAGGGTCTTTGTGTCCCGTGCTGTGCAGGGGGGAGATGGAGCGAGAAAGCACTGAGACAACAGCGAAGTTTGCACGCTACGGCGATTCAATTTACGCGAGAAGAGACTCGAGAGCTTGGGAAGAGCATCTTGTGGTGGTGCACGTGCAGAAGTCGAGGATATCTTTATCATATGATGGAAGAGTCAGATGCTTTGGAGCTGGGAGGGATGGACAGTTTGCTCCAGTGCAGAGCTGCTGTCTTGTGATATCACCTCTGAATTAGCTTAGAGAGAAGTGGCATTCAAGCCCAGTACCAAGGTAAATTGACAGCTTCACATGGACTAGACAACAGATTCAGTGGCGATGTGATGTAAACAGGTGTTTTACTGTAAGCTCAGTGTCTCTGTAGAGCTTCCACGTCTCCCTGCAGAATGCATTGTTTTGTGGGAGCTAAGCACATGTCTGTGTGTGTGTAGCACTGACGCCATCTTCCGTAGGTGTTGGTACCTAACGATTCAGACGCTGAGCAGTCAAGACCACTTCCGAAGCTCAGTGAAGTGAATAAAGGTGCTGGAATAGATCCCACGAGTCACGTTATTTGCTTACGTATCACGTTGATTTAATTTTACTATTTTCATCAACTCATATTTGCCTTCTTTCTTAAGCATTATTGTATTGTAAACTGCAAGCAGCTGTTACATCTCCACTACGAGCTTCTTCTTCTACTGACACTGACTTTCTACCCCACACTCCCACACTCCCCCATCACCACCACGCCTACCGACTTCATCACCCCACACCTTATCCTCTTCATCTTACAGCTCTCCATATCAACAAGAGCAAACCCCAGCAAAGATGGCTTCCGATCTAGATACCCTAATTGACATGGGCTTTGAGCGGGCTCGGGCTGAGCTCGCCGTCAAAAAGTCCGGAGGACGTGAGTGTTAAAGAGCCACTATTCCCCAGCATCAGCGCCGCCTCATCTCACACGTGTCTTGACCAACTGCAGTGCAGGGAGCTCTGCAGTGGCTAGAAGACAACCAGGACAAGTCACTCGAGGAAATCCAAGCTGCTCAGGCCGCGGCCCAAGATGACGACGAGGACGAGGATGAGACCAAGGCAAAGATTGCCGAGCTGGAGACGGGCGAGTCGGCCAAGTCTCTCATCTGCAACGAGTGCGGGAAGCGGTTCAGGAACCACGACTTGGCCAGTTACCATGCCACCAAGACGTATGGTCGTCTTCTTTACTTTTGAATAAGGATTAAGCCTAACATTGTCATAGTGAGCATACAGACTTCTCCGAGTCAACGGAGGAAATTGCGCCTTTGACTGAGGAGGAGAAAAAGGCAAAGCTCGAAGAGCTGAGAGAACGACTCAAGGCGAAGAAGGCTTCTCAGGTGGACCAAGACAAGGAGGATGCAAAGCGTAACGAGGTGAGCATCTACCCGTCCTGCGCCTGGCTGTACGTTTTTGGCTTCTCTTCTAACCCGTTGATAGAAAATACGACAAAAGTCTACAAAGGAGACTCAGGAAGCAAAGGAGGAGTTGGCACGCAAGGAGCAGATCAAAGAGGCTATGCAGAAGCGAAAGGAGAAGCTTGAGGAGGCCGAAGCCAAGAAGCGCATCAAGGCCAAGATCGAAGAGGACAGAGCCGAGCGCCGCCGCAAAGCCGAGGAAGCAAAGGCCGCTCGTGAAGGCAGAGCGCCCGAGGCTGCGTCTTCATCCTCCTCTGCTCCCGCCGCCGCTGCTGCACCCCCACGGCCCAAGGCAGATCACACGGAGGCGAAGCTGAAGCTGCAGACAGACTCGGGGAACATCATGAAGACGCTGCCGGCAGAGACGACGCTGTTTGAGCTTGCGCAACAGCTGCAGAGCGAGACTGGCAAGCCTGTGACGACATTTACGACAACCTTTCCCAGGAAGACATTTCAGGGAGATGTGGACATGTCCAAGACGCTCAAGGAAGCAGGACTTGTGCCTTCATCTGTGCTTATTGTAAAATAGACTGGTGTAGTCTTCTTTCCGTATTACTGTATCAAGGCAAGGTATGAGAGGGGATACGAGGCTGCGACGATGAAACAGGCAACCTTGGACGCAATCCGGTTGAATCTTGAGCCGATGGGTAACATTTTTGAGCGCTTTCGTCAGTAGATGAACATAGCGTCGGTCATTACGGGGGACTCCCAAACTCGAGCAGCTCGGGCCGCATTCGCGCAGTCTCACGGCAAATATGCAATCGCATGCGCAAAAATTCAGCATTTGTCAAAAAATTTCTTTTTGTTCTTCCCGAGTCATTTAATTGACTATTTGTCCCCTCCCCGCGTGAACTCCGTCGTGTGAGAGCATTCATCATATTATCCTTATGAACGAAGCTACTCTGCCCAGGACGCAGGATATAGGCGCCCACTCCATCCTGTATGCATCCATCGATGTGTATAAAGACCCCGAAGTGCCATGCAGTTGAAGTACAAAGAAGCAAGAGAAAAAACAGTCGCCGCAACAGGTGGAGCTGGCCGTTTAGTCGAAGAGACCGAAACCCATGTCCTCGTCGGACTCCTCCTTCTCTGCAGAACCACGTTAGCACAACCAATCCCTTCGTTTCGCGGAGCAGCCAGAACGCACCCTCTTCCTTCTCCTCCTCAGCAGGGGCGTCAGCGGCAGCACCGCCAGCGGCGGCGGCAGCGCCAGGGGCAGCGGCGGCACCACCACCGGAGCCGACGTTGACCAGGAGGTCCTTGATGTCCTTGCCCTCAAGAGCCTGTGTGTCGAGAAAAAAAACCATAACTCGTCAGCGACCAACTCATTTCTTTCGGTTTTTTTTGGGAAAATTCGACTTCGTAGAGCCTATTGCGTTATGGGCGGGTGTCTTTCGGAAATTCGTACCTTGGCGAAGATTGATGTCCAGATGGGCTCAACCTCGACCTTGGCGGCGGAGATCAGGGTCTGGAGCTTGTCGGCCTATATGGTTGTGAAAAATTGTCGCTTAGCACACAAACACTCTCCCACGGCTATTTTCTTTTTATACATCGCCCTTTTCGCGGGGCACAGAATTTTCGACTCTGCGCCCGGCGACAAAGGGAAGACTCAGAGCGAGGATTTTGGAAGCAACTCACGGTGATCTCAATGCCATCGTCGGCAAGGATCAGGGCCGCGTAGGAAGATGCGAGCTCGGCGGTAGACATTGTGTGAGATTTGTCTGTGCGGATATGGGAAGATGTCAAGTCTGCACGAAAAGAGGAGTGGTTTTGGACAATTCAATTATCACCACAAAAGGCCAGGCTAGGGGACCACAAAAAATTACCCTGGTCCAAAATTCGCGGGCTTGGAGGGCTTGAAGACCTAAAGCGCAGGGTCAATAGTTTTTCCGCGTGCCGGTTCGTGTGGCCGCAAGCGGGGCTGCATGCTGATTGGCCGGGCTCACCGTACTTCGCCGCAGCCAATCAGCGGCCGGGAGTCCGCTGCAACGAGGCCGCCCGGATGCGCAACGTCGTCACTCTCCCAAAAGCATCCAAACGCATCCAGAGCCCACCCCACCTTAAGCTGAAGCTTTTCCCCACCAGCATCTGCACTGAAGCAAGACAAGCAGCATCGCGACTCGCCTTTGCGCAATCCAGGGACTCCTGCTTTGCTCCTCCATCTCCATCTGCCAGCGGTTCCAGCACCGACTCTCACTGGATCCGCGCCGACTTCCCCCCCGAGAACGACCCCGAAGCGTGCGTCTTGAGGCTCTCAATTGGCCGACGAATCCCGGAACTAGCCATTGGATCCTGCATCGTCATTCCCGGAAGAGCTGGAAACCAGAGAGTCGACAACTATCGGTTCGGCTCCCTCTAGCAATCTAGCTGATTTACGCCAGCGCGGGTTTGCTTTTGACCCATTTCGGCTCTCTCTCTTCCTCTACAAATTCTTAGTGGCACAGCATCAGATATGGATACGCCCGCAGTGCCTTTACCGCAGGATGCCCGGGAACAGGCCGTCCTGGACAGTCTCGTCGTCATCCGTGACCAGCTCTTGCTCTTGAAGCAGGATCGGACAACGTACATCCGGAGCCAAGATATTATCCCCCTCTACGATGAGACCATCTCAAGGGTCAAGGAGCTGGATGAAATCCGTACCGAGACGGGGAACAAGGAGGAGAACCGACGTAAGTTGAACCCGCCCAAAACCATGCAGAGAATCGTTTGCTAAGCTGCGCATCCAACAGTCGATAAAGTCTTGGAAAGCTGCTTCCAGCTTCTCTCTCTCTTCTACCTCACCATCGGACGCAACAATGATATCCCCGCAAGCTACGCGCTGACATCGACAATCAGGCGGCTGCTCGACCACTTGACCGAGGCTGACCTCTACTCCGCCAAGGACCTCGAGAGTATCAAATCCACCCTGTCGAACCTTTCCAACAACATAACACAAGCCAAAACCAGTGACAGCAAGCCCGAGAACTCTCCGTACCTCCTCAAGCTGCTGTCGAACCGGGTGGGGAAGTGCCTGGCGATGTTGGAGAACCTCCAGAAGCGGTTAGGTCGCATTGGCGAGCCTCTGCTTGCTACACATGAGAAGTTGATTTCCATTCTACGATCCATTTCTTTGGCAAACACAAAATCAAAGGTGCGCATTACTCCGTGGACAAATTGAGTTTGAGTCGCTAACTTTACTATGGCGTAGTTCTCAAGTGCCGAGGTACAGAAGCTTCAGAAGCAGCTTCTAGATATAGGAGAGAAGCGCAAAGATGACCAATTCGTCAATGAGGATGGCTCTGTGCCACAAGGCTCTGTTGAGATTGGCGAACTCTACCAGCGAGTCTTCAAGTGGTCGGAGATTGTATTAGAGAGGTGAGTAAATGAACATCCGCTTCCGAAATGACCATGCAATTAATGCTGTGTAGGAAGGGAATCATGCCAGAGCAGTTTCGCCCGACATATCACACCCTTGTTGGCATCCGCAACGAATTGGAGAAGCTGTCCCTGACGCAGGCCTGGGCACTTCGCGAGACAGACCTGTATGACTTCCAACGCCAGCTCGACAAGATTGACGAAAGCCGGCAGAATGGAAACTTTTATGACGACAAGGGCAGGCCCGCTGACCTGTATACGCAACGGACGATGCTATATTTGATTCGAAGAAGCTACGCCTACATTTACTCCTTCATACTAGCCTCGGAGCCAGTTTCTGAGGCTCTTCTGCCCATCTACAACCAACTGCAAACTCTCAAGAGGTGCCTCGTCGAGGTACGAAACAGCGGTGGCGTATCATCTGTCAGAGAGCTGTATCCTTATAGCATGAAGGTGTGTCCTCGTCAAAATTATGTCACTTTGGGGGAAACTTGCATTCTTTATATTAACCAATGATTTCAACAGCTAAACTCTCTCGACAACCTGAGGGTGGATGGCAAATTTGTTGTCAATGGCGACATTCCCGAAGGCCAAGGCAGCGTTAGTGAGCTCCTTGCTGAATGCTTCGACCTCAACTATGATTTGAGAGTTGCAGCGGAGGAGGGCACCACAACCGACAGCGATGGCAAGTGATTTGTGTCTCGGCCAAGACATGTCGACCGTCATCGCGGTGTTGTTTGTCTACCTATTTGCTTGTTTTGCTTTGGGTTGAATTACGGTGCTTTTGAATGAATTTTGCATTAATCCTGCGTACGTTGCATTGGGAATTTGCCTCTGGAGTGGTCGGGAAGACATTGGGGCCGTCCAGCGATGGTGTCTGATCAGCTACGCTGATGGGATGATGGCTACTAACTGGGGTAATATCGGATACATCATATTGTTAACTTTGGCTGGGTGGCATTTGCAATTTGTTTCTTCTTCTTTTCTTTTTAATATTTTTGGTCTTTTTGGTCTTTTTGGTCTCTTTCTCTCTTGTATGTACCTAAGGATGTATCAGACGTGGGCCCTTGCTATGTGTTACTGAACTTCTCTTCCTCGGCTGCATCTGCATGTTGTCTTAGGGGAATCTGAAGCCTTTTTTGAAGGGATAGACTTGGGCCTGATTAGTTGGCAGTCAGTCTCCAGATCATGTTGAAATGAGAATTATTATTTTTATTTTTTTTTTGGATTTGTTTTTACCTTTTCAAGATCCCACACACCTGCTCTCACGTAAATGTCGTCCTTGACCTTGTTGATGGCATCCTCCTTGGACTTTGCAACCAAAACCATGATGCTGCCAGCAAAGTCGAATGTGTTTGGGTCGTTGTCATCTTCGGGAACCTCGTTGAGAATGCCGCCTGGTTATGAACATGCTTTCGTTTAGCTCACGGTGCACGGCTCGTTGACTGTAGATCTGTGTATAACACATACCGCCCATCTTTAGCCATCCGTCTTTAAGGGTGGGGGTCATGTCACTGAAATGCTGGCTACACAAAACAAAACGGGCAATCGCAATCAGCAAAAACCATCTCATCCGCAGACAAAAAAAAAAGAAAAGCTCAATGTGCAAGAAGAGTCATTTTGATGAAAATACGTACGGCCTCACTTGGAGACGCTTGGCCCGAACCTCGGGGCCGGGCTTGTCCGGGATGACGAGGACAAACTCATATTCGGTGGGCGGTGCCGTGGCCATTGTGCGGATCAAAGGACGCTGGATTTGGGAGAGTGGGAGTGGTGATAGCAAGCGACGAGCGGTGAGGCGAGCGGCCATGGTCGGACGCTTTATAACCGCAGCTTTGAACAAGAACAAGTGTATGTTATGAGATGAGGTGATTGTTGCTGATGGAGGTTAATGTCGGCTTAGGATAAACTTGGAGGGACAAGGGCGCGCTAAATGTCAACCCGAGCAGTTATTACCTCTTTTGGGGCGTTGATGCAATACTACAGTAATGGAGATGTGAGGAATCAATGTTGGAAATGCTGCCCAGTGGCATTTAGGCCGCCATCATCCGCAGTGTTTTTATATATAAGGTACATGCATCTGGTGAGACTGTTATGTAGGCTCAAGCGCATCCTGATTGGCTCAGGTGAAAGTGGTTCTGCCCAGACAAGCTACTATATCCAAGGCGCGCCCTTGGAATCCAGTAGCGCAGTTTAGGGTAGGCAAAGAGAGCTTCAAGTCGGGGTCGATTTGGGGTCAAGTCGGTGAGTTCTCGCTTCATGGTGTTCTGATGGCACCTCTTTAGGAAGAGTTGGTGTGCGGCATCACCCTTGACAAAAGCCTGTTCATGACCCTGGCTATCCAAGAAACTCAGAAAGACGATGCCCAACCTGATGGCTCTGCTGACAAGAGCGAGCTACCTATTCAGCAAAGTAGCGCTTCGGAGCCCTCACTCGGAAGTGCTGGCCAGGATGCAGAAGGGGATGCTGAACTCGAACAACATTCGACTTGTACCTCGTCGGCGAGAAAACGACTGGCCAATGAAACCTCGCCTCTACCTAGACCGAAGCACAAGCGCAAGAAACGGCATTGCCGTGACGCCGAGGACGACATGATGCAGTCGGCTGCGGCTGCGGAGCTGGGCGCAATGGGGGAACAAATGACAACTGAAGTGAACCAGGAGTTTGACGCCGATCGTAGCACGGATACAGCAACCCAGACTGGTTCCAAAAGAACTCTTGATGCGGTGGTTGCTCGTCTCAGGCTTATTGCAGCAGAGACACCTGTTCCTTGGACTGACGAGGAGGACGCAGCACTGATGACCGCATGCGAGGGCTTTCATAAAACGCGGCCGATGACTGAGGCTTTCAAGTCGGCGACCGAGACAAAGCGGACCGATAAGGACATTATCCAGAGAATTGAATACCTCAACCTCAATCTGGGTCACGGGCCTAACCCCGAATGCGAAAATCACTCCTCTTCGTCTTTCCAAGGCTCACAGAAACGTTGGACTTCTAAGGAAGACGAATTTCTTGAGACCCTCCAGGATGGATACAACGACGAGAGCAGGTATCGGGCTAGGATGAAAGAGTTTGGCCCTACTAGGACTCTGACGAGTCTGAAAACTAGACTTGTTCGTCTGTCTAAAAATCCCCGCGGGAAGCTCTATAAATGGACACTGGATAAAGACAATTACCTGCGCTCCTATCCTGACCTGAGCAAAAGAGGGAAGCTCGCCAAGAAGCTCGCCCTGACGTGTGAAGAAGCATTCGGACATGCGCGGACTGCAAGTGCCATCCAGCATAGGCTGTACCCTCTAACAGACGCGTCGGAAAGCGCGGAGCGATGCAGCACGTGGTCCCCATCGGAAGACGCTTGGTTACTCACAGTGACAAATGAGAAAGTAGCAGATGAGGGCTGGCAATCAGTCCACATAGCGTTTGTGGATAAGTTTGGTATGGGTCGAACCGCAAATGCGCTTCGTGCTCGACGGGTACATCTACGACAAGCCGGGGCCGGGGCCAAAGCCGAGACCAGCGGCTCGTTAGATGAGGAGATAGAGGAACGCGAGAATGCTGTGTGATTTGTTACTATGTTGTGTTTTTGGCGGATATTTATTCGCTAGCTGAGTACATGCTTGGCGAGACTCGAGCTGAAGCGAAGGCCAGCAACTCTCTGGACAAGGACTGTGAGACGAGCCAGGTGTTTACGAGGTTGCTGGGTTGGGATCGGGGCAGGTTTGTGTTACTACCTACCTAGGTATGCTATGTATTTGAATCATCATTTCACCAACTCGGCAAGACACGGTAACATGTGCTCCGTTAGTAGTACCCGACAAAACACCCACTTTGAGAAAGCAAAGTCCATTCATGTATGCCGCGCACTACTAGAAAACAAGAAGAGGAAAGTTTCTAGATTGTTCTTAACGTACCTACTAATGTAGTAAAGCTTAGTACTGCATGTGTGGTTAGATCTGTCTGTTCCAGCCCCAGACCGATTCGCAGAACTTGGCTAGCTCCATGTACCAGAGGCGGGATGGGGAAGAAGAGTTCAAGATGACTGCAGCTCATCACGGATCATTTACAGTAAACCTCGGTTATATAGAAGCCCGCACATGGCGATATTCTTTTTATAACGATTAATGGCCCGGAACGGCCGTTTTTTACACCCATCACGATTTCTAAGTTGCTGACCAAAAGGTGGAGTCAACAGGTCTCCGTTCTAATAAGGTACCTTGGCGCCGGGGGGTTTTTGGGTAAGGGTTGGCCTCTTGAAAAGCACGCAAGGGTATAGATTTCTGGTAAGCTGGCCATGGTTTTTGTGCCTCTGTAATAATAATCTTATTACCCTTGCCAGCCTAAAAAAGCTTACCAGACCTACTGTATCTAGGTACTATTAGTAGTCTGTACCTACCTAGGTATAGAAATAATGTGGATACAGGTACTTGGGTTGGACCATACCGCACTTAAGGATACATAACACACGTCTAGGATGGGGCATTTTACGCAATTGCCATTGCAATCACAGCTATACTAGGTATAGGCCTGATTGATCGCGGTCGTAGGGCTTGATCGATCGCGGTCATGGGTCTGGGCAATAGCTACTAAGGTAGTACTCGTATAAGCTTACTGTACTCCGATGTCGCCCTGCACGCCAAACATTGGTGAGCTTGTGGACAGCGAGGTGCAGCGGCCGGCGCCTTGCTGACTACTCAACCCGCCGGGTACGCGCGATTGGCTACCAGGCACGAACAGAAGCCCCGCATTTTCTGCCAGACGGCGTCGGAGCGTGGCGATGACTGTTCTAACTCTATCCGTACGGTGACTATATTATTATTTTTCTTCTTCTTTCAATTGAGCCTTGCCCCAGGTTTTTGTCCGGCTTCGCTCCGATCCACAGCCAAAACCTTTCTTGTCTTCCTCCAACAGCTTCTTTCTTTTTTCATCAATCTCGATGGCGAAGCAAACAACTGTATCTTCGGGTTCTCTTTCTCTTTATTGAGCGTTTGTGCTCACTCACGCAATTGGGACCTTTCCTTTCCCATCCCTCCCCTCCGAATCCCTCTACTGCTCCGCGATGCTCCGAAATCGCCCTACGAGAAAGGCCACCCGCGCCCTTGGCCAGGCGAGGGCGTGGACGATGCCGCTCACAGCCACTCTTGCACAGTCAAAGCTGCCCGCGACGCAAAGAACAAAGACCACTGCCGCTACTTCTGCTGCGCCGTAAGTTTCTGGCTGTTTTTCTTGCTTCCTTACACCCTCATAGCCTCGTTCGAGGTGTCATGCTTCACAGCCCAACAACCATCCGTATTCCTGACTCGAAAGACGCCGAGGAGTGCCCCGACGCTCGCTCCACCAAGCCAATGGATGCTTCATTGTTAAACTCATCTCAACCATGTTGCTGACCTGCTTTACAGTCATGCTCGCCCTGTGCCCAGCCCAGCCTTTAACTTGAAACCCGAAACTCGTCGTCATGTTCAGCCTCTTGCTAACCGATCGAAACCCGAGATGGATGAGTCGTAAGAATTCCCTCTCAAACCACGACGAGCCCTTGCTCATGTGCTTTCAGGTTCATCGGAAAGACTGGCGGTGAGATCTTTCATGAGATGATGATCCGACACGATGTGAAGCATATTTGTTTGTCCATCTTCTCCAACCCAAGTTGTCTTCGGCAGGGCCAAATGAGAACCTACGTGCTAACTAGTCCTAGTTGGCTACCCCGGAGGCGCCATCCTTCCCGTCTTTGATGCCATCTACAACTCGGAACAGTTAGATTTCATCTTGCCTAAACACGAACAAGGCGCAGGCCACATGGCACAAGGTAAGAAGACTTTACTTCGTTGAACAAGGGTCATATAAATTAATATATCATAGGATACGCACGTGCCTCCGGAAAACCTGGCGTTGTACTCGTTACGTCGGGTCCGGGAGCAACCAATGTCATCACGCCCATGCAAGATGCTCTCTCAGATGGCACTCCCCTAGTGGTCTTCACTGGACAGGTCGTAACAAGTGCCATCGGACTGGACGCGTTTCAAGAGTGCGATACTGTGGGAATTAGCAGGAGTGCGTGCAAGTGGAATTGCATGGTTACAAGCATTGCTGAGCTCCCGCGTCGAATTAACGAGGCTTTCGAGATTGCTACCAGTGGTCGCCCTGGCCCTGTTCTCATTGACCTTCCCAAGGATATTACAGCAGGCATTCTTCGGAAGGCTATTCCAACACAAACTCGCCTACCTTCTATTCCAAGCATCGCTTCTCAGGCTGCCAAACGACTAATGGAGAAGCAGCTTAATGCCTCCCTTGGTCGTGCTGCGGAGCTTATCAAAGTAGCTAAGCAGCCTATCATTTACGCTGGCCAAGGCATCATCCAATCTGAGGGCGGAACTGAGCTTCTTCGCGAGCTAGCTGATAAGTGTTCTATTCCTGTTACAACAACTCTCCAAGGCCTTGGTGCATTTGATGAGCGTGACGAAAAGTCATTACACATGTTGGGTATGCATGGCATGGCATATGCCAATATGTCTATGCAGGAGGCCGACCTTATTATTGCTCTTGGTGCTCGCTTTGATGATCGTGTTGTCCTGAATACTTCAAAATTTGCTCCTAATGCTAAAGCTGCAGCAGCTGAGAGGCGAGGCGGCATTATTCATTTCGATATATTACCTAAAAATATTAACAAGGTCATTGAAGCAACTGAGGCTATTGAGGGTGATGTTGCCACTAACCTCAAGATGCTTATGCCTATGCTCACACCTACAAGCATGGAGCAACGGAGCGAATGGTTCAATAAGATATCCGAATGGAAGGCCAAGTGGCCTCAATCTAACTATGAGCGCTCTGACTCTCCTGGAGGCAACGGTCTCATTAAACCCCAGTCCCTAATTGAGGAGCTGAGCGATCTCACCTCCAAATTGGACAAGAAAACAATCATCTCGACTGGAGTGGGCCAGCATGTGAGTCCCTCACGAGCAGCCGACACTATGACGAACACCAACTGACCTGACGTAGCAAATGTGGGTAGCACAGCACTATCAGTGGAAAGAGCCTCGATCGTTTGTCACGAGCGGTGGACTAGGTACGTGATATTTTTGCAGCATCCTGGCCGTTTCTCTCCGGTCCTTCCAAACCCCAAACTCAAATCTTGTCATGTTTCTTGGGCATTGAAGCTTGTAACGACCCTAGTTCTGACCCGGGGATGCAGGCACGATGGGCTTTGGGCTGCCAAGTGCGATTGGAATCAAAGTAGCGAGACCAGACGCCCTCGTGATCGACATTGACGGCGATGCGTCCTTTAACATGACCCTAACAGAGCTCTCCACCGCTGCTCAATTCAACGTTGGTGTTAAGGTTATTGTTCTGAATAACGAGGAGCAAGGCATGGTTACGCAATGGCAGAACCTGTTTTATGAGGACCGCTATGCGCACACACACCAGCGGAATCCGGACTTTATCAAGTTGGCCGACGCAATGGGTGTGCAGGCGAGGAAGGTCGTCAAGCCAGAGGACGTTCGGGCCAGTCTCGAGTGGCTCATCAACACGGACGGTCCAGCTCTTCTCGAGGTTGTTACCGACAAGAAGGTGCCTGTCCTGCCCATGGTACCAGCAGGTGCTGGCCTCCACGAGTTCTTGGTTTATGATAAAGGTAAGCTATGGCTCCTGGGACTGTAACACGATGATGTGAGGCTATTTGCTAACGGCGGTTGATTGCAGAAAAGGACAAGGCCCGGCGGCAGCTAATGCGCGAGCGAACCGGCGGTGTTCACGGTTCTTAGCTCGGAGTCCGGGAGGAAGCAAAGCTGTCAGGTGAAATTGTCCAAGGTCTATAAGGGACATGGGTATCGTGATATTGCATTGATTCTATAACTAGGGAGACGTTATATGGCCTCCAACCTGGCCGAAGCAGCCTCCAAGAAGAATGGATTTTTTACTATTTTTAATTAACGCAGAAAAATCTAGGGAGTTTAATTAGATAGCGAAAAGTATTCATTTATTTACTTCACAAAATAAAAATTGACAAACATTATAGTTAATATTTATACATATCAGTTATTTCTAATCCATACTAAAATTCCCGGTTTTAAAGACTAAAATACTAACATACTGCCTAGAATATGTACTAATTTACAACACTGGGGATAAGTATGACGAGACCAATTGTTGCATAATGGGTGCTGTGGCGGACCATCAGACGAAGCACGTGCGCCATCGACCATTCATGTTCCTAGCGGGCCAAAAAAAAAAAAAAACTCAAAGGCCTTAAATTGCGCCGCATGTCGTCACGGATCTTGGTTGCCAAGGCCCGGCGGTTGAAGCCACTAGATGCCGGATTGGGGCAGATTTGCAGGCGAGATGACCTCAAAGAAACGCCATGAATCGAGCGCGAGGCTTGGAGAAGAAGCGCGTTGCTTGCTCAATTGCAGGCTAATTTACAGCACAGCACTGCCCTAACTGGGTAGGCAGAGCCACTATTTCGCCCTTGTCCGTCGATGGGAATGGCTGAATGGATCTGGCAGCTCGGCGGGTTGGTACTCGTGGATGACTTGCACAGATCTTGATGATGCCCTACGTCATACTGGGATGGGAAACGTTGATGATTCATCATCAACCCTGGGCTTGTGAAGCATCACCATTCTCCATCACCATCACAATCACAACCACAATCACAATCACAGCTGCAGTCACTCTCCAGACTGAGAGAACCACCAAGATACTCGTTATACACAAAAGAAGAAAACGGTAGAAAAAGCCAACAAAGCCGCATCAATGGCATATCGCATGCCCCACGACCGAGACCGGCGGGTGTACATCGTCATCCACCAGGACGGCATGATAGCCACCATTCTGGGCGTCTACGAAGAGCTGCAGGACGCCAACCGAGACTGTCTGTTGCGGGCATCGCAAGGGGGCATCGAGCTGCTGCAGGACTCGCCCACGACGGGGCCCGACAAACATCACATCTCGCCCATTGAGCCCGCGCGGTGGGACACGCCGGACGGCTTGTCGTGCTGGGTCGAGAGCCATGTGGTTGAGCCGAGCCGAGTCGTGAGCTCGAATCTCGAGACACGCAGACCGATGAAGTGAAGACGACCAAAATTACCTATTTGACAACGATGCAAGGCGATGCGATGCGATGCGATGCTATATGATACCTCGATAGCAAAAACAAAACAAGAAACCATCAATTACGAATACCAGTACCTTAGCTGTCCGCTCGATGATGGTGATGATGATGGTGACGATACATATAAGCTAGGCCTAGCAGTTGGTGTGAGGTGGCGAAGTGAGAGGCGAGGAGAATTACATTGGATGTAAGCTGCTTTGTTCTCCGTACAGTACGTGTATGAGCAGCATGTACATGGTAAGCCCGAGATGGCGGCAAATTGGGAGGGAATTTCTACAAAGAAAACACATCACATACACTCACACTTACACAAAGGACATGGCTCGTTGGTTTAAAGACTACCTTGCATAAGCGTAAGCAATACAAAGACAATCGATGGAATCAATAGCTTTATGATGTTGCAGGTGAATGAGATGAATGGAATCAAACGAGTAAGCGTTCGCCCGGCTATTTCTCCGTGCCACGTTTTGCCGTTGCTTTGCTGGAGATTGGCGGGGTAGCACTTTGCAGGGTCCCGCACAGGGGACCTCTGGGAACTTTGGGGGGGCAGGTCGTGAGGCCACAGGCGTATAGCCGCCGTGTTTTAGCGCCGCAAGCCCCTAAAAGCACGGGGCTAGTTGCCTGACCAACCTCCAAAGCTGCACTGCACTGCGCCTCGCTCGCCCTGCCGAAAGCCCCAATAGGGCGAAGCCGCGCATTCTCTCTCTGTCTCTTTAACCCCCCAAAATCACAAGTTCTGACTTACCCCCCCCCCCCCCCACGTCCGGGTCAAGAGGGAACTGCACACGATAGGCAGGGCTTTTTGCGTCTTTTTTTTCTTTCTTTCTTCTTCTTCTTGAAGCATTGGCCTTGAGCAATAGCAACGAGTAGCAAAGCAGCAGGGCATCCTCGGTCTTTATATGAGCTGCGCCCTTGTTCAACACCGTCAGTGGCTTCTCCCGTCATGGCCGAGGTGGACGTGCCCACCTTTGGCGCAGAGCTAAAGGTGCGTCTGAGTTGCGTGGCGATCGATGGCTGTCTGTGATGAAGGAAGAGAAGAAGTACGAGAACAAGAACAAGAACAAGAAGAAGGAGGAGGAGGAGGAGGAGGAGGAGGAGGAGGAGAGAAAAGAAGCCAGAAAGGGCTTCCGTGATCCCCCCTGCGTGCGCGGCGCTGACAAACTCTCAGGATGGCTTCAAGGCGGCCAACGCCTGGGTCAACAATGGCATTACCTGGCTCGACGAGATCCAGCAGTTCTACCGCGACCGCGCCGCCATCGAAAAGGAATACAGCGCAAAGCTCGATGCGCTGGCCAAAAAGTACTTTGAGAAGAAGAATAGGAAGATCTCTCAGCTGAGCGTTGGCGACACCCCGACCCTGACCCCCGGCTCGCTGGAGAGGTAAGGCCCGACATTCCAACAAAGAACTGAGACAGCCGTAGATCTACGCGGGCGTTGGTGCATCGCATCAGAGGAGAGAGGGACTGCTATTCCAGACGTCGTGATGCTGACGCTGCTTCTCTCTATATAGCGCTTCCTTGACGACCTGGTCCACGCAGCTTACGACGCTCGAGTCTCGCGCCTCCGAACACGATCGCTATGCGAACAGCCTCCTGTCCCAAGTGGCCGAGCCCCTGAAATTCTACAACAACCGCTTCGACGACTTGCGCAAGCGCCATGCCGACTATGCCGACAAGCTCGAGGCCAGCCGCGACGCCTGCTATGCCGATTTGCGCAAAATAAAGACAAAGTACGACGGCACATGCCAGGAGCTCGAGAGCAAGCGCAAGAAGACCGAGTCGCACTACGACAAGGCCAAGGCCCAGAACGCCTACCAGCAGCAGCTCTTCGACATGAACAACGCCAAGAACACCTACCTCATCGCCATCAATGTTGCCAACAAGCAAAAGGAAAAATACTACCACGAATATGTCCCCGAAGTCATGGATAGCCTGCAGGACCTGAACGAGTTCAAGACGCTCAAGCTCAACTTTTTGTGGGACGTGGCGACTCGTCTGGAAGGCAACATGCTTCAGCAGAGCAACGGCATGATCGAGCACCAAGGCAAGGAGATCCAGAGGAATCTGCCTCACCTGGACTCCATGATGTACATGCGCCACAACATGGGCGCCTTCCAAGAACCGCCAGACAAAGCCTTCGAGCCCAGCCCCGTCTGGCATGACGATGACCTCATGATTGTGGACGAGACGGCCAAGATTTACCTGCGCAACGTACTAACAAAATCCAAAGGCCAGCTGGGGGAACTCCGGAGAGAAGTGGACAAGAAGCGCAAAGAGGTGGAATCTATGAAGCGGGTCAAGGAACGAGTTCGAGATGGAAAGGAGAAGAAGGACGAGGTCGAAGTGATCCGCACGCTCTTCGCCATGCAAGAGGATCTGATTGCCGTGGACCAGAAGAGGCTCACGGCCGAGGTCGAGACCACCACCATCACAACCGCGGTTGGGGATGTCACGCTGGGGGCCAAGAACCACAACTTTAAAAGCCAGACTTTCAAGATACCGACCAACTGCGACTTGTGCGGCGATCGCATCTGGGGCTTGAGCGCCAAGGGGTTCGACTGTCGAGACTGCGGCTACACGTGCCACAGCAAATGCGAGATGAAGGTGCCTGCGGATTGTCCTGGCGAGCAGAACAAGGAGGAGCGAAAGAAGCTCAAGGCTGAGCGCCAGGCCGCGACCAACAAGCTCCTCGCGCCCGACCCGGCGTCCATGTCAAACGAGAGCCTGGCCCGGTCCAACACTATGAACTCGGTGAGCTCGCAGTCAGCGCGACAGTCCGTCATCTCTGGGCCACAAACCCCGTCAGAGGACGCGCCCTCTGAGATTGCCCCCAAGGCCACCACACCTGCTGTGGCTGTGGCCGCAAAGACTACCGCTGCAGCTCCCGCAAAGAGGAATAGAGTCGTCGCACCCCCTCCCACGGCGTACATCTCGGCTCCACCGGCGAGTAGCACCAATGGCAACGCGGAAAGGGAAGAAAAGAAGGGTAAAGTGCTGTACCAGTTCGATGCCGGTGGTGACGGAGAGCTATCGGTAGCGGAAGGAAAAGAAGTGGTGATATTGGAACCAGATGGTAAGTTGGAAGCAAACCTCCTTTCCTTTTCAGCCCCTCAGATTCTAATATAGTCTTGCAGACGGCTCCGGCTGGATCAAGGTCCGTGATGGCTATAAGGAAGGTCTCGTACCGGCGACATATATAGACCTCAACATTGCGCAGTCAACGTCCTCGGCATCCGCTCGCCCATCGTCCACCTACTCAACGTCGACAACATCATCGCTGGCGCTCAGCGCCGCGTCACGGAAGAAGGGCCCCGCGGTAGCGCCCAAGAGAGGCGCCAAGAAGCTGCAGTACGTGGAAGCCCTGTACGACTACACCGCGCAGAGCGATGCCGAGCATTCCATGGCGGAGGGCGAGCGCTTCGTGCTGGTCAAGGAGGATTCCGGGGATGGCTGGGCCGAGGTCGAAAAGGCTGGCGTGACGGCTAGTGTGCCTGCTAATTACATCCAGGCTGTGTAGGGGAGACGGCGCTTGATGAGGCGGTAGGTTGGCGCGGGCTGTGGTTTTTTTTTCTTCTTTTCTTGTCTTTAAGGCTAGATGGGAAGAGGGGGGGATTTTTTGGTAAGAAAGAATGAATAACTCTGGTTTTTTTTTTCGTTTGTAGGAGATGGAAACACTCAGGGGGGGAAGCGAATGCTTGCCAAACAAAAAGTAATAGGAGGGACGAAGAGGCGAGCTCCAAGCTAACAAGAGGGAGAGCGTGTATATATATATAGATGATTACGATGGCAAGAGCTTTGGATGATTCAAATGTCTTTTTTTCATGGACGAATTTTTTTTTTTTTTTTTTGGGTTTCACTTCCGCTTTGCATTGCATTGGGAGGAGTACGGCATGGCAGGGAAAGGCAAAGAAATTGTGTACTATATCCCGTATATTTATCTACACGAAAGCGTTGCGAGCCCGTCATGCTGCTTGCTGGATCAATTCTTGTTTCTTTTTTCTTTCTCTCGTCACATCTCTCAAGTAGATGGCGAGCTTTTGTATGAAAGGCGCATCATCGAATTTAGGTACGCAGAAGCAAACACACGATGAGAGTGAAATTGTGTCTTGGTTTTTTTTAGGACCGTTTCAAACGGCCGGTATATCTTTATTTTAGTACAAGTGGTGTCCCACGTCCCATATCACGCAGAGGCGAGTTCGTCTAGAGTACAAAAAAAAGGAAAAAGAAAAGGATAAGTGAAGTAGGGGATAAAAAGAAAAACAAAAACAGCGCTTGCGAAAAGGAAAAAAAAAGGGATAAGAAAAATCATACACAGGATAAATCTCATGCAATCTCCAGATTTCATCCCGAAAACAACCTTGTATATATATATATATATGTCATTTCCATAGCCCACCCTCCGTCCGGGGAAAAAAAAGGGTTGCAAACAGCCATCCCCATCCCCTTTAACCAGTCTTTCATATGCAGTTGAGCGTCAAAAACCTCGGATATCATGCATGCCGTATTTGCTCCCGTACCACCTGCCCCTGATTACCCCGCGAAACGCCATGGGAAAAAAAAAGAAGAAATAATAATTGTGTATCCCTCGAAGCCACCTCTCCCAAACATAGATAGAAAAAAAATGACAAGGACTGAAGGTAAAAATAAAAATCAAAGGGGAGATGAGATGAACCGAGAACCAGAATCTCCGAATTTGCGTTCACCATCTTGGTGATGGTTGATCTTTTCATCACCCCAAGCCGCAAAAAATAAGAAGGGGGGGTGAAGGAAGCGCTCATACAAAGAGGGGGAAAACAGAGGGGAAATAAGTCTATGGAGTATATAATTTTGTCTTTGTGAGAGAGATGATGTGCGTATATAAAAACAAGAGGAGGGTATTTTGGAGGTAAAAAGAAAAGCGGGGAGTGTGCGTGTGTGTGTGCGCGCAAAGTAGTATATCTCATAGGCGCTCAAGACGGCATGCCGCAATCTGGTGTCTCATCCATGTCGGGAAAGCTAAGCTCATCAGGCAGTGGTTCCTAGATCATCTGTGCCGTTGGGGCTCCGAGTCCGTGAGGGTTGAGGCTGTGACGCAAGGCGTCTTGCAGCTCTGCAATCTGTGCCATCATGGCTAGAGAGTGCTGTGATTGTTGGTCCATCTCGGACTTTAGCTTTTCGTTCTCCTCTCGCACCCGCTTGATTTCGTCTCGAAGATCGGACAGCTCGTCTATGCCCTGACTACTTAGACGGCGTTTGCGCTTCGACCCAGATTTCTCGCTCTCGTCGTCTTCCGGAGAGGCAACAATCTCGATTGGAGATGCAGAGGTGTCCATGTTTGTGTGTACTCGTCGAAGATGCTCGTTAAGATTCTCCTGCCGAGAAAAGCCTTTGCCAGTATGTCGCTTGCAGTTGGGGTGCGGGCAGTTGACAGTGTTCTTGGGACCGCCGTGCTTCCCGTGAACTTCTCGCTCATGTCGGAGGAGGCCGCCGGAATATGTAAACCCGGGTAAATTCTCACAACCTTCGGCCGGGCAGCGGTAAGGACGTTCGTGCTTGTCCATGTGTTTGCTGCGAGAGTGTTGGTTTGGAGCTCAAGATGGAGGGGCTGGGGGGAGATGACTTACTTCCACTCGCACTTGCGAGAGAATGCGCGAACTTCCTCCTTGCAGTCATCTAGGGGGCAGTGAAACTTGCCATCTGACTTCTTGTGAACCTCACGTTCGGGCTTGGGAATTTGTTTCAGCCGCGATGACGGAGAAGATATGTCATTTTGCGGAGGCTCCTTGCTTTCTGGTATGGGATCTGGTAGTGGTGGCGGCGCATGGAGCGCAACTTGAAGAGGTGATGAGAACTCTGGTGCACCCAGGTCGAGCTGGGACGCTTCCGGAACGACGGCATCGTCGTCTGCCAGAATATCTCTTTCATCTCCGATGACGCCTCTGTCGTCCGGTAGCAGAGAGGCTTCTGCGGTATAATGGCTGAGGTGCTCGGCAACATCGGAGTCGGTATATCGCTGCTCGGCAACGTGATCGTGCTCGTCGCCTATGGGGGGATATGCGCCCTCATGGATAAAGGACCGCGGCTCGTATGCGACGCTCATGGTGGCCTGCAAGTCGGAGATGTACCCCAGGCGCAGTTTTGGGTGCTGGCGGCACAAGCCTTTAAGCTGTGCGATGCGCCGGAGCGATGGCGAGGGTGAGGGTGGCGCTGCAGTCGAGACGGAAGCAGTCACTGCCCTCGGAGTGCGGCCTCTGGAGCAGAGAGCGGCGGCTGGCCGTTGGCTTGTGATTCCCACGGCCTGTGACGAATTGCTGAGCCGGCTATCGATGCTTGGATTAGTTCGAGGTCGCGCAGAGCGGGATGATGGCCTGAAAATTCTGGTATGAATGTTTTGGACAAGGTTCTCGTCAGCTCCGCTTCCTGGCCAGATCATTAGTGGATTAGTCAGGTGAAGATCACGTGACGGATGTGGCGAGGGTGCTGGCGTGGCTGATTTGGTGGCTGTGTGTGTGTACTCCGTACTTGTTGCGCGGACTCCGGGAGGGAACCTGTTGGTGTGAGTTTTTGTTTGAGCAGCTTGCATGTGCTGCGTAATAATGATCCGAGTCCTTTGTGGAAAAGCTGCTATTTCATCAATGTCGTGAAATCCCAACGCGCTCTTCCGGACCCTTAATATGTCCGAGCAGTTCTAGGCAGAACCCCCCCTCTGAGGCGTGACTCGAGTCGGATCAAGCAACTGCCAGCCAGCCCACCACCAGACGCATGCCTATCGAATCGATCTCCAGTGACTCATTACCGTACCTAGGTAGGTGTATTCTCTCGTAAAGGTTCATGACACACTCCACCTTGGCACGTGGGGCAAACTACAACGCAAAGCTGCGCCTCGGCCGTGGTAGAATAAGACGAAAGACATAACGGCGTAAGAGCTGCGATGTGCGGTTTGCCAGGCGGCAGCCAAGGCGCTGCTCACTCGAGCATAGCACGTCTGTGAACCTTGTAGCTTGAGGGGAGCTAGGCACAGCTCCCCGACCGGTGAGAGACCAATCTGGTGGGAGGGCTGAATGCTTGCCTAGAATGGCTTAAGGTAACCAGGTAACCATTCATCTCGCATCGCCCTGCGCATCTCATAGGACCTCGAGGGTGAAACGTAGCCGGTGTCTTTCCTTGGCTAGCCTGTCGGCGCGCTAGGCTGAGAGATGGAAGAAGCTGTCGCCAACGAATACTCAGCTTCACGGTGGCTGTCACCCTAAGCCATAACACGAAGCTGGTGGGTGGCTGCCAAAGAGCTTTTGGAGCCGAGGATCCCCAAGGCTTATGCAGGACTTTGCGGGTGCCTCTGACGTCCCATGTGCCCCTGGCATGGCTATGATTACCCGTGACGGAAGGGGGTGGCATCCTACCAAGCGGCGGCGATACCTATTCTGCACTTTTGATGACGGCCGTCGTGCTTGACTCAATCCATGTCGTACCGAACAGCCTTGAGGGGAAGCGTACGTGATGAGAAATCCAATGAGGGCTGCTGAGAGAGCAAGGTGGTGATGCGCTCAGTCCTTTGAACGAGACGACACCCCCACCTCCCGTCTCATGGTCACTTGATTCACGAGAAGGAGGCTGTCGGCAATCCGTAAATAGCTCTGTGTCCGCGTAAGGATGGCGGATTTCCGCGTTGGCTGCCAGTAGGTTGAGAAGTCGCGCCAGAAGACGTCTTGCGCATGACCTAGGGGGGGGGCCGCGGGAGGACTTGTGTCATGGAGGTCGCCTCATGGAAGACGAGGAGCATCCCGGGCCAATTATCCAGATGGCGACGTCGAAAGTCCAGCAAGGGACCTAGGCAAACATTGTTGTGCAGATGAGCTGGAGAGACGTTTGGCCTGAACCTTGGCCTGAGGCGGACGATCGGGGCATTTATGATGTGTGGAAGAGCAGAGCCGCATGACTGGGAGGGAATGACGAGGCTGTTGGAGCGGGGGCTTGAACATCAGGCATTGACGCAGGCGAACCAAAGCACGAGGCTGGCAGGGCGGATGTTGGAGATTGGCGTCTAACGCCTGGCATCCTCAGGCAGACAATATGCAAGGTGCATGCGGCGGTGGGAGCTGCGACGGCGATGCAATGCGGTTACGTGCAAGATTGTCGACAAGCATCGAGTGCCAGGACTGACACTGGGGACGTTGGAAAGAATTGATGAGAAACAGAGTGTTTCCAACCGAATCGACGGCTGTTGTTGTGGTTACCACGGTCAAGCAAGCACGGGCACGGCTAGGTACATGCAGATCAGCGATGCATGCGCGGAGCCACGGGTACCTCACCGAACACATTTAGGCATCAGTGCACGTAGTTGCATGTAGGTGCAGGTTGATTCCTGATAGAGCAGATGAGTCAAGACATCTAAATTGATTACCTAGTACTACATGTACCTTGTGTAATGCATGAATCAGAGCATGAAGAGCGTAATGTTAGTCAGCCCTTGAAAATATCAACATCTTGCTCCATCTGCTCACCGAAAACTACAGACTTCATCGAATACTCGTACTAGGATGGAGAGAGGTGTTAGTGCGAGGACCCGCCTTGAACAAGGTCAAATCGACGGCGAGATCCGACTGCCGAAGCTCAGGAAGCTTTCCGTTGGAGCTACGGCAAAAGTCCCTCGAGGTAGCAGTAGCTCATCTCATGCGCAGTTCTCGCGTCTCGGCTATCTGCAGCTTTGTTAGCATTGTAGATCTGCTTGATGCGGGATGTTCATATTGTAAGACTTGGATGAAATAGCAAGAATACATCTGTTTCAACGCTTTCCATACCTAGGCATTACACGATAGTTTTTGTCTTATCGCAATCCGGTCTCGGCCCTTGCGTCTTGTTGAGCTTAGCCCTCGGCTACCGAGGCGTTAAAAAAGTTGGTGGTTAATCGCGGCAGACTGAATCACACAATCAACCTTTAAAAAAAGATCCTCCCCCACTTTCTCGCTGCTCTTTTCCTCCTTTCCCTCCCTCATCAAGACGTCTAATACCAGTATCATACTCTGGGCTTGTGCTGTGAATCTCACGCAATCTCATAGCTGAGTCTTTTTGTCACTACCTACGTCCTTTACTGTCGTGCCGGTCGGAATTGCCCTCATCATACGCTTGAAGTGCGCTCTCCCAAGATGGCGTCGCAATCAGCATCGCCTCCTGGCGATTTCAAGCAAGCAAGCATGAGCGAAAGCCCCGCTCGCTCTCCTTCTGTATCATCTCGCAACCCAGACGGCGAGGAAGAGGGCGGTATCCGGCCGGCCGACTACGACACAGAAACGGTGGAAAGAGTCTACAGGTATGTTATCCGTAAAGGTGTAGACATGATGGATTCATGCTAACTCTCCATTTCTACTAGGAAAATTGATCTCAGAATTATTCCCCGTTAGTATTGGCCCGCACTCTTCCGATGATTCTCCCCTAGCAGCAGTGTAGCCTGAAAAGAGCTCAAACTGACCAAGCCTTAGCTTTCTGGATCCTGTACTTTCTCTGCTCGGCAATTCGCTCCAACATTGGTATTGCTCAGACGATGAACCGTGACAAGGGCCATGATTTGGAGACTGTCCTTGGGCTCACCCCCAAAGACGTATCCACTGCTCTCGCCCTCTTCTATGTGTCCTACGTCATATTCGACTTTCCGTCAAACCTCATCATGAGCAAACTCAGCCCCCGAGTGTGGATGGCTAGAATCGTCTTTGCCACTGGGGTTGTTGGCTCTTGCTTCGCAGCTGTCCAATCCCCTTGGAGCCTCAAATTTCTACGCTTCCTCTTGGGCTTGGTCATTGCTGGCATGTGGCCGGGCATGGCTTTTTATCTCACACTCTTCTATCCGCCGTCTCGAACAGCCAAGCGAATTGGCATGTACTTTACTGCCTCTCAAGTGTCCGCTGCTGTGGTTGGCCTTGTATCAGCTGGATTCCAGTTGATGGATGGCGACAGGGGCTTGGTTGGCTTCCGATGGATGTTTCTCGTATATGGACTTGTTGCTGTTATCCTGAGCTTTGCGCTTCTGTGGTGGCTTCCTGACCGACCCCTGGCACCAGGACAAGAGAGAAAGCGGACTGGCCTTTTCAAATGGCTTCCAGCTACCCCCGAAGTTCTCACCGGCGAAGATGCTCAAGTTCACTACTCCGAGTTGAAGCGTGTCTACCATGCTCGTCCGTGGGGCCTGAGAGATCTTGGTCTTGTGCTGCTGGATTGGAGGCTGTGGCCCTTGTGTCTAATGTACTTTGGAGTTGTCGGAGTCGGAATAGGCACTCAGCTCTACGGTTCAGTCATCATTGCCGCAATCCAGCCCGAGGCGAGTGATATAGTGGTCAGCTTGCTTTTTGCTCCCATCTGGATTGTGAGTCTTTCCCGCCTTTGGTCTCGTCAAGCTAAGATTCTAACTGAGCATGCTATAGATGGACCTCATCGCCATTCTCCTGGTGACACCTATTTCTGATCGCTTTCATCGCTTTAGACCATTCTTCTTCTCCGCAGCCGTCTGCATCCAGATTGCGGGCCTACTGACGACCACTTTTGCTCTTCAAAATGGCTGGGCCCGGTACGGTGGACTTTTGATGGTGGGCTTCGGCTTGGGACCAACCGTCCCCATTTGCATGACGTGGACCTCGGAAATCTTCCAACGCCGACATGGCGAGGTTGGTGTGGCAGCTGCCACAGCCCTGGTATCCGGTCTTGGAAACTTGGGTAGTGTCACCACCACATACGCCCTGTACTCCGGCTGGCCAGAGGATTCTAAGCCGGGACCTCACCAGTTCCGTAAGAGCAACCTTACAATGATCGGCATTCTCTGCCTCAGCATTGTTAGCTCAGCGGCAATGTTGGTACTGCTCAAGGTCGTCGGCAATCCCCCGAGCTCCAAGCTCCACGAAAACGACTCAGCCAGCGACTTTGAGGATGGCGCAGCAAGACGGGAGGCCACGCAACGTGGGTTCGGGAAATTTTCTCGACGCTCCCGACACCAAGAGATCTAAATTTTCGCCTGTGGAGCGTCTCAATCAAGGCATCATCACCAGCCACGACTTGGCCTTCAACAACAGCTTGGCAACGACGTCTTCACAGCCCACTCTTTCGTTCACAAAATGGGCAATTCAACCTGTCATTCTTATTATGCTTATTTCAAGGGCGGTCTATACTCTGCCGCCATCTTGGATAATCCTCTCATTATTTTTATCCTTTTGAGGCCGCCATAGCGGTTCTTTCTTATGGTCGAACCCACTCCACACCTGCGGTCGCCACCCATGGCCCCTTGCCTCCGGTAACACACCAGGACTGGCTCCCTCAATGTGGCAGTGCCGTATCATCATTTCCGAAAAGAATTGTGCAGAGGGCTTGGAAAAAGCCTGGCCGTGACAATGCTGTCGCGCTATCACTCCAGGTTCATTTTCAAGCGCTCTCGCAATACACTCCGGCCTTCAACCTGTTCATGCGGTAACCCTCTGCCTCATGGGTTTTGGATATGACTTTTTTGTTTTGGTTTGGTCCTTTTTTTGGTTATATTTTTATGATACCCCATCAGCGTTTATTACCCGCTGTCTAACGAGTGGAACATGTGAGTAACGATTATTCTCGACAGCGAAAGTGCTTCTACGCCATCGCTGGGACGGCGTGTTTGGACCGAGACTCAAGATCCGGCGACAATGCTGGTGCGCTATCGTCGGAGGGTCTCGTGGGCGTTTTTTTTTATGTGTGTGTTTTTATACATAAAGGCTCTAGATGCGCTATTTTATTGATTAGTGAAATATCATAGACGGTAGCTTCAATAACAGCTATTAGAGGCAGTAGTTGTGTGAATCTGGTCTGCTTTATCGATGTTCCAGACTTGTGATTCTAGAACATCATGGTGAAAACATCATCTCCTTGTCTCAGTTGAACAAGCATCCCTTCATGTTCGAGGGCGTCGATGCGTCGACTTATTTCCAAGGGAAGAAGAGAAGGGAGGTAGCAAGCATGAAATCACTCTCGTTGATCAGTACTCAATACGCGATTACTACGCCGCCATACGAAGAAGTACGAGATGTATGGAGGAACATGGGATATCAGCTTCATAACAAAAGCCCTTGCATATCGAATCTATGCAGGGGAACCACAGATGAATGCCTCTGCTGCACTTGGCCCGTCGAATCTGCCACAGAAGGCCAGATGCAAGGGCCACCACATGTTTGATCAAGTTAATGCACTGGACCGACCAAATGCTACCCGAGGGCCATGCGGTTACGCTTCTCCAGCTCGTACGACTCCAGCTTGTACGAGGTAAGGCAGAGTAACCATCGCGGTGGTAACCAGGTCACACGCATGCCAAAGAAGTCAGTTGAGCTTCCTTTGTGAGAGGCATTGACTTTTGGTTTTGTATTCATGTTGTAGCATTCGTAGGTATCGTGGTGCTACTCGCGTGTACTAAATGGTTGGTCAAAAGCTGGCGAGTACGAGGTAGCTGTAAGTATCCATTGTTTGAGCAAACACGCTGCGGGCTACCAGAAGATACGAGTAGCCGACTCTCTGGAGCCGTTTTGTCTAATACTTTTTATAGTAGCCCGTGGTCTAGGGCAGAATACCAGGGCATGTCGTGGGATCTAGAAGACTCGAGCAACAAGTACAGCGAATTCCATACCACATCGAAAAAGTCTACTACTCACGGGTAAGACGATTGGAGCTCTAGTGCGCATGTCCGCTAATAGCAGTCCGAAAGACCCCGTGATTCGGCTTTTCATGATGCGTTGCAAACTGTTCCTTTCCGTGGTGATGTATGTTGCATGGAACCGCACGGGACGTCTCTTGAATAACAGCTGGTTAGCCTTGATAGACTGCATCGCGATTGGTTCCGTCTCTGCGTTGGACAAACAATCTACAGTACAGAAATGGCAGTGGAGAAAGTCTGGGCGCTGGGGGCCTGAGATCCCATGATGCGGAGCAGAGCGGGGAGCGCTAAAGGCTTTTGTTAGAGAGGATGTCCAAGACACTTGAAGCTCGCCCTCAAAGGGCGGAGATAAGAAAAGTGTCTGGGAAAAGGGGCACAGCGGCCGATGCAGGGACGAGAGACTCCCTTGTAGAAGAAGGAATCTGATTTGATTTGAGACAGTGACACAAGGCTGCCGTCTGCTTGGCTGCGGAGGAGTGATTCTTCCGTTGCCCGTACCTGCCGCGATGTGTCTTGGGTGACTTGACTTCTTCTCACGGCTGCCGAACCTCTAAAGGAACATGGTATCTTTGCTTCTACATCACATAATTCTACATCACATACAATATGCACCACACTTGAGCCGCCAAACCTGACGCCAGGCGTCCGAGGGAAAAGAAGAAGAGAAGAGACTGTGAACCTGTAAGTTGCCGTCGCAGAGGCCTTGTGTGTCCCTTGGGGAAGCCGCCTGATCTGACCCCTACCAGTCAGTGCTTTTGCCCGCAGTAGCGCCTAAGACACGCGCCCTGGCTCTCGTTCCCTCGATGCGATTGATGCGATGTGATCGGTAGCTACGGAGCAAAGGTGCGGGAAACTGGGGTTGGCTCCGCTAAAGCCCCAGCGTGGGACAGATCGAATTGAGGGGCGCTTTGGCACCGCTGCTAGTATGTGTGGTCTCTCTCTCTAAGCGTGTCTGGGTGACTCAAGGAGACTTGCCCTGAGATATCTTGTTCTAACCGCATCAAAGGCCGGATACATGAAGCAAGTATAGCCTACCTACCTACTTCCTATGCAACATGCCGAGCCGCCGCTCTGGTGCTGCCGTCACTGTTTACTGTATATGAATTTGGAATCTACAGACGCTGAACTGACATGCCACCTCCGCTGTCCAGGGCACAACTAGCTGAGGGGCTAGTCACCGGATTTATCCACTTGGAAGACGACGGGACGTTGGGTAGCGAGCTCTCCTCACTAGCAGCCGGCCTACATCATCTTGGCAGTTCTGCGAGGGCTTTGGATGCGGATGGGATCCATGTCTCATGACCCCAGGTTCCGAACCAAAAACCGCCGTCTAGACGCTGATGCCGTTGTATGACATGACATCAACTCTATCCCCGCCCTTCCTGTTATGCTGCTTACATGACCATTTTGACTTATTTCACTCAGGTCAGCGCGGCGTGTAATCCAGAGTGGAAATCGATACTCGCATGTAAGTTGAGCCAAGCCAGAGCATCACGCGCATTGTCCAGTTGCTACACCTCGTTTCCCAAGTCGAGCCAAGACCTAGCTTCTCCCTGCCTTACTCACGGCAGGGTGAATTACACAGTTCCAGCTAGTCAGCCGCTTTTATTTATTGTGATAATTGACCATATATCGCGATTAGAAGCGGAGTCCAGGCTCATCTCCATATTTGATTGGTCTTTTTGCCAAGGCTACACAGCGCAGCAAGCCTCTCTGCGAGGTTACAGTCGGCCGCTTCCCACCACTCTCACGAGATATAGCCAGCGGTCATTTCAAGAGCCCGTGCGGTGGAATGTCACATATTTTAGAGTTAACTGCAACCTTATACCTGGAAAAGACTTTACTAGAACATCTCTAGGCCTCAGTGCCGTGGTCATTCGCTTGGAGTCGCGCTTTGGCTGAGCTCAACCATCCATACCGTCATAGGATCAACAAAGGCCCACCCGATCTGTCTCTCATCCCTTCTTACAGCCCAAGCGCCTCTCCCGGTTTCATTATAAAACGCAGATAGAATTCCCACTTCACTGTTTTCTATTTCAGATACCCCCCCGTCTATGGTTTCTTCCCCTCTTTCAAACTCTGGTCGACGTTATACCTGCGGCTCGCGTTGGACCATGAAGCTCTTACGAGTCGCTGCGGCGGCCCTGGTGGCTCTTAGTGGGCACGCAGAAGCTGTTTCAACCTTTGAGCCGGCAAGGCCTCCTGCAGCTCCTTTAGCTGTCCGAGCGCCTTACCTTAATGTCTGGCTCAATGGCCAAACCGATGGACAGTCGAGTGGTTACCTCGCCGGTCAGTGGCCTAGATATTGGACGTATGTATACCCATTTCACACTGATTTTGGTCAAATCCAAAGAACTTTATGGGATACTAAGCCGCTATAATAGACAAGGAATTCAGGCATGGCAAGGATTCATCAGAGTAGACGGAAAGGCCTACAACTGGATGGGAGGGGCTCCTGGAGCAGACAATGTCGACCAACAGTCGCTCAAATACACGTCAACTCGGACAACATTTACCATGAATGTGGGAGGGCAAGTCCAAATGATTGCCGAGTTTTTCTCTCCGGTGTATCCAGACGACTTGAGGAGGCAATCCATTCCGTTCTCATACCTGAAGATCTCGACAGCGTCTCTGGACGGGCGCTCACATCATGTCCAAATCTACGCCGATGTATCAGGGGGTAGGTCACTACAAATTAAAACACAAGGGCATGGCTAATTGGTTGACAGAATGGGCATCCGGTGATAGCTCACAAATCATTCAGTGGGAGCACCAGGCAGGCAGTGGGATACGCTCTCATAAATTTTATCGCCAAAACCAAGAGGCGTTCAAAGAGGCCAATGACCAAGCCTCGTGGGGCAATTGGTATTGGTCCACTGGCGACATTGTAAGCCTAATGCGACATGTCTCATGAATGAAACGCTGACTTGAATTCTCAGAGAGGTGTGACCTATCAGATTGGTCAGGATACAGTCGTCCGCGGCCAGTTCTTGTCCAACGGCACGCTTACCGGCCATATTGACACGGATTATCGCGCAGTGAATGATCGATGGTAAGATGGATTGCTCTGACTGGATGGCCGAAAAATTACTGACATCAATGTTGTAGGCCCGTCTTCGCCTTTGCACGCGATCTAGGTGCAGTTGGAAAGAGTGGCTCTGCATCAACTCTTTTTACCATTGGCATTGCCCAAGATGATGCCATCTTGTTCCAAGGAAAAGGCGACTCTCCTGAACGTGTTCCCTCACTCTGGACAAACTACTTTGATGAAGAAGACGTTGCACCGTTCTTTTACAAGGACTATACCTACGCCAGTCAGTATGCTAACAACTTGGACAACCGGATTGCACGCGATTCCATCGCGGCTGGCGGCCAAGATTACCTTACAATCACAAGTCTCGCAGTCCGGCAAGCCTTTGGCGCCTTACAATATACGGGCACTGCGGATAATGCCAGAGTCTTTCTGAAGGAAATCAGCTCCAACAGCGACATCCAGACAGTTGATGTCATCTTTCCTACCTGGCCCATCATGCTGTACCTCGATCCCAATCTCATCAAATATACTCTGTCGCCCCTCCTGGAGAACCAAGAAAGTGGCCACTACCCAAACAAATATGCGATCCACGACCTGGGTAGGTTCCCACAGGCTTTGGGATATCCTCAGGGAAATGACGAAGCAATGCCTCTGGAAGAATGTGGCAACATGATTATCATGATGCTGTCCTACGCCCAGAAGACGGGGGACGTGGACTATCTCAGACAACACTGGGTTTTCATGGCGCAATGGGCAGAGTATCTCATTGAAGATGCCAAGATTCCAGCGAACCAGCTGTCAACCGATGATTTCGCCGGCCATCTTGCGTGAGTGTTTCCCCCGTTACTATCGCCGATTGGCTGCGTGCTGACATCAAACGCAACAGGAACCAAACCAACCTTGCCATCAAAGGCATCATTGCCTTGGAAGCCATGTCTCGCATTGCCAGCCTGACTGGCCATGATTTCTTGTCCTCAAACTACTCGACAATCGCCAAGGATTATCTAGGCTTCTGGTCTCGCCATGGCGTCAACCGTGCATCTGTTCCTAATCACAGCGTGCTCCAGTACGATTCGGCTGCGACATACGGTGAGTTTGACTGTTCCCCAATTGAACCCTTGACCTGACTGCGAACCATTGCTGACGACATGAACCATTGCAATGCGCAAGGCCTGCTGTACAACCTGTACCCTGACAAGGCTCTCGGGCTCAAGTTCATTCCTCAGTCCGTCTACGACATGCAGAGCGACTTTTACCAGACAAAGGCCAACAAATACGGCGTCATCCTCGACACCCGCGGCACGCTAACCAAGACTGACTGGGAGATGTTTGCAGCAGCAGTGGCCGGTCCCAAGACAAAGGCCATTTTCATCTCCTTGATTGCCAAGTGGATCAACGAGACGCCGACGTGGCGGGCTTTTACCGATCTGTACGATACGAACACGGGAGGCTATCCCGGAAACCAGTTTACCGCCAGGCCGGTTGTGGGCGGTGTATTTGCTGTGTTGGCGTTGCAGTGAGGGTTAGCGAGGCGAGGTCATGAGCACAGCAGATTTTTTTTTTCTCTCTTCCCTTTTTTCCCTTTTTCTCTCCCATATCCGTCCCTATCCGTTCAGTTGTTTTTTTTACCCCTGGATTTTTCGGGCAGGGCGCCACTGGTCTGCAGTAGCGCGCAGTTTGAGGGTAGTAGTATTAGTGGGCATTTTGTATGTACCAGCTGATTATCCACATTTTGATCTGGCACGAACATAGTGTACTCCGTATGCAGAGTGAGAATGCGTCTGTACCCCAGCACCTATGAGTGTGCATCTGATGATGATGGCCATATTAACGAGAGTTGAGAGCATTGAACGAAGCGTTGTCATCCTGCATTGCATAGCTGCCGGCATCATCATACCATTGAGGGGTAACAAACCGCAGCCCGTTCGCGGCAGAGATTGAGACCACGTGAAGGAACCAGACGCTGTCAAGACACCCGGAGAGCGACGTGGACAAGTATTTGAGAGGGAGAAAGGTGGCATTTCGCCATATTGTCGGTGAGGCAGGGGGCTGGTGCGAGTGGTTGGAGATGTTGATCAGCGTGTGCCTGGTGATCGATCGCGCCCAATGGGGAGGCGATTGCATCTGCATGCCAGCGAGGGGCTGCATGAGCCATGTCCATGTGTCTTGTCTCAGGCTCTGCAGAGGGACGGGGCATGGCATGGAGGATTACGAGGTACTGGATGGAGAAGGATTCTAGGCGCCTTGAAGAAGAAGAAGAGCGGAAAGGGGGGCGCGATCCATCCATGCTGGTTGGGGGCACAAGTTTTGATGCGGGCTTGCTTGGGTCTTACTTTGTGATGATACTTGCTCGTGCTAATAATGCCTAATAATATCCGTGTATTACATCAGGGCACAAGTACCAAGGCACTGCTAGGTACCTATTCGATACGAGACGGGAGTCAAGTATAGATACCTGCTCTGCTAATAGTAGATACCTCATTTACATCATGAGGTACCAGCCCAATCCCTCGTCGTCATCCAGTAGCATCACGAATGGAAATTGAATTGAGAAACTCGGCCCCGATCACGTTATGATGCAACGGTGATGATGAATCGCTGCTAAAATCCCAACGCTGGCGATGGAGAATGCGGGGAGCGGGTTCCGAGCAGCGCAGCGCCCCTCTGAGGCGGCATTGGGGCAGCTTAGCTAGGGAGAGCCCAGCTTGAGGGCTAACAGGGCGGGCTAACAGGGCCCTTTAGCGGCTGAGCTTGTGCCCGGACCACCCCCCCCCCCCCCCAAATCCCCTAAACCTCGTCCAGTCCGACACTCACCTTTGCACACCTCCCGGATGGCGGAACCACAGGACACCGGCCGACCGCCCTTTACCGTTCCATTCCATTCCCCTCCAGGTACAAGTACTCGGCAGCCTCTGTGCCTTTTTTCATCTCTTACAAGCTGCCCACCTGACACTTCTGTCGGACTCGCAATCCCAGCAATCGCACTCTTCTTCTTTTTCGATGGGCTCCCTTACGATGGCTTCGTCGACAATTGCTGTCGTCTTATGTTAATCTCCTCATAATTGCGCCTCTGCTTTTTTGTTTTCTTCTTCTTCTTCGTTGTGTCCGTGCGTACTCGTGCTCTTGTTGCCTCTTCTTTCAACACACACCCCCCTGTCTCGCCAATCCCGCCATTATCCCTTTAGTTTTTTTTTCTTTTTCTGTTGGAGAGTCATTCAAGAGGTTGATCTCGGCTTCCCGAGCTCGGAGACCGCCGGATTGTCGCGACTGGTGCTGTTGCTCCTACAGCATGGCTCGCTTTGTCGATCTGGACGAGGAGGACAGCCAGGCGCAGCCAATGGCCGCCTGGCACGACGCCGGCAGGCCTCTCGCGTTGGGTGAAAACGGGGCCGCCGTCATGGTGGTTGGCGATGGGATCCCTCCTGCACGCCGCTTTCCCAGCAGGAAGAGCACCATGACGGAGAAGCTGCAGCAAGAAAATGCTGGCCAAGGAGAGGAGTTGATGGCTCACAGTGCCATGGGAGAGGCGTTCCAGTGCTATCCGTATGCAATTCATCCCTTTCTTATACGCTCTGCAGAGAAAAAAAAGACTAACGTTGGACTTTGTTGCCATTTCAGCATCGTCGTTGGCATTGTGTCCCACATTGACCTCAACACTCTCGACGCATTGGCCCGCTCGTGCCGTGGAATTCACGATGGCTTGATCCAGTATCGAGCGAGCCTCATGGGCGCGACGCTGCGCTGCTCCAAGGAGGCTGTGCCGGTCGACCCAGAGCAGACGCTGCGATACCGCGCGAGAGCGAGTGACTGGAATTATGGCATGGAGGATAGTCGCAACTACAATGGGAAAGCGGGCAGTTGCGCTCGCGACCTAGTGACCGAGTGTAGAAGATGCGCCGACATCATTTGCAGGGTGAGTTGCTGTCCCTTGTTAATCTTTGTTATCAATGACGCATACGACAGAGACCGTCTTCCATCTCAAGCAGCTGCTAACATTGATTGCTAGAATTGTGCTATTAAGCCCCCTCTTTCGACTGCGCTGCGCGAGCGACATCGTCGCCTGTGTGTGACTTGCGCCAAAGCTCCCATTGCGGCGCTCGCATCGCCAGCGCTGGATATATCCTTGCCTCTCACCTCTGAGGCTGTACAACGTGCAGTCTGTCAGTGCGACACTGAGGGCGTCTGGCTGTGTCAGCCTTGTGGCCATAGCATCCGCAATGCGGACCACGACTATAAAGGGTATGTTTTTGTCTCGCCAATGTTTCTTTGGCTCTGTCCACGATGGCTGCAATCCGAGTCTAACGCAAGTGCCAAAACAGTATCTGGCGCTGGCGCACCAAGTACGGGGGCTTCACGGGCATCGGAGACGGCGATCGCGGCGTAATCTGCGGCCGCGAAGAAGCCTGCCTCGCCGCTCGTGAAAAGGAGCAGGAAATCGACTGCGATGCCGAGGATGCCCGGGGTAGCACCCTAGCTCCGTGGTCGACCGGGTCCTCGTCCGGCACCCCGAGCCCGGGCCCACAGCACGCCGGCACCCCCCCTGGCGGCGGTTCCGGGTTCCCGTTTCCCGCCAACGGCACCGTCGAATCGATCATTGAGGAGATGCGCCATCAGCGGACGCCCTCGCCGCAGTTGGGGCCGGGCTACGAGAGACACGAGATCGAGGGCATTGGCGGCATCGTCAAGCGCAAGCTCGTCCGCATGGTGCGGGTGGGGGCCTGCGTGCCCGAATGGGAAGACGAAAAGGGCAGCAACAATAAGATTCTGGCCCGCGAGGTGAATGGTGCCGCACGAAGCTGGTGCGGCTGGTGTTGGAGAGTCATTCCTGGGGATAAAGACAAGCGGCAATGTGCGAAAAGCTAAATGCTCGAGGGCACAATACAGTACAACACGGGATCAAAGGTACTAGACGGTTGGATAACGTTCATTCTTTTTACGGGCGATGATGATGGTCTTTATTTTTTTATCCTTTTTTCGCCCTACATCGATTGTATAAAGGCGTTTTCTGTGGGATGATTTATATAGCAATTGCTTTTCGGTTGAGCAATTTTGCCCAACAATAATGGTGGCGTCACAATAGAGAAAGGATCTCTCACTCAACTGAACCTGCCCGCATCATGAATGTGTATCTTGGTCATGAAGTTCTCATCTCGAGTTTTTATATATCGTACACCACGCTGAGTCCAATGCCCAATTCCTTTTTATACCCATGTCCTATCCCACCATGACATCTTTTCAGCATCCCATGCAACCCGAAGATGTGCATTTCCATTCCATTGGTCAAATTTATACAGACAGCCTCATCCGAACCATTTTACAACTCGCCCCGATACAGCATCTCGGCTCTCCTCTTTTTATCCTCCCTCGCCTGCGTCTTCTTAGGCCCCCACCGCTCCATCTTCCTCTCCAGCTTGCCCTTGAGCCACTGCAGGTGCTCCGGCGGCGCCGGCGCGGCCATCTGCACAAAGACGGTCGAGCACTCAAACTTGCGGGCGAGCTTCTGCACGCTCCACGTCAGGGGGTCTTGGTTGCGCAGGCGGCGCATCTCCTCGATGTGCTCCTTTGTCAGGTTGTACTTTGGCTGGCGGCGCTTGTAGCGCATCTCCGGGGGCAGCTGCTGCTCGCTGCTTGCCTGTGAGGAGTACGTGGTGGGGTCGTTTGCGCCGCCGCGGAGGCGCGTGATGGCGAGGCGGCGCGGGTCGTTGCGCGGCAGGAAGATGAAGGGCGTGTGCGCGGGCGAGGCCTCTGACGCGGGAGGGTTGTAGATGATGGAGTCGGCGGCGGGGAAGGCGGCGGCGCGAGAGGGTAAGAAGGAGTCGTGGGGAGAGATTTTGAGGGCTCGCTTGGTGCGGGCCGTGGTTTTGTGGCCGCGGGAGGAGGTGAGCGGGAGGGGAACCGCTGCTGCTGAAGCTCTGGGGGCGGAGAGGCAGCGGAGGGGGGTGAGCAGCCGGGAAGCCGGGCGGAGGAGAGATCGGGGATCCATGATGTTGATGTGGTTGGTGTTGAGACTTTGTGTGCGGGGGCCACCAATCGCCCTTTGAATTGGCTGGTGAAGAAGGAGGCTTTTTGGGGATTTGAGACTGAAGACAATATCTGGTGGTATGGATTGACCGGACGGCGGCGGGATTGGTGGCTGCCGTGGCTGCCCCGTGGTATCAAATGTCGGGTGATTTGCTTGTTCGTTGTCTGTGTGTTTTGGCATCTAAGTGAAGGTTTTTGCAACGGACGATGGATGGTTACATAAGCTGTGCTTATGTAAGGTTCTTGAATTGAGTTGTGTGTCACGTGGGGTTTTGAATCTTAGGCAATGATTGGTAGCTACGAGGAGATGTATACTAAGTTGATAGTTTGGCTTAGATTCTAGGTACCTATTGTTTGCGTGACAATAATTCGATATTGGCATTGCGGTGTAGATACTCTTTATTCGACACTGGCTGTTGCAAGGGCATGTTTGTTTGGGATGATAGCCGACAACTTTAGAAACGTGAGCTTCATTGATCTGCAGCTGGCTTACTAAGACCTCCTTGAAGATCACCGGCTGGCTTTACGGATTGACTCTAAACATAGGCAAATGGTAGGTATCATCTGAACAATGTCGACGAATCTAGGATACAGGCATGTGCCGTCGTTTCGAAGCGTTTAGACGGATGAGGATGTCAGGCACATGTGCAACAACCCAGCAAAAGAGCTCCCTTGTTTGGAAAGCGGCCGGGATATTGTGTAGTTTATGCTGCTCCAGTCAGCACGCTCCACGATGCTCATTCTCACTAATCAGCCAAAACTAGCTGTCGGGGACCTTGCATAGTGCCATGTGACGTCGGCAGCCTCAGCGGATGCCAGTGGCATCATACCAGCAAGGTACTTTTTTTCTCTTTTCTCCTCTTCTCTTCTGTTTGTGCCTTTTGGGAGGCCGTCGGCTGGAGGGGGCACTGCGTAGCTTGTCGGGATGACCTGTGAAAGAGGCAGCACCTCGTATGGATCCCGTCTCCCGCTTCGTTCGGCTACGGGCCTTTGAGGATTCCCGACGTCCAGCAGAAGCGAAAAGAAATCACTCAGAGTCAAAATCAATCTTGACGGCTCTAGCGTCGTTCGACCAGCGCGCGAACGGCAGGGAAGCAATTGAATCACGATGGGAGCTAAATCGTCTCTGATACGTGATCTACGAGGTCACCATCGGCGACCTTGCAATATCTTGGTCGCTGGTACACGTACGACCAAGCAGGCGACGCTTGATGCGCAATGCTGGCCAGGGTCTTCGTACGTAGCCAGCGCCCTTGTCTCGCCTTGCTCACTTACACCTCCCTCGAGATGATGCTAGTCATCGACCCGATCACCGTTGCGGCGTAGTTTCTTTTTAGTGTGCGACCAATTACGCGGGATCATTGCCATGGTGGCTTCGGGCTGGCACGTTGGTTCAGTTGAGGGGCAGACATCACGAGGACCGAAAAAAAAAAAAAAAGAGGGAAAAGAGAAACAAGCTTCGTTATGCAATGCGTATCCGGCCGGCTGGGAGCAGATGGAGTCCGAGGTCTATTTTTTTCCCTTTATCTTTTCTGAATTTGTTCTTTTTCGAGTGGGATGGTGCCGTGATGATGGATGTCTCTGGGTGACATGCTTGGATTGTCGTCGTTGGAGAGACCATGTGAGTCGCAAGGATGAATATTCTCGTCTCGAGGTGCACGTTAGACATTGGCTAGCCCAAGCTAGAGGAGCAATCAATCAGACGAGGTATCCAATGCCAGGCAGAACACTTGAAGTGTATCCCTCATTCACGCGGGACGCAAAAGAGGGGGCCGATATGAGGCTGAACCATGAGCTTGGTGTAAGTCGCAGACAAGAAAAAGTCTCAATACCACCGTGCATATCGTCCAGACTCCAGTTCCCTGGGAGATTGAGGTAGCACCAGAACGGGCGAGATGGGAACCCCCCAAAAAGATGGGGGTTGAAGAAAACCGAGATGATGAAATAAAGGACAAGTCAAAAGAATCAAGAGTGAATCACATGGTAACACTGGTGGGAGCCTAGCGAGCCAAAGTGAGGCCGAAAATGGCACGGATGTGCGCAAAGGTGGTCTGCATTCAGCAAGCCGTCCATTTCCCTGCTGCCACGTCTGAGCCCGACTTAATATAAAACCTGGATAAGTGAAAAAAAAAAAAAAAAAAAAAAAAAAAAAAAAAAAAAACGGCCAATGGCCTGTGATCGGCGGGTGCGGGAAGCCTCGCATCAAACCGGTGTCATTGTGCATTTGCCGGCGACATCGTATCGTGCTATATTGATCCAATGTTTCTTGTGGTGGTACTCCGTGGCACTTTGGGGCTTTTTTTCAGGTACCGGCCCCAGCGCAGGTACAACGAGGGTACCAGCGGGACTGCAGCTGGGAGCAAGAAAAATGCAAAAAGGGCCTCCTGTGCCGCAGAGGGTGCGGTACCGGGTACTTGACCGCACCTTGGCAGCTTGGTGGGTGCGGCGCCGGGATTGGGGTCGATCGCTGAGGTACTCGGTACCGGGGGGGGGCACGATGTACGTCACAGCGGGCGACGGCCCAGGCCGGCATGTCTTGAAAGGTCGCTTCCGCTTCCCTGGGTGTCTGGAGTTTCTCCCCTCATCACAAGTCGTCACAATCCTTCGCCTGTTCGGCTGCGACTCTTGGGGTTTCGCCGTCATCTCAATCTATTTGCAGCTGCGGCATCCCTTGGCTTGGGGGAGCTCCTCGTTTGTACTTTATTGATTCTGTTTGCTCGCAGGGGAAGATTCGCTATTCGAGAGAGACCCAGAGTGAATCGCCCTTGGCTTCGTCTTCACCAAGATAAACTACTTGTACTGTACGGAGTAGCAGCAGCTGTTATCCACCAGACAGACACGCTCTCCATCTCTCTCTCAGCTTCGTCAGTCCACCAATCTAGCGGGATCGCTGCCCTCTAAGCCCAGGCCAAGCCTCTGCATTTTTGCGTCACGCTGCCTGTGCGAGTCCGGCCCCCAAACAAGACCAAGAGGCCAGCAGAACAGAAACAGGCAGCGCCAAAAACAAAAGCTCCCCCAGCTGGTGGTTTGGCGCCTGTCACACCAAAAGCCGTCTGTTGCGCACTCAGCGGGTCCGTTCGTGTCATCTGAGGAACCCCCCCCAGCAGGTACGACGTGCGAAGCAGCATTTGCTTCACCAATATTGGTCGCCACCCCCGTCTGTTCTTCTTCCCCTTCGCAGGGCAGCGGCGAATGGCGGCCCTTGAATCGCCCAACCGTCGTGCGTGCCGATAAAACACTCGTCAATCCTCTCTTTTCGCTCTCGTCTCATACCATCATCGCCCTCGTCTTCCATCTTCGTCTTCGTTCTTCGTCTTCGTCTCCTCCATCGCCCGTCTGTCCTTTCCTTTCCTTTCCCCGTTCCACCGATCATCGTCCCTCCTGTCGATCGCCCAACACGGCCCTCCTAGTCTGCGTCTTTCATTCCTTGACGACAGCCCTCTTTTTTGTACATGCGCTGTACTAAAACCGAGCGAGCCCGTCTCCGTTGTTACAACGACCGTCCCGTAAATCAGCAGACGCGTGCGTCTTTGCTTGCTCACCGGCATCCCGTCGACTGCCAGCATCTCCCACAATGAGCCTCGCTGAGCCAGCTCAAATCAATCCCGCCGCCATTGCCGGCGACCGACGGAGCACAATGGGCGACGAGAGGAGCGTTGGTGGCGATTCGACGCCGCGGGCGATTGACGGCACGTCATCCGACCGTCTGGTGGAGCAGGTCAAGAAGGAGAGCAAGAGCAAGAAGCGAAGCCTCTTCGGCTTTGGCAAGAAGAAGCTGGAGGCGTCTCCCAAGGCTGGCCCTGGAAACGAGAGCTCGAGCGTGGCCAAGGAGCCGTCAAAAACACCCACCGCCCGCTCTACCGCTCGATCAACCACGTCGCCAATCCAGCTCACCCATGGCGAGCATCCGTTTGCCCCTGTTTCTCCAACCCGTGCATTTTCCGGCTCTCCGAGAATATCATCGCCTGCGACTTCCCAAATCTTCGAACGTGACGTGCAAGACTACTCCATCCTAAAATCGTCATCTCCAGCCATCCCAAGCCACATCCAGACGGAGAACCACATCCCTCCCGTTCTAGATGATGCGTCAGAGGCAATCACCAACAACAGCTTGGATCCCGATAGCGTCGAGATTGTTACACACTCTTCGCACCAACCTGCTTCGGCGGTCGTCCCTGGCACAAGTGCCAGTCATACCCCGTACGACCAAGTCTCGACCGACTGGGCCACCGAGCTTGCCTCATTTGCAGACCGCATTGGTTTCCCAGCGGACAGTGCTTCCAACTACGGCTCCCTTGACTCTGCTGACGTGCGTCGCCTCTCGTTCATCTCGTTTGCAGACGTCGTTCAGGCAGAGCACAGCGGCCACCACCTGCCTTCGATGTCATCTCGGGATAACATGCACATTGTCGGCCTCACGTCGCTTTCCGCATCGGCCATGAACCGGTCGCCATCACCCATCCGTTCGCCAGTCTCCAGCCAGGGCCCCGGAACTAGCCCGCCAACAAGCAACCCCGGCAGCATCAAAGGCTTGGACATGAGCCCGTCAAGGAAACCGATTGGCAGCCCATCCAGTGGGCACTACACTCTGGCGACCCCAGGAGAGCTCAACATTGAGACAATGAGCCAGGCACTGAAACGCACAGGAAGCCGAGATTTCAACAACAGCGTGCGCAGCAATCCTCAGAGCCCCATTGAGGCACCAACTTTGCAATAATGGGAGGAGGAGAGGGAAAAGCTTTAGTGACATGCTACGGACATTTCCAGTCATAACCTACCAACAACAAACCTTTTTTTAACGATTTCAATTCCTACCATCTTTAATTCTCCTCGTCAATTTGTACGAGCGGGCTTCTTTTCTTCAGCTATGTTATTTTATTTCCCCATTGCTAGCTACAGGCATGCAATGTCAAATTTGGACAATCGAGGGTTGCTAGGAGTTGGAAGAGACATGTTTAAATCCGGCGCTGAGCTGCGGGGTGGCCCTTGTGGCTTTTTTTCTTCTATTTTCTCTTCTTTGGTTCGGCTTTTCTTCTTCTCTCTGTTTCTGTCTTTTTTTCTCTTGCTTATTGGAGAACAGGAAGTTGCTCCTTTTATCTACACAACGTGAAAAGACGGGATGATTATTGACTGCTATGGGATGAATTTCGATTTTCTTTTTTCTCTTTTTTTTCCCCCATATCTTTTCTGCAGGCAAGCTCGGTGCGATGGAGTGGGATGCGGCTTGTTTTATATGTCGATTACTTGAATGATTATACTAAGAATGAAGAGAAGTGAAACCAAGGATATCTGATTTATCATTCGCTGATGGCCGTCATTGCTCTAGTGATTTTGTCCTTGTGCAATCAATGAGAAGATGTAGGGAAGGGAGAAGGAGAAGAATCAATATTTGTCAGTACACTGCGTCTCTCTGTACTCACGACTCTTCAAATTACAGTGAGCAGTGGACAATGTTGCACGTTTGTCTACTTGTACCTTGTTTTCAACGAATCTGCATGTCCGTCAATACATGACGGAGAATTGTCCACCACTACAGAAGAGAATCGAATCCGGACCGCTAGCACAACACACACGACCATGACCATGTCAGTGCCCACCCATGCGGATAGCACGTCCATCATATGCAATGCACGTTCGAGTCATTTGGAGTTGGGCGCCCTAGGACGAAAATCGCTAAGATGCCGGTTGTTCCACAAAGACGGAGATCCATTGGGACTGGGTCCCCTTGGGAAGCCAATCCAGTTTTTGCCCATCAGTTTTTTTTGCCCATCAGTTTTTTTTTTTTTTGAAAATCGAATTTGTTTTTTTTTCTTCTTCTTTGCTGCAGAGTCAGTTTGGTGCGTTTTTTGGGGGGGGGGTGTGAATATCAGGCCATTTTTTTTGTGTTGTTTACTTGTTGCTACCTAGGTTGGTAGTATGTCATTACTCTTTGTGTATGTGAGTGAATGAGTAGGTAGGTGAATATTCTTCTTCTTCTCTTTTTATTTATTTAAGAAACTTGTTGACTACGGCTCTACTACTAGGTAGGTATGCAAGGACATGTCATGTCATGCGTTTATATGTTTGGCCTTGGACTTTTGTAAGGGGGGCGTAAATGCATCCTTGATTTTTTTCTCGCCACCAAGGCGAAATAAATAAATAAAAAAAATCGAAATTGAACGAGATTAGATTATAGATTTTTTTTCTCGTGTCGCGTGCTGGATGTCAACGTGTTTCACATTGTGGAGATTCTTTTGGTCAAAACGTGTGAGATTTTTCCATCTCGTCCATTTTTTTTTCGGGGTCAGCTTATTGGCATGTGTCGGAACGGTTTCAGATTGAGAGACGCGAATCGGACAAACAAATCCTTACGGTAGACGGAGGTCACTCTTAATTAATTAGGTAATTAATTACTAAATTACCTGGTATCATCAATTCATTACCGTCTACTACAGCATCAATTTAGAGTTGTATTAGGGACTATCCGTTTTGTTTGGAATGAATTGAGTGGTTACTACCTTATAGTAGTGAATATGTCGTGTCTTGGGCTGGAAATTGCGCATCGTGCAACGTCCAAGACCAATTGAAGACAAACGTGGCATCAATGTCTCGGTTTTCCATTGCAACGACGAATGCCATGAGAGAGAGAGAAACAAAGAAGAAGAGAAGAAGGGAAAAAGAAAGAACCTTTGCTTTGCATTGCTGTCCATTGCTGAGTGAGAAGCTAAACAAACGACCCTGCATCCAATGCTACGCTTCCATTCTGCTGCCAGGAACGCCCGTGTGATTGGCCCCCATTGGCCCCCTTCGGACACACTCCGTCCAAAGTACGACAAAGGAGGTGTGCAGCGGTATTTGCCAGTCACCGGCCTGGAAGACGAGAGACGACAAAGATGCAATTCTCGCGGCATTGATCCTCTTGTCCTTCGTCCCATGGCCGGTTACTCCGTTTCCAAGCAGGCGAGACGGATGCCACAGTAGCTCGCATGCATGTCTCGCAGCGGGAATTGCTGGCACTTGTCCTACGAGGGACTGAGGCACGACGAGTCCGGAGTTTTGCGCTTCAGAGTGATTTCGTCACAAGTGTCCCCAGACGGTAGTTGGACCAGCTGGGCCCCCCATGTGATGGGCCCCTGATTCGCAACCAAATCCTGTTTCGTCTCTCTCACTGTCGCTCAGCTCACTCACTCCTTTTCCCCCAGTCGTCTATCGCGCGTCAACCGTGGCATAAATATCAATCGAGAGAAGAAAAAAATAATCAACCCATCCACATTGACCATCTGACCGATCCAAAGACGCTACCAGGGACAGGCCCTCCAGCCTCTGGCGGAGCCACGCCGGAAACAGCCTGGGCCACGGAGCAAGCCCCTCTTGAGAAGAGAAAAAGAAAGAAGAAGAAAACGGTTTAACCCTGGCTGGGCTGGTATCTGTGGGGGTGGCTTCTGGCCCAACTGCGAGTGAGTGCCGGCTGGACTCGTACCTGGCACCTGGTCCCGTCTATGCCTATCCTCGCACGGGTGGTCAGAGACGCTGCTTGGGAATAGTAGCAGCAAGACTAGTCCGGAGCACTACGACCGTCCAGGCAGCGTCTGTGCCCAAGGACGAGGCTCGGAGAATCCATGACGGGGATTAGCAGGGAATGGTGATCCCTGGGACACTCCCTGACCTGAGATCCAAGTCGACGGTTCGCTCACGGGGGCTCACCGACGAGCCCCAACATATGGAGTTGCGTACGCAAGACTCAAGGCTCGACAGCAGAGTCCGGCACACCGCTTTTGCCCATGTTGAGGATTTCCCGTCCTTGAATCCTGTAGCATCATCCGTCAGAGAAGCATACAGTAGTACGCCGTATTGGTCTGATAAATGCAAAGGGCTTGTATTTTAGCCTCTGGATTCCGTAGGCACCGCCGCATTACCATCAGTACCGAGTACCGGCTCCAGCTCTGCAAGCTCTGCCATCGCCTTTCCCAAGAGACGGTGACCAGCCCGTCTGATTTATAATTAGCATGACGTTGCCTTGAACGCTGACAGGTGCTAGAGCATCTGTCGAACGTTGATGTTGTTCTGATCCATGTCGTGCTCCAAGCTCCACCGTGACGCCACTAGCCAGCGAGCCAGACATGGTGCTGATGGGCTTACGGCAGTTTGATGCTACTCGTATGCTCCGGCCTCGATGCTGGCCGCTTGTCAAGTCGATTGATGGACCGTGTTCCGTGCAATGCTGCCATTGCCACTTGTTCGGCCTCGTCCGGGTTTCCAATGCTTCGGTGCAGGACGGGTCCAGCAGGGCGTCATCTGTATAACGCATCACTCACTAGCCGCAGGTAAGACTCTGGTCGCACGAAGCTCCGTTAATACAAGACGGGCACACTCACTGTCACAAGCTCGCACGTACTGTATCATCATCAGCCGCTAGGCTCTCCGGCCCTGGCGAGGAATATGACATGGACAGGCAGACGAGAAAGCAGTGGCGTCCGGCCCCCAGCTAGCAGCCCAAGATTGATTTGATTTCGCGGCCTCGCTGTCTAATCTAGGCGGAACGAACACGGGTCGGTACGGCTGGAGATGGTAGATGGCTTTGCTAGTGAGAACTCGTTCCGTTGATGACGGACGGCCTGCTTGTACTCGTACAGAGTAGGTATCAGAGTCCTCAGTGATGCCCTGACTGGTGGCATGCTGCCTGCTGCCTGCTGCCTGTCGTCTGTTGTCTGTTGCCTGTCGATAGCTTCCTGAGTACAGATTGGCATGGAGTTTCGTATTGTACGGAGTAGTGGTCAGAGTAATAGGATCAGCTGTTCGGTGTAGCACTCGTAGTAATACGCGGTGCCGTGTAATTGTAATACTTGTATGTCAGATCCAAGGAGCATCGCGTGTATCGACTGACAGCCTCGGGCTGAGCAGGAGCCGTTCTTCCAGGGGACCGGGAAGGCTGCAACTGCAACTGAGCATCGATGCCGCTCAAGTACTGCTGACAGCCCCTTCCGCCTCTCCCATCACAAGTTTCCACGTTCTCATCGCACTTGTTCCATTTCCAGTTCCATTTCCAGTTCCATTTCTCTGCGCGCAACTGGAAGAATTTTTCAGCTTCACACTTCACACTTCACACTTCACACTTTGCACTTGACATACAACTCGCCTCTCTCTCTCGTGTTTTCAATTGGATTTTCTTTTCTTGGGTTCCAGATCCTTTTCGGGCGGTTCCTCTCACCTGTCGTTAGCTTCTGGCTTCACCTGCCGGAAGTGTCAAGAGGCCCGGTAGCGGCTTTTGAGGGGGGAAAACGAACAAGGTCTCCAAGCCAGCCAGCCCTCCGATTTTTTTGGAAAAAGCCAGAATTGCTGCAAAAAGGCAGAGAGAAATCCCCGAGAGCTGACATTGGCCGAGCCAGGCTGCCGGTCGACACGAGATCAAACGCGGCACGTCTGCTGCAGTGCAGTGCAGCGCAGTACAGTACGAGGCATCGAATTGCGGCTTTGCTGCTGTACGAGTACACAAACAGCAAAAGGTCCTCGTTGTTCCTTACGTACAGCACGATACCGGCTGCATCAAGCCTAGCACCGCACAAAAAGGACATTTTGCGATCCAATCCAGCATCGTGCTCGCCAAGGCCACAGCAAGCGGATACAGAAGCACGGCGACCCATCTCGCCAGTCCATTTGTCCGGCCGAACGAACAAATCCTCCTCGAGCTAGGCTTCACTTGCTCGTGCTTGTCCACCGCCCAAACTGGCCATCCCACCGCCCTGGTCCCGTATCCCCGTAACCTCTCTGGCCAGGGCTCCGTTGGATCGACACCGCAGCACCGCGAATGCCTGGATGCCCCAAGGGGTCCCCGCTCGAGGACTTTGGTTTGCGCCTGTGTCCGCTGTGGGTATCGAAAGCACAGTCGCTCAGGCGGACGGGCCACTAGCATCCTCACACGACGTCAAGGCCCTTCTTCAGAAGCCTCCGGCGACTTTTGGCCGGAACTCTATTCCCAGGGTGCGTCCGGCAGACATACAGTGACTCGACTCCAGCACTTGTAAGCATTGACGCCAGAGAGACAACCAGTCGACACGCAGCCAAGGAGAGGCTACTGCCGGTGCTGCCAGGGACAAGACGGCGGCTTACCACGCGAGCCTGCAGCACGCAAACTCTCTCTCTGTGTGGTGTCTGCGTGTTTGGCAAGGGGATAGCCAACCGTGGGCAATCCCGCAGATGGTAGCTGGCACACACACAGTCACTCACACACACCACACTCTCTCTCCTCCATTCTTCTTCCTCTCTCCTCTCCCTTCCCACCGCAGTCATCGTGGGGAAGGGAACTGCGAGTGCCTGCTGGACCGTGCCGTACAGACCCAAGATCCGGATCCTCTAGCATCAGGTAAATTCACTCAGCGTCTCTTCCCGCTCCGCCAAATCAGGTCTGACTGGCATCCTCGGTGTTCCGTCCACAGCACAATACCTACTAGCATCCATCGCTACCCTGCCGCATCCCCATTGTGCCTCCACTCCGGCCCTGTTGCAACCCCCATCTACGGTCCCCCTAGTCCGCAACGTAGCGCCGCGAACAGTCGAGAACCCCGCTACCACCACGGCAGCGGCAGCATCGTCGGTACTGGAGCGTGAACGGCACGATACATGTACCTGAGAGTGACAAATGATATTACTGATACCGGCGCAGCGGCCGTTTCAACTCGAGCGTCAAGCAGCCGTCGCGCATCGCCAGACCCAGCGTTCCGAAGCCTAAGCAACGACCGTGACGGCAGCGTCCAAAACGACGTCAGTGCCGACAACAACGACAACAGCAGCCCGACGAGTGCTACAGGTACGACGAGTAGTGGCGGCGACGTTCGATGTGGCACTGGAGTCCGCATGGTGTTGAACAATGGCATGAGCATGTCACCGCCAGTCATGGATGGATATGCAACCCGCCTGCACGAGGGCGGTAGCGATAGCGAGGACCAGGCCCTGCTGCAGCGGCAGCAGCAACGACAGGCCCAGGATCAGAGCCTAATCCAGAGTCGGCATTACCACCAGGGCCATATGCAGAAGCAGCGACAGCGGCCCCAAACCCCTCTCGAATTCCACCGGTTCAACTTGGAGCGCCTCAGCGCTTCGAATCTCAGGTCTTCATTTAGGGTCAATGCCAGCCCGAGACCTGGTCGTTCCATCACACCTGACCTCCCTCCAGGTCAAGGTGGTGCTGCGAGCGCTGCGCTTTCTGATTCTACCATGGCCCACCCATCCCGCGGCATTGGTTCCCAGCAGGGCTCGCCTAGGTCTATCCCGGGGAGCATTGGCCGTCGCCAAGGTGTCGTCTTCACCAGCGATGCTGCTTGCGATTCTTCGGATGGCACAGACTCCAGCCCCGCGACTCACCAGCAGAGAAGTTCAAACGGTCCCCCGATACGGCCCAGGACGCGCACAATGGACGCCTCTATGCTAGGGCCACGAGGGCCGTCTTCAGCGGCCGAGTTTCGACATCGAGTTAGCAGCGTCTCGTCCGGGTCGCAGCCCTCCATCGACGACCCAAAAACGTTGACGCCAAGTTCCGACCCGGCCAGCTACTCGACGATACCGACCGTCAGAGTCCCCGAAATCTCAACCCCAACCTCCGCCTCCAAGGACAAGAGCAAATCAACTCACCACAATCGACGGCTTCTAAAGCGTCAACCCTCTCGACCCTCTTCGCCATTAGTCGCACCCCAGCCCTCTGTCGATTCCTTCCCGTACCCCATCCCAACCGACGATGCGAACCGCCTAATATCGCTAATGAAGGCTCTCGGCGGGCGAATGCGTGGCGAACTGGAATACCAGGGTGAGTACCAGGGAACATGGCACACCGGAATGGCCTACATCGACGAGGAAAAGGGCACTCTCATGTTCGGGCTGGGCCATACCGGCCAGAACGCTTCCTTCCACATCCCTCTAGTTTCCGACCTGCGAGGCTGCAAAGTTCACGTCACGGGCTACCCCGACGCAGAGAGGGAATGCCTAGAGATTGTCCCCAACCAACTAGGCCTGGAGCTCCTGCTTAGGCCCATTATATCGGAGGAGCTGGAGCTGTGGCTCGCCGCGCTCTTGTGCTGGCAGCAGCTCGCGCCTCTCAACCTCAAAGTACCCAACGGGAAACCCAACAGCCCTTCAGGGCCCATTCGCCCGGAGATGAGGCGGCGGGCCAAGTCGAGCGATGCGGCGAGGGCCACAAACATCATCAAGGTCGGCAAGTTCATGCTCTGGGACAAGGGCCCGGCCAGGTCGGCACGTGCCGTCGTCCAGCGATCGTCAACGAGGGATCTCATGCACCCTTCCATGTTTTGGAGAAGGATTTCATGCGTTTTACAGGATAATGGAGAGTTTAGGCTCCTGATGGAGAACGACGTCTCGGTCTTGTCCAGCATCGAACTGTCGCAGCTTTCCCGGTGCGCCATCCAGGGCCTCGACCGCAGCGTCCTGGAAGAAGAGTACTGCATTGCCATTTTCCCCATCTATGCCTCTACGGCCACCCACGTTTCTATTTTTCGACCCGTCTATCTGGCCGTCGACAGCCGCATCGACTTCGAGGTTTGGTTCGCTCTGCTGCGGACATTCGCCGTTCCCGACATCTTTTGCCTGGACGACCCCCAGACGGATGAAATTCAGGATGTCGCCGATATCGAGAAAGATCAACCGGGAGAGGTTTTCCGCATGGAGAAAATCATCAGAGTAAGAGTCATAGAGGCCAAGATCAAAGCCACTCCAAGCGTTGAATGGTTCGCGCCTGAGAAGTGCGGCAGGGTTGGTCCTGATCCTCTAGTCGGAAGCTATCTGGCAGAAGTCATTTTGGATGGCGAGGTCAGAGCCAGAACGACTACCAAGATGGACACAAAGAATCCCTTTTGGAGAGAAGATTGCGAGTTTAACGATTTGCCGCCGATAATCCAAGACCTGTCCATTGTGCTAAAGCGAACGGACTGCGGGCCGGACGGGTACTCGAAATCGGGAAGCTCGCCAGAGATTATTTGTGGGAGTGTAAGAATCGCCCTAAACGACTTGGACAGAGGCCAGGGACAGGAACAGTGGCAGCCCATCTTGGACGAAAAGCAACAGAACATTGGTTCAATGTTAATCAAGGTGTTTCACGATGAGCATGTTGCCCTTTTGTCGAAAGAATACCAGCCTCTGTCCGAAATTCTGCACCGATTCCCAACGGGCCTGACCACACTCATCTCTGCATCCCTGCCCGGCCAGCTTCGGACACTATCGGAGCTGTTTCTCAACATCTTCCAGGCCTCTGGATCTGCAAGCGAGTGGCTAATGGCCCTGGTCGAGGATGAGATTGATGGAATAGGAAGCCAGACCTCAATCAAGAAGTACCGGTATAGCAATAGGCTCAAGTCGAGTGAATCGATGGAATCCTCCAACGATCGAGAGGTGATGGTCCGCGATATCCACAAGACGCTAGCCGGAGAGGCCAACCTACTCTTCAGAGGTAACTCGTTGCTAACGCAGTCTCTCGAGTTCCACATGCGACGCTTGGGCAAAGAATACCTGGAAGAAATATTACAGGACAAGATATACGAGATTAACGAGTTGAATCCGGATTGCGAGGTTGATCCGAGCAAGCTGGCACACACGGGAGGAGATTTGGATCAACACTGGGGTCGTCTTATCCACCTCACGACGGAAATCTGGCTCTGTATCGCAGATTCGGCCGAAAGGATACCGGCGGAGCTGAGACACGTTCTCAAGTACATCCGCGCCGTGGCCGACGACCGCTATGGCGACTTCCTCCGTACCGTCAGCTACACCTCCATCTCGGGTTTCCTTTTCTTGCGCTTCATATGCCCTGCTATCCTGTCACCCAAGCTGTTCGGGCTGCTCCGAGATCATCCTAGACCACAAGCACAACGTACCTTGACGCTCATTGCCAAGGCACTACAGAAACTTTCCAACCTTTCTACGTTTGGAAAGCGAGAAGAATACATGGAACCGATGAACCGCTTCCTGACCCAACAACGGCAGACCTTCCGAGGCTTCATCGACCACGTTTGCGGCATCCCAGCCGATCGAGGCGGCCGAACCCTACCCCCGAGCTACATCACACCCGTCACAATCTTAAACCGCTTGGGGCCTACAGCACGCGAAGGATTCCCCAGCCTGCCGTACTTGATCGACCAGGCCCGGGGCTTCGCGAGTCTCGTCAAATTATGGGTGGATTCACGTCCCATTGACGTCAAGCAGTCCCAAGTAGATGGGGAGCTGTTGATATTCAACGATCTGTGCTTTGGTTTGCAAAAGCGCGCCGACGCTTGCCTGGCCAAAGTGGTGGATTTCCGAAACAGAGAGGTCCCTTCGTTCATGTCCGCCGACCAACTTGCCGAAATCCTGGAACAGGTCAACTTTACCGGGCCTTATCACCCGTATTACCCAGGAAGTCCATCTTCCATGCCGAGCAGCTACGAGCGGCCCCCCGGTAGCTCCAGCAGCGATGGGGGCGGAGATTCGAAACCAAACCGACGCAGTAAAGAATGGAAGCGTGGAAGAGACGAAGCGGACTCAAAGAAGGGGAATAGTCCCCGAAACACAAGCGGCTCAGCCACCGGGAGTGTGAAGCAGAAGAATGGAAAAGTTGGCAGGAGTCTTTTGAGCGGCATCATGAAGATTGGTGGCTCAAGAGCCGAGAGTCCAGAAACTAAAGGGCAAAGATGAGCCCGCACTTCCTCTTCTTTGAATATATATACACACGCGCGCACAAACATATACATGACTTGGATTGTGGAGAGTATCAACCTAGGACGAATCCACACAGGGGGGATCCCTTTGCACCAGCTTTTGATTATCCTTGTTTTCTTCTTTTGTTTCCCCCCCCTTTTTTTATTCCTTACTTTCCGCTCTTACTCAGGCTATCTACATCTAGCTCTTGTCTGGTTTTCCTTTAGATGTCTTCCGGTTGGATACACAAAATGGTGTTGGGACATAATGGCTCTTGCATGGAGAAAGTTGTCGAAAGCTTCACTCCCATCTTTCATTACGCTCTTTTCATTTTATATACTCTTTTTCCCTCTCTAAAGCTTTTTGAAAGCTGTCTTTTCCTCTACCGGATTGATGGACTGAATAGATTATGGGGGGGTTATCATCATCATCATCACTGGAGGTCCTCTCGTTTTCATATATAAATCATCACAGTTTGGTCCCTTTTCTTTCTTTTCTTTCCTTTTCCCCCGTGTGCATGGTCCTTGTGATATGGCATCAATGACAACTTAGATATACATGAGGGGAAAGAGAAGAAGAAATTAAAGGGAAAAAAAGATACCAGCTCTACTTATTACCTAGCTCTCTCGTTACTGTTTATTTTCCTGAGTCACTTTCTCTATAATTGTTTTTTTCACACTTTGATATCAAAAGCGGTGCGTATCCTTTGGGAACAGAGAGGCTACCCTCTTTCTCATTTGTCTCTTTCTTTTTTAATTTTCCTTTTGGTTACTCCCCCTATTTTGTTTTTAGTAAACTTTCCCTTTATTTTGTTTTTACTAGTTTGCTAAATAGTAAATAAGGATAAATTCCCTTGAGATAGTATTTAGGTCTAGGAGTATATATATATATATATATATATATATATATATATATTATATTATTAAAAAACTAAGTTTTATTTTATATAATTTATTATTGCTTTTATATATATTTACTTATAACTTACTTATAAAGTATTTAACTTTAGCTTATAATATTTAAACTTACTTAGCTAAAGCTTAGCTTAAGCTTTAGTTTCTTAGGTTTTACTTAGTTTTATTATTTATTAAAAAAGGATTTAAATATTAAAAAAAATATAAAATTAATATCTCTCTTAAGTATAAAAAATAAACTACCTAAAAGGAACTAATTATAAAAAAACCTTTATATATAATAATAATATCTCTCCTAAGTATAAAAAATAAACTGCCTAAGAGCTAAGATTAAAATAATTATTATTAAACCTTTATTTAGTAGCTATTAGCTAATAGCCTAGCTAATTTATATTTTCTTTTTTATAATTAGTTTAGGTTACTCTCTTCTGCCTTATTTATTCTTTAGGCTTTAGTAAACTTTCTCTATAGTATTAATAATATTAGGATTATAAGTTTTTATAATAATAGCTATTATTTTAGTAGTAGTTACTATTAGTTTTTTATTACCTTTAGTTATTATAGCTATTTATATACTAGACTTTAGTTAGTTATTAACTTATTTTATAATTATTATAAGGGTTTATTACTTTTATAATATATTATTTTATTAAGTAGTTTTTTATATTATATATATAATCTATTTTTAAAGATTATTACTATTTTTTATAACTTAATAAAATAATTTTATTTAGTTTAGTTAAGTTATTAAATTATAAGTTATAAGCTTAAAGTTAGTTATATTATACTTAAACTTTATTATTTAGGCTTTTTTATATATTTTAAGTTTAGTTTTAAACTTTAATTAATTATACTTTATAGCCTAAATTTTTAAAATTTAATTTAATTAGTTATAGCTAATTAAGTTAAATTATAAATTAATTCTAGATTTTAAACTAAAGGCTAGGGTATAGCTTTTTTTTAACTTAGTTATTATAGCTTTACTAAACCTCTTAATAATAAATATAACCTCTATAATAATAGTATTTAATTAATTAACTAATTTAATTAATTATATAAATTTTACTTAAAATTTTAAGTTACTTTATTAACTTTTTTAATAAGTTTTTTAATTTTTTTACTTAGCTTAAGGTTTTTAATACTTTTTACTTAATTATTTTACTTAAATTAAAATTAAGTTATAGTTATTACTTAAGAGCTTTTATAATAATTTTTTTTTTATAAAAAGTAATTAAAATATATAGTTTTATTAAGTAATTTTTTATATTATATATATAATTTATTTTTAAATAAAATTATTACTATTTTTTATAACTTAATAAAATAATATAATAGTTTATTTAGTTTAATTAAGTTATTAAATTATAAATTATAAACTTAAAACTTATATTATACTTAAACTTTATTATTTAAGCTTTTTTATATATATATATATATATTTAAGTTTAGTTTTAAACCTTAATTAATTATACTTTATAATTTAAATTTTTAAAATTTAATTTAATTAATTATAATTAATTAAGTTAAGTTATAAATTAATTTTAGATTTTAAATTAAAAATTAAAATATAGCTTTTCTTTAACTTAGCTATTATAGCTTTATTAAACTTTTTAATAATAAATATAATTTTTATAAATTAATATACTTAATTATAATAATTAGGCCTTTAGGGTATATATTATAAATAAACCCTAAGTTAATTAATTAATTATTCAATTATTTACTTTTTATTAAGTAAATATTAGTAAGTAATTACTTAATTAAAATAATATTTACTTTTAATAAAGTAAACTTAAGTAAATATTATATTATATATATTTTTATAATATTTATTTAAAATAATTTAAATAATTAATTATAAATAATAAATAATACTTAATTATATTTATAAAGTATTATTTATTAATTATATAAATATTTTACTTTTCCTAAATATAAAAAATAAATTACTTAAAAAAAACTAATTATAAAAAAACCTTTATATATAATTACTTTATTAGCTTTTTTAGTAATTTTCTTAATTCCTTTACTTAGCTTAGGGTTTTTAATACTTTTTAGTTAATTTAGCTTATATTTTACTTTATTTAACTTTAGTTTTTTTTTAAAGTTTTTAATTATAAATTTATAATTTTATTAATTATAAATTTAATTATTTACTTAGCTTTTTTATTATTAAAATTAAATTATAAAGGTTATATTTATTATTAAAAGGTTTAGTAAAGCTATAATAGCTAAATTAAAGAAAAGCTATACCCTAGCCTTTAGTTTAAAATCTAAAATTAATTTATAACTTAACTTAATTAACTATAACTAATTAAGTTAAACTTTAAAAATTTAAGCTATAAAGTATAATTAATTAAGGTTTAAGACTAAACTTAAATATATATATATATATATATAAAGGCCTAAATAATAAAGTTTAAGTATAATATAATTAATTTTAAGCTTATAATTTATAATTTAATAACTTAACTAAATTAAATAAGCTATTATATTATTTTATTAAGTTATAAAAAGTAGTAATAATTTTATTTAAAAATAAATTATATATATAATATAAAAGACTACTTAATAAAACTATATACCTTAACTATTTCTTATTAAAAAAAAATAATTATTATAAAAGCTCCTAAGTAATAGCTATAATTTAACTTTAACTTAGAATATATAATAAAATAGCTAAGTAAATAGCTAAATTTATAATTAATAAAATTATAAATTTATAATTAAAAACTTTAAAAAAGAAAAAACTAAAATTAAGTAAGGTAAAGTATAAGCTAAACTAACTAAAGGATATTAAAAACCCTAAGCTAAGTAAAGGGATTAAGAAAATTATTAAAAAAGTTAATAAAATAGTTTAAAATAGTAAGTAAGATTTATATAGTTATATATATATAGCTAATTAAATTAGCTAATTAATTAAAGGCTATTATTATATATAAAGGCTTTTTTATAATTAGTTTCTTTTAGGTAGTTTATCCTTTATACCTAGGAGAGTCCTTTATACCTAGGAGAGAAAATTAAATTATAATTATTATAATCTCTCCTAAGTATAAAAAGTAAATTACTTAAAAAAACTAATTTTAAAAAAACCTTTATATATATAGCCTTTAATTAATTATTTAATTTAATTAATTATATATATATAATTATATAAATCTTATTTATTATTTTAGGCTATTTTATTAACTTTTTTAATAATTTTCTTAATTTTTTTACTTAGCTTAAGGTTTTTAATACCCTTAAGTTAATTTAGCTTATATTTTACTTTACTTAGTTTATTAATAACTAGGGAACATACTTTAGAACTAAGCTATTAATACTTAAGTACTTTTATAAATAACTTAACTTATTTAGTTATTATAAAAACTATAATATAAAAATAAAATTATAATATTATTTAATTTAGCTATTATAACTTTATTTTAATAAAAATAAAATTATTATTTTAGCTAAAATTATTTTTATTATAAAGGAAATTATATTTATTATTAAAAAGTTTAATAAAAATATAATAGTTAAGTTAAAGAAAAACTATACCTAAGCCTTTAGTTTAAAATCTAAAATTAATTTATAACTTAACTTACTTAATTATAATTAACTAAGTTAAATTTTAAAAATTTAGGCTATAAAGTATAATTAATTAAGGTTTAAGAGTAAACTTAAATATATATATATATATATAAAAGCCTAAATAATAAAATTTAAGTATAATATAAACTTTAAGTTTATAACTTATAGTTTAATAACTTAATTAAATTAAATAAGCTAATTATTTTATTAAGTTATAAAAGGTAGTAATAATTTTTAAAAATAAATTATATATATATAATACTTTTAAAATTAAAAAACTACTTAATAAAATAGGTAATTAATAGGGGGGTATAATACTTTTACTATAAGGGCATAACCTTAGGGGGGCATTATTAAATAACTAAGCTAGTTTTTATTATTACATAGTAAAAATAATATATTTATAAAGCTTGTTTTTTAAGTTATTTATTTATTATTTTTATATATTTTTATCTTATTTAATTATTTTTATATTAAATATAAAAGAAAAAAAGAGAAAAAATAAAATAA